AAGGGTAACAAAAACCCGCTTATTTCGATCTCGTATCAAGACAAAGTTGTACTTTGTTTGGAAGTTTTGATATAGCTAAAATGATCGACAAAGATAGCACCCACCTATACTATGGTTGTTTTCCGTCTTCTCAGTTGCTCATCGTACTTAAGGCAAAACTCGGAAATTCACTCCTTTTTTTTACTTCTCCTTTGAAAAATCTACAATTCAATCATAATGTTTGGTTATATAATAGTCTTGTTCCGTTTCAAATAAAGGAGGAAACATTTTCAACACGGATTACTTTGAGTATATACAAATAGATTATAGATCAATTACCGATCTTGTGGATTCATTAGACATTACCTTCAAAAGGACTCCCGATCCCGCACGACCAAAAAAGCTTCACAATTTACGAGAGCAGTCCCGATAACCAAACGGAAGTTCTTAGCCAGCGGCGTGTGTACAAAGTCAACAAAGTGTGATAGGACGAGTCAACACGCAATGTGAGAAGGATAGAGTACATGTGTGTGTGTGCCTGCATCCGGCATGGGCCATTCTGTACAATTTGGTTCCACGTTGTTACCTATCTATTCTTTCTATATCATCTATGATTTTTGAATTCTTGTGCACAACTGAATGCAGTCGTTCTCTAAAAATGATTGTGAATATAGCAAAATACCTACCCAACAAATAAAGCAATTGTATGAAGTCTTTTACTATAATGATACTTGAATAGCAAATTACGAAGTACCAAGGTAACAGGAACACTAAATGTTACATCTGTCCAGTGGATCCTAAATTTATAGCCTATGCCCCATATAGCTGAAAAACTGGGCAATGTTCATGAAACTTCTCAAAAGCAAAACAAAATTACTCAAGATCATGCAAGAGATTGAATCTAATAAGGTATAGGGTCTACACTGAGCTGGCAGAAGTTGGGAGCAAGGGCATCATTTTGTTGGCCAATTTTTTGAGAGAAAAAAAAGAATTTGCCGCGCAACTTTTTGGTTTCAGAAAACGTCCCCCCCCCCCCCGCTGCTAAATTCCCGTCCCTTCCCCGTACCCTGTGTTTGTCACAGATGAACATAACGAATCATCCTGGTGCAATGTGGAAAAGGGGAAATTGAAAAGTAGAAACATATACATTATTAAGATAATGATGTTCATGATCGTTATAGTATACCCGTGCAATACTAACCAATTAAACTGCCTGGCTACTGAAAAAAATACATTATGACAATTTTATTTTTAGTTTTTGTTTACTATTTTTCATTCCAAAATTTCAGAGAAAAATAATTTTTACTTTACTGAAGAATAATCGAATGAAAAATATCATCATCAGTGTCTGTTTGTTTGCAACTTTTCAGAAAATTCTGGGATTGTTCATTGCCAAGTTCCAACGAAATCCACACCAAAAATATCTACTCCCTGTAGCAGAAAATATCATTGAATGCTGAACCATCGCAGAAAGATTAAAATTCCTCGAAGAAATTCTCACTTTGTCCCCTTGCAAACTCCTTCCAATGGGCATGGAGCCTCTTATATATAGATCTTTTATCCGTCCTGCTACGATTCTGTAACTCAATACACTCCGCTCCAGATGTAAACTGTTCCCGCTGTATTCATACGGCACCCCTATTATCTAATTCAATTGTGTCGTCACGATCACGTGCCCTATTCACAGCGGCTCTCATTCATAAAAATCTCTTCCGGCTCCGGAAGTAACACAGAAGAAGTACCGCCCGTTTTGCCATATATGGTGCGGGCACTCCAGCCGACCAATCGGGTATGGCGTGTCACACGTTGCAAAATTCAATGTTTTACAATATGTATGTTTGACGTTCAATTATAATTATGTGTGCGATGTTTTACAATAATGTGCGATGTTCATTGTATGTGTGTGATGCTTTACAATATATTTTTTACAACATATTGCAACGAAACATCCAAAAAAAATAATGAACATCAAATATATATTACATCGAAACATCGAACATAAACATCGCACATATTGTAAAAATCACACATTGTATTGTAAACATCGCACATATATTGTAAAAATCACACACATATATTGAACATCGCACATTAATTGTACAACATCACACATTATTGATCATCGAACATATTATGGTAAAATATTGAATTTTGCAAAGTTTGACACGCCATACGCGGCGCTCACTACGAGTCCGCCTTGTCATGAATATGCAGCGCGCTTAGTTGAAGGTCGCGCTACGTAGCAGATCTTATCAATGGGCGCGAGTATTTTTAGATTGGGGAACTTCGCAATGGGCGGGCTTTAGCTGTTCATGTGACACGCTCTATTAGACCGGCCGTAGTATATAAGCGGGTATTCCGAGTTGGTACTGTGCAATGGCCAAGTGAGTCATCATCAAAGCCACAAGTTTGTTCTGTTTGGGGCTTCTCCGATCTATCGTGGGCTTGGAATCTCTCTTGCTTTCTTTATCTTCTCAAGGTGAGTGGCAATTTCCTCCGTTATATTCACAGACCCCAATGTCATCTGCCTACCCACGTTTTGTTTGACAATTGCGGACTTTCATTTCGCTCGTTCAAGCTGCTAGTTTTGTTTATAAAGTTCGAGTAAAATTACCTGCTGCATAAATTGACAGATGACCAACTTTACGTCGTGGGTACCCTGCATGCTTTTCCAGCTCCCGCAGAATTGTTATAGCTTCTGAGCTGCTCGTTGATATCATTTATTCCAAAATCACTTTAGCTGTGTAATAAATCCAGTTGTGGAAACAATGTTTATTTTCATAATTGTATTTTGAACGTCAAGCTTGTGTTTGTGCAGAGCCGGGTCCGTGTGTGCTCGAGTCACGTGCGTTGTACAGTGCGTAGGCGTTGACTTATTATTGTTTCTACCGAGGGACTGTGAAGTTGCGCAATTGGACTTAAAGCTTCTAGTCGTCTCCCTGTTCCATGTTTGTCAAAATTATTAACAACATGTAGTTTGTGTTGCATCACACTGACTTGGTTCTTGCCAGACTAAAAACTACAAGCAAAGATAAGATTTAGGTATACAAAAAGATTGAGCATGTGCATGTATTATTTTTCATTCCTCCATCCTCCATGATGTAACAAAAAGCAATAATTGATTACCTACGGTCAAAGAGGATTTCATCTACGTGAAGTTAAATACACTTGGTCTGAGTTGCATCAGAATTATGCAACAATAAAAAAAATAGTATCCTGATAATACTGTAGGTGCTCAGGAAAGTTTACCTAATAGGTCTGCACCCGTAAAAGGTTTTTCCGGACAAATATTCCACTTTGTTTTTGATTCGACTTTTATATAGATGAACTTCCTCATTTGTTAATCGTCTAGTGAATTGTTTTTCCCCAAACTTTTTTTTGGGGATCCCGCTGGCAAGTTCGTTATTTGGGCCGTCATCCTGTGGCAATGATACTCGTGTGTGGTTAGCCTTGGACGATCGCTTGGTTTTCTCGCAAAGTGTAGTGTCCCATGTACATGTACATGTTATACATGTACATGTAGCATCATTACATTGAGTGCCCGCAAGGCACAAGTCTGTACACATGATGCTCACAACTGTTGCAACACGATGAGTAAGCTAATAATGATCTTGCCTGCCTCGTTGGATCCGTAAGACGTTGTGATGTTTCATCTCAATGGTATTCTCTCCTTGACAACTTGAAGGACAGTCCTCTGAAGAATGGATGCGCTGAATAGGTTGGTCCTCGTGGATATAAGTGTATTGCATTGAGGTGCTCTTCTCAATAGATTGTTTCACATATATTTTGTGGGCAAAAGAGTAGAAATCTGAGACAACATTCGTATTGTGTCAAGAACTGCTGTGTCAGTCGGTAAGACTATAGTTTCAACTAGGTTTGATGTAGCATTGTTTAATATTTTAAAAATGATCAAACGTCTGGCCTCTAAATTTTACGTTGTGATGGTTTTTGGGTGTTTTTTGTGTGGTAAATCGGTGTGTCTATTTCCAAACTTTGTCTTTAGGGCACATCCCTTGGCCTTAAGTCTGAGTGAGAACATTAAGTTAAAGAAAGCATCAATAAAATATAAATAGGTTTTCGAGGGGCTGTGTTTAGGGGGGAAATAGTTTAAAGTAGACGATAAGACTGTGAACCTCGTGGTTTCTGTATGAGTATACTACTGTATAGAGTAGCCTACCATACTTCCTGCTGTCGATAGTTGAGAAGTGGTCTACCGCGAAAACCCAGGGACTCTTGCAAGCGTACTTCAGTGGTACAACATCCTTCGTCCCGTGATTAAGATCTGGGCTTTTTGTAATTGTGTGCGGGGAAAGCACCGGGTTTGTTTAGATTTCCCTGAATGGTAGTGTGAATCTTAGCGCAGGCTTTGACTTTTTGGTAAGATTGTTTTCGGTTAGTTTACAAGCATCTGTGTACTTCAGTCCACTCTGAAAATTGTCCTCACAAAAAAAACAAGTCACATCTCAAAATCGTTTCAGTAATACGGTTGAACGATTAAAAGCAGTTTGGCTGTCTATTATATAGGTATGCATGTACATGATTATGTATAACTGAACTGAAATATATCAGATAAAAACCACGTGTGTTTCAACTGTGTAGTCACGTGACTTAACGGACCGCCAATTAGCGAAGTCGTAGGAGTCACGTGGACAAGCCAGGCCGTTGGTTGCTAGAGCGTGGGCGGTGTACGGGTTGGTTAACTACTTCGTGAAGCCTTGTGAATACAACTTCAATGGACCCGTCATAAATTGATGAACAATTCTTTCAATTTCGCTTCCATTCCGGACTTCTCTTTTCCACCGAGAGCTTGGAGCAAAACTTCACGCACTTTGGACTTGGAAGCCGTAGTGAGGACGACCATTAATCGCTGCGTCTTTAAAAAAAATCACTGTCAAGTCAACCCCTTCATTCATAAGTTTGCAAGGATGACCTCGTTGGTCCGTGAAGTCACTGTGGAGGCACACGCTGACTGAAGAAGCCACCCCATTGGCTGACCCAACCGCTGACGTCAAACTAATCACAGTTGTGGCTTCTACGTCACGCGCGCCACGAGCCAAGTGGAGGTTCCCCGGCCTTTTTCACTGCCTTGGCATGTAATACAACGTGGACTTTACTATTGCTCAATACAACTTCTTTCACTTTGGGAGGACTCGTCCAACTTCACTACTCAGCGATCTCTGGTGGTTAGTGGGAAGGTATTCACGCGAGAGGGGCTTTTCCACACGGGCACATGAGTGTGCCAACATTGTACGTACTATGCACTTTCTTTTTTGTATGCCATTGTAATTATTTGTAAGATAAATATTTTTGTTTGGGTAGATAGCCTTTGAGGTCGACTTCACATAGTGGTTTCATCTTTGCCATAGATGTTCCTCATAAATGTGTCTTTTATTAAAAAGACAAGTATTCTCAAGTCTTTCCAATTCCATAATGTAGCTCCACTTACTAGCATGGAGGAATATGCTGTAAGTATTTAAGTTATTTTATTTTTATAATCTACTTAACATTTTCTGTTTCAGCTTTTGCCATTGTTCTAGTCAACTTTTATTTAATTTATAGTTTTAAATTTTAAGTGAGAAGACGAAGCTTGGATTACGCTAAAAGCTGTTTGGAGTTCAGCCCTAGATAGGGCAGAGTTGAAGCCCAGAGCACTCCCATTTCTTAAACCTGTGAAATTGGTAACTTTTGATTTATGTGTTCTGAATCAACTGTGTGAAAACAATTCCTTCGTTGACTTCATTCGTGTGGTTCTTATTCTTACAATTTGGGTACTCCTATATAGCTCCTTCTGCAGTCAAACTTCTAATGCCAAGTTGTTGTTTTTTTCGTCGATTGTGACTCATGTCGTCCGTTGTAAGAAACGAAAAATGGAATCAACATGGCGGCGACCAGCGTACGTCGTCATTTGGGCGTCAGCAGAATTTAGGGACTCCGTGTGTACGGTAAATTTCGCAATGTTGACGGTACACTCAGGCCCGGAGAATGTGGCATTGAATGTGGAAACTTTACACCGACTTACCCCGAAATGTTGGCCGTGACATAATTTGCTTAAGGTGCCTTTTTTGGACATTTAGTTTTAGTTTAATTTCGTGTGTAAGAAAGCTTGTATGGAAATGCCCAGAATGTTGTACAATTGACCTCTTGTGATTTTGTCACGTTAGGCCTAGGCCCTATGTATAATAGAATCAACTACTCAAGCGGTGGCACGGACTCATCACAAATCAATTACATTTTTGGCGCATTTTTTCATGTTATCATTCGTAAAGAAATGAACATGAAATTGTAAATTAGATCCAGGGCATGTTCATGGACAGAACTGGCCATGGATAATTTGTGGTTACAATTTTCTTTTCATATCAGATGTTATGCTTATGACTAACATGATCTCTTCAACTGGCTATACTTATTGTAAATTTTTTACAATAAGTTGATTTTGTTTTTATAGCTCGTTGGAATGAGTCAACGATAAAACCACGGGGTGAAGTTAATGGTTCTGACTGAGTTTTAAAAGGAATAAATTCCTTTGAAATATTTGCCTCCGGTGAAATTTGTCTATTCGCATAGACGCCATATTGCGAACTGGAAAACAACATGGCGGCGGTCGTGATTGCGATGCACCATTGCAAATCACTGCAGACTGTGTTACGACTCGGGTCTTTAAAATTGAGTCTTTTCGTTGATTATTCTTTTAATATTTTAGTTTTTATCGTGGAGTGTGAGTGTCTGTGGTGGATAAAAGGTTATAGTTTGATCTGTAGCAGATTGTGATGGAATTTCTGGGGGACGATTGTGGTGGACATTTTGAATGCGAAAGGGATACGGCGTTGTGCATGCATGAGTTTCTTTGTGTTTGATACAAATATATATATAATCATTGGAGTACTGGAAACTGCATAATAATTGCCTGAAAACAATCCGTATTTGACTTCATTTGGTAAAATCATTTGTAAGAATGTGATTCACCTTCGTTTAATTTACTTGAGAGTAAATATCAGACTACGAATCGATGGACTGTCGACCAACGGGAAACAATGACGACACGTACCATGGCAATAGATGGAGTTAAACATTTCGGCAATTTTTTTTCTAAAACTGCTTCAAAGATACTCATGATTAAAGCAGTTATATTGATCATGATGCTGAGTTTCCTTTGCTGATTTCAAAGATATTCATGACAGGAGGAGTGACAACTTCGGACTATTTTTTTCCTGTAATTATTTTATAGATATTCAATATTTTATCCGTTATATTAATGATGATGTTGACTGCTTTCTCTTAGAATTTCAAAGATATTCATGACAGGAGATGTATTCTAATTTCTGGCCATAGCTATTTCAAAAATATTCATTATTATATCGGTTATATGGAACATGATGCCGACATTTTTTTCTCTAATTATTTCATAGGTATTCATGTTTTTTATCTGTTATATTGATGGTGATGAAATGATTGGTGTTCCAACAGAACCTTTGGGAGACCAAACCGAAGCATGCCGGTACTGATGACCACGCCTTCGCCGTCCAGTCAGGCCAGCTTCCCCGTCACCACCAGCGGTGGCGCGCCGGTCCAGTCGGCCGCGCTCTCGTCCTCTCGGCCGGCCGAGCGGATGCGGCTGCGGCCCTGGCTCATCCGCAACATCGAGGAGAGGAGGATACCCGGGCTGGAGTGGCTGGATGAGGCGGAGCGGCTGGTCAAGATCCCCTGGAAACACGCCGCGAGGCACGGCTGGACCTGCGACAAGGACGCCTCCCTGTTCCGGGCCTGGGCTATCCACACGAGTAAGTCATCCTTGAGAAATTTCATCTTCAATCTTTCCCGTATATATCATCTCCGCCCCCACCCCACCCTTTCTAATTTTCAAAGGGTGAAGCTATAGGGATTAGACGCTTTTAAAGTAAAAAAAAAAAAGAACTCTAATTTAGATTGCATTTCACTTAATTAATTTGTCGAGAGGATTGACGGTGTAATTTTAATTGAAACACATTTCTATGATTCTGTTTAACCACTCCAGTTGAAACTCGAGTAAAACTCGATCTATATTCGATTGAATTAAATTGTACCCTTCGATTCATCTTGTCACTAATATCACTCGGATGGAGTGAAATTTTCACTCGACCAGAGTGGATTTTCACGCTTTAGTTACAAGAGTGATTCCTCCTAATGTCTCTCCATCATGTTGTAAAAAAAAACATGGACGAAATTTCCATCAAAGAATGGAGCTTTCATACCTTGGGCAATGACGATTTCAACGACTATAAACCTAAACCAAAAGTATGAAACAGAGTGTTGTAAGTACAAACAAGATGTACCGTTATAAGGTTATAACTGTTCATTCCGATTTTCGTCAGAACTAAATATTACTCTTTATCGTTCATAATTACGAGAACCTTTACAAAAAGACATGAAATGAAACACAACATCGATCCTCTGTTGGCCACGGTGAGGTCTGAACCTTATTGTGACGATAAGGAAAGTACGAAGTCGTAAAACGATTGCACCTTTTGACATCTCATTATCTCCACCAACTCCTTAAACCCCTCCCCCACCCACTAAATCTTTTCGTAACAAAACTCATCCTGTTTTTTGTGCCTCTGCACTTTCATTTCCCATTTTATGCCCAAAGTGACAAGTTATTTAAAACCTTATTAAATTCAAACCATTCGGAATGTTGACTCTTTTCTTTCACTTCTCAAGGCAATAAGATTATAAGACAGTGTATTAATCTTTTGACGTTACATTGTCGACACAATAATGGACTAAGTAACGATCAAATTGTATACATTGAAAAGGTAAAACTTTTCAAAACAAAGAAACATTGGTGTCCTTATAGTCAGAACGAAAGTTTATCCGCTACTAAACTATAAGTTCAGAGACTGAAATGAGGTCAATTATGGATAGATTTATGAATTTCTGAGCGAGAACACGGAGTTGAAACGTCCCTCACTTTTTATCGCCGCCTTTAAATGAATAAGTCACCAATTGGCAGCCGTTGCTTGGCCCAAAGCACTTCTCGGAGTCAATAAAATGAAATAAATGCCTCCCTGTTTTAATGTGAACCCTGCTTCGAAACAATAACGAACGGTCGTTCATTAGGGCAGTTGATGGCGGAGCAACACATGGCGCGCCCGGCTTGGCTCCGGTACAAAAAAAATCGATAGTTAACTTTGGCACGCGGAAAAAAGAAAAAATCAATAGGTAAATAAAACTGAGCAAATTAGCAGTAATTTTTAGCCGCGTTCTCTGCAAAGAAAAAAATAATAACAGGCAAAAAATCAAATCGATATCAATCAAATAAACATGTGGCAGTTGTATCCATGATGCCGTGATGGTGTTTTGGGGAAGAAAAGAAAACACTATGAATAAAGTTAGGATTACTATGAATTTTTTATTTTTGTTTTATTGGGAGATTTCATTTGAAATTGTGTGGGAGGCTCGACGGATTAAATTCACGCTGGTGACTGTGTTGGGAAAGATTTTTGAATCAAAACTAGTCCTGCGCTTGAAGATATTTGAGTGGAAACTATACGGACAGAGAAAACGGTTTATAAAGGAAGAGGTAAAATTAAATCTGTGTCAAAAAGACGAACCATTCTGGTCGAAGAAATAGATGACAATAATTTGGCATAAATCCGACTTTTGCAAAATTAGTATTGACAGAATTAAATTCCAAAGTGTTTATTTTTTCAATACCACCACAGAATTGTCCACGAGAGTATTTTTAAAGATTTCCCCAACACTATCTCACTCCTTCCCTTGCCATCAACATCAACAATTAAGAGCAAGGTCATATTTTTACAACTCTTGTTGGAAGTTTTATCTCCAAATGAACCCTCCAAATGCACCTTATCAACGCCTCAACCACATCCCCTCGAAACCACCATTTGTTGCATAAGTTCGCAGGAGAGAACGAGATTTTGAACGAGACTGTTCAGTTGAGTCGTATTTATACAACAAAATCAAACTGCACCTAAAACAATACAAAACTCTCTTATTTTTCTGTAGTGTATACATAAAAAGTACAAGGTGTGAAAATATTGAAATTGAAAATCATAAATGATGCATTGCGAAATGTATCTCTGTTCTAAGCGTGGGAATGGACTCCTCGCAACAAGGAAGGGAAATGTCTCGAAACAAGGAACCAAGCAAGAACAAATTCTGGCCGTTTCAAAACGAGGAAACTTGGCCCATAATTTCACAACCGCGCTGTGGCTCGAAACTTGGCTGGGAAAGTGTGATTTCCTCCGCCGTCACGAAATGCAGTCGGAGATAAAAGTATTGAATGTCACTCCTCGTGATTTCATCAATTTTGTCTTCTTTTTTGTGTGTGCATTTTTAACCAGATTGCCAAGGCCATGCAGATATTTATTTTTTACAACGATCAAGATTATAAATTAAATTTTAATTTAAAAGTACATGCAACGCGGAACTGCAGTAAACTTTTATTTTATTGCCTTTCCGATCCACCATGATTATGAATTATTGAAGGTTTTTTTTCCTTTCAAGCCAAAACAAAAAGTAAATAATATGAAACTCGTGTGAAATAATATAATTTTGTTTATCTTTTAGCCTGTCTATTATATTTTGAAAGGTTAGCACTTTTGTGTCAACCTTGTTTCATTCATCTTGTTGTCATAAAAAAAAGTTTCGATTTAATTTGTTCACAATGGTGTTACTGGCGCTATACCTGACTGCTCTCAGCATCGAAGCAAAATTCCAGTTAGCGTGGAAACAGTTGCCTTCCAACCAACTTGACCCGCGAATTCCAATTGGTATTTCCAAGAAAACGGTAGTCTCTATAAAATAGTAGCATTTTTTTATTCCTTAACTTGATTACCATACGACGTGTTGACGTGTCATAAAAAAATGGCGGGAAATAATCTCAAAAGAGTCATTAACCTGATTGATAGTTGGTCCACTTTTGTAAAAAAAAAAAAAAAAAAAAAAGTTGAGAGAAAAAAATCACGCAAATAAACGCGGAAATCGTAGAAATCTGTGGAAGAACTTAATCACCCGTTTAGTCGATGATATCCAGTTCCCAGGGCTACAAGTTGACTTTAGTCATAATCTTCGTTGGTTCCCGAGGGGAATGGAGGAATGCGGAGAACAGCGGGATCAAATTGGCGGGAAAGGCGTGGGGACCAGCCCACATATTTTTTTTCGTCAGTACTTGGCATCGGTTGTCACCGCGTAATAAGATTATCGTGTCGTTGCAGAGATATGTCGAAATCAGCGATAAGTCAGTGATAAAAAATGTGCTCACCTATAATTATGAAAACCTTGACTTGTGAATCCAATGATATAGATGTTAAAGATTTCATGTTTAAAATCAAGTGCATATAAATCGTAATGTTAACATTATATATTCAAAGCTCAAACCAGACGGAGGAATTATACATGTATACTGGCCTTGTTAATTTTTACTTTTCACAAGCCACAGCAAAACCTTTTCGCTGCACAATGATTTTTCAAAATGTAGCCAAGAATTGAAAATCGCCGAAGAAAATATATTTGTTACTTCGTTCGTCTTCGCATTTATTTCACACTTTTAAGTGACACTTAATTGTACTATACAAGAACTTAATGAAACACAGAAAACCGCAGCGAAGGGCGCCCTCGTTACAGAAAAATCAGCAATGGGTTTCTTGTTTTATTTCAGTGTGTTAAACTTTGAAGTTATTAGAAGCCTTTCAGTAAAGCATGCCCCTGCTTCATAAAATTGTGTTGCACACGATAAAAAAAAAACATGCCAAAGATAATTTTCGAATTCATCATGCACGAAACCCAATCAATGACCGGCTTTAAATGCCTCTTGCCACCCATTCAATTGAATTATGAATATTCATGAGGCGGTATTTTACTACACATACCTCTGTGCGTGGGCGTATTTATATGGGTCATAGAGCAAGGTATTTTGAGCACCGCGGTAGACCCCTGTTATGTTTTCTTTAGAGTTGTTCTGCTATGCGAGGGCCTAGTGAGTCAAAGTCACGAGACGAACTCCCGGAGCAGACAAACAACTTTGTTTGTGCCTCTTTTCTACCGGGCTCCAAAGATCCCCTGGTCCCCAACAAGCCTGGGCAGTGCACGGAGACGCGCTAACTGTAAGGGTTGGGCCTGTCAAGTTGTTTTTTAATCCAAAAAGAAATTCGGGTGAACTTTCCTTCTTCTTGTTGTTGTTGTCGTCGGTCTGCGGCTGGAAATGATGGAACCCGAAGCATGATGAAATTTCTCGGAAGGAGGAGTGGGCGCGGGGTTGTTGTAAAAAAAAGGAAGTCGGCACCAAAATTGCGAAACGATCGTCAGAGTGAGAGATCACAAGGAAAGCTTCAATTTTCATCATCCATTTGTGTCTGACGAGAGTGGGAAGTGTATACAACATGCAAGAACTACACCTGCAAGTTGTTAATTGAAGAAACAGGCCAGCCCTGCACTGATGGAATATTATGTAGGTTCTTTAAAGTTGCTATTTTCCGATATTGTAGCAGACGGTGTGTCTATGAGGTCTTCAAAAGTAACGTAGGGAAATGATTATCCATTTCTCAAATAAGGAGGGAAAAAGGGAAAGTGAAGGGCGTTTTTGTGTCAAAATTGCAACTCATTCTAATTTCGAGTACATATGTCTATTTTGGTCTTCAAAAGTAAAAGAAAATTATAGTACACTTTCTATTTCTCAAATAAGGGGAAAAAAGGAAAACGGACTGACGCTTTTGCGTCAAAATTGCAACTCATTTAAAAATTGTAAGGAACTAGGGTTTTAACCTTCGTCGTTGAAGGGATATCAAACCCCGTCAAAACACATGATAAAGCCATATCGCATTGCGAAATCACAGAAGTGGCACCGTCATCTTTTCTGTTCCTGTTGTACTTTCCATGTAGTAACTCACATGGCTATGCAGTCAGGGTTTTAGTGAGTCAACAAAAAGTAGTCGCCACATCCTTCGCTATTAGTGAAACACCGTTGCTTTACTTAGGCTACTGCGATTGAGCCGAGTAAATGGGGTTCCCCCTTTCTATTTGAACGTGAAACAAAAAGCACATGATTCGCCGCTGAAGTATGCTTTTGTGCCCAGTCACTTCCCAGGGTTCTGGAATGGCATGCGCGGATAAGAGCCCGGGATCTTTGCGTGGGCGAGCGTTTTACTTTGTAGCACCGAAGTCACAAGATACGCTTGAATGAACGCGTCGGGATTCCCTCGCACACCCACGCAAAATAGCAGGGCATTTCCACATTGCCAATCGAAAACGGAATGCACCCTGTATAAAAAAAAAACACACACACACACACAAAACTGATTTCGTTTTCAGAAAATATGCCTTAGCTTTGATGGGAAAGGAAAGGGAAAGATCGACGCGTTCTTAGACTGGTTACATACACACATAAATATTTGTCAAAGAAAGGGGTTTTTCTAATTCAAAAATGAAAGAAAAACCTCCGTGGCCGAAGCCTATAAATAATTTCCAGAAATTTTAATCGGTGGGAAAATAATTTCCAGAAATTTTAATCGGTGGGAATCAATACGCTCACACTGAAGTCCGTGATGTATTGAAGTTATTGAACCCCACATATTTTTGTGATAAGAATAACAGAATGACAAGACAGAAATCTTAAATGTGTGTTACTGAACGACTTTAAAATTTAAAACAACGTACATTTACTGTCGAAGTACTTCTTTTCAAAGAGCTTTAGAAACTTGGTCTGGAACAAGCCCCAAAAGGCCGTTAGACCCTTTTTCGTCTAGTGGTGCATCGGCAACTTAAAACTGTCGTCGAATTTGTGTCCATTAATTAACCGTGTTGATTGGCTTCTGACAATGATTAAAGTGCCTCATTGACTCGATTCTTTTCTTTTCAACTTGTGTCTCCAGCGCGGATCAGACAATTAATTTTGTGACACGTTTGCGTTCTGAACTTGTGGGAAAATTGAAATGCGGTACGCCGGCTGTCGTGCGCACACGTGCGGCGTGTGCAAGCGTACGGGCGTATGGAGAAAAAAAACCTCGGCCTAGAAACAGCTGTGGTGAGGTTTCGCATATTCGAGACCTAGATTTTAAAAAGGTTCAAAATTGCACGCCTTTAATTGTTTCATTCCTGTTTTTCTCTTGTATCTCCAGAGAGACTGCTGTTTTGCGATCTTAATTATACTGCCTTTTTTGTCAGAGTATTTCAAAGTAAAATAAAAATGAGTGATATTCACTTTAAAATGTTCGTCTTAGTCCTATACTAGTTTCACCTCTTTGGACTGTAGAGAGACATAGTGGAGTACCATATTTTACTATAACCTAAGTTGCAGAACAAAAAAAAATACGTATCTTTATTTTTATAAAGTTCACCGAAAAAATCATGTACATGCACATGTTCATGTACATGTACAATCTGACTCCAAGTCCGTATCCATAATTTTATGAAAGAATTCCATTGCCTCGATTGCGTAATGGCAGCAAAACGGCATCCCCACTGGAGAGAGAAAAACAATGTTCATATCTTTGAAAGAACGCCACTTCAACATACAATACCAACAAGTGTACGAAAGATCCCCCCAAGCGGGTCCCAATGAAAGAAAACCCGGCCGGTGAATTTTGCGGGGGCGGGCGGTGTAGATTTACGGGCGCGCGCCGCTGATTTTCTATAGACAGCACGGAGTTACGTCGATAACTCGTGACTCGCCTCGAGGTCGTAGGGGTCGCATGTTGGGCAATTGTGCCGCGGGCTTAAGCGCGGAGATTCCCGTCAACTCTTTCTCTTTTGCACGGTAGAGGAACTTTTTTTTTCTTGGGCTCTCGTGTGGGTTCTTTTCAATACCAGCTGATTTGCAAGGCCAGAACAGAGGGTTCAATCAACTTTGGGGCTTCGCGTCTGTATGATTTTGTGACAGTTATTATCGTCCAAAACTTTTGCATGAAGTTGAACAGATGATGATCTGTAGGTGATTTTATAAGCGTTCTCTTTTCTAAGTTGACTGAACAGTGTAATGGGAGTTAAGCCTATTTTAAATCATGTAATCAAATCATTACTCAGAAAATCATACCCCCAAAACATCAAATTGAAAGTAAGAACACTAAACTATTAACATTATATATTTTCATTTTACTATGATACATGTAATTCCAATTAAGTTTTTAAGCCGTACTAAAAAAAGTTTGGCACAATAAAGGGTTCGACGCCTGTTAACGTTGTGGTAAAGTAACCATCAAAATAATAATTCACAACAGATACTTAAAACTAATTATCCACAAGTTATCGCGATCTGGCACGTAGCACTTAAATTTAATATGTTTAGAGTGCGAATCGGTTTACACTTCAAAAGGCAGCTTCTGAAAACCCAGGAAAAAAATGAGAATAAACCGCAACGCGATTCTCATGTAGTGGATATTATTATCATTTAAAATAAATCAACACAAAAAGATTTGTCAAGCTGGTCGCTCGTGACTCCGATGTGCGGGACAATGCGGAACCCGGACCGTGAAATACCGTAGTCTTCCCACCGTGAAATCGTGAACACAGACCGGGCGAATTGCGCAATGGACTCGGGGCACGTGTGCGGTCCGCATACCTTCCCGTTCATTGAACAAACACCCTCATTCAAGGTCGGAATATACCCTATACTTCAAACTTTGTGTAGTTTTCTGTAAAAGAAAAAGAGGCAAAAAGGAAACCACATTTTTGAAGCGAAATGCAATCGCTGTTACACTTCTAGAATAATAGACGCATAAAGGATGTATTACCGAGTCCGGTATCCAGTGTATGCATGATGCTGTATTGAAAGTTAATTCTAAAATTATAATATATTTCAAATCTTGTTAAAGTACATAAATCAATACTTTTTTTGTGTAATCAAATACAGTAATGTATGGTGGCCCTGAAGGGACATCGCATATCGCAAACGTGTGCGCATACGTATGCGATGTCGCGAAATTTATCGCGAATGTGTGCGCACACGTATGCGATGTCGCAAAATTTATCGCGAATATGTGCGCACACGTATGCGATGTCGCGAAATTTATCGCGAATATATGCGCACACGTATGCGATGTCGTGAAATTAATCGCGAATATGTGCGCACACGTATGCGATGTCGTGAAACAATTCGCGAATATGTGCGCACACGTATGCGAATTTGTTTGCAATGTCGTGAATTTTATTGCATACCTTGTCGCATACCTTTCAGTAAAATTCCTAATGAACTGGGGAGTTGTAGCAGCTAGTCTGGAATCTAGACGTACTGTTAGATATAAATAGGGTCTGACTAATAAACCTTCGCGCGCACGCTGTTCCTCGTGCAATCGTTACTACAAGTACTGTCGAGCGCAAACTTGCTACTTGCGCAACTTTGAAATTTGCGCGCGCAAGTTTGAAACTTTATATCTAACAGTACGTCTACTATTTATATCTAACAGTACGTCTAGATTCCAGACTAGCTGCTACAACTCCCCAGTTCATTAGGAATTTTACTGAAAGGTATGCGACAAGGTATGCAATAAAATTCACGACATTGCAAACAAATTCGCATACGTGTGCGCCGTATTCGCGAATTGTTTCACGACATCGCATACGTGTGCGCTCATATTCGCGATTAATTTCACGACATCGCATACGTGTGCGCATATATTCGCGATAAATTTCGCGACATCGCATACGTGTGCGCACATATTCGCGATAAATTTTGCGACATCGCATACGTGTGCGCACACATTCGCGATAAATTTCGCGACATCGCATACGTATGCGCACACGTTTGCGATATGCGATGTCCCTTCAGGGCCACCATAGTAATGATATGTAGTGCTGGGAAACCAGACAAGCAAGCCTATATCAGAGCTGGTCTGCCCAGTGTTGTCCACAATATTTCATTAATTCAGAATGGCTTTTCACTGGAAATCTTTTAACGAATCTGGTCTACACAGTGGGCCAGAGTGACGTAACGAGGTAATCATATATGATAGCACTGCCCTGCCATCTGCACATGTCTAGTCTAATAGTCACATGTGACAGTCAGTCAGTCAGTCAGTCAGATAAGTAGAGGAAACTAGCCTGGCCTTAAAATAAGCCCACTTTTCTCACTTGAGAAAAAAAAATCTATTTCATCAGACCGAACTCATCAACTATCTTCTGCTGTATCGCTTACCGTCCCATCAAGTCTGGTATCGGACTCAAGTTCATTGCCAAGGACGTTGATCCTATTCCACGTCAAATCGTTCAGCATGATATACCCCACGGGCACCCCAGCTGTGACAGGCATCTCATAATGTGGTCCCGAGTATCAATTTTTCTCCTATTAATCATAGACTTCCCACACACGAAATGAGCGCTTTGGCCCTAGCGCCAGTGTACCTATAAAACCGCAAGTGGTGTACTGGTCTCGCGGTCGCATTATTGCGAGGCGTAGCAGTAGCGCAAACCGCAGGAATGTGGGGCAGTCGAACTTTCCGCGCAATTCGGTACTTGTCACCGTACAAATTGTTTGGAAGTTGCTGCAGAGTTGTAACCACTTATTACGATGGCTTAGTTTGACAGCCGAAATTAGGTCAAACGGCTGTTGAAATGATATTGACATTTTCAGATGGATAATTTGACTGATTTTTTTATCTTCAGTTTTCTTTGTCTGTTCTGCTACACTTTTTGTATGAATCCTCAGCACAGGTTGCAGTTTTAATTGATCGATGCGTCGTGTGGTAAGAATTTATATAATAATGATATTTTATATTATTTTGTTTCTCTCCGTTTTGTAGAAAAATATGACCCCGTTTCCAACATCCCCAAGGCCAACCCCAAAATCTGGAAAGCCAACTTCCGGTGCGCCATCAATTCGCTGCCGGACATTTTGGAGATCAAGGGTCAGGGCAAGAGCAAAGGCAACGATGCCTTCAAGATCTACAAGCTGATCCCCAAAAAGGCCAGAAGGACAAGAACGAGTAAGTCACGACTATATTTTTGATTTCAAAGATTTCCTAAAATATCTCTCACTGCATGAAATTTTTTATAGAGAATATTATGGCCAAGCCAACGCGTGCTGGTTGCGCGTAAGCCTTTTAAACGCTTCGTGAGTGTTCCTTCGCCATGTCATTCCACAAACTGAGATATCCATGCGCGCTATGAAGCAATGACAACATAGTCCGCGGACCTAGACTTCAAGAGATCCCGTTACCCTAATTTCCTCACAAAATAATGGTGAAATTACCAAACGATTTTCACATCTGCTCTCTTCACAGCTTCTGACGGTAAAACTTCGCAGAAGAGGTCGGGTCGCGTGCAAAAGAGCCGGCCGACGAAGCCCACAGAAAAGCACATCAGATCACCAACCTCGTCTTCACAAGTAAGAAATCATGTGGCTGTTTTATGTGTAAAGTTTCCATTTTTTTTTAAGAATTAAGTTATGTGCATGTTCTTCCTCAAATTGGTCAAATGCGGAGGACATAACCTGTTGGATTAGTTAAATATGAAGTCTAGTGTGCGAAATTGTTATGAAACTACAAAAATAGAATAGGCCCACTTAGGCCAGCTAAAAGACAGTGTTAAATGTTTAAAGGAAAACAACTTAAAATATATTGTAAATAAAGGCTGACCCCCATTCTTTATAATTCCTTTCAGATATATCCAAAGTCACGTGAAAACGTGTCTGGTAGCCTGTCTCCAGAGCAGTATGTAAATAATCTACTTCATCATAGTCGGTTACATGGTTACCCAACTCTTTGGGAAGATTCTCTTCGGACTGAAATCAGCCAATCACAGCGGACGACAGGTAAGGCCAGTTCGAGTCAATAATATGAAAGAGTTGTTTCTATTGGTCACGGCTCAAGAGAGTTTCTTTATGCAGATAGTTCACTTCACGGAAGTGACATACTTTCGGCATCGGTGACAAAAATTAATTTTGATGGGTTTGTTTTGGCCTCTTTTTAAGTCTCGGAGAAACTGTCCCTTTTAAAGTTTGATTGTAATAGAGTTTTATTTGCCGTGGAACATTCAGAATTTTAATTTCCTTTAAAAAACATGACCAAACAGGATTTCGTGTTCTCGTCAACAAATTGAGGAAGTCATACAACCAAAGGAACACGTAGAACTCAACCCTACCCAGCATACTTCATGTGTGTTTTAAAAACATAAACATTCAATGCCAAAGTGTATTCCTGCTGAAAACGAAAGTGTCCTTTATATATATACGATGGACCTTGCTTCGACGTTGTTTTTTTCTGGTCCGGATTTTTTCGTTTTCCCACGGCAACTCCAGAGAGTGCTGCATCGCGAAGAGGAAGCGGAGTTGAACAATCCTGGGAAATTAAATGTTTGAGGGCTGTAAAAATAATTGGACCCATCAAAACAACATAGGTGGGACACATTTGGGGTTTGTTTTGTTTAGGATGCGGTTCACCGCTAAATGCTTACCATGATGTTGCTTATGGGCAGTGTGATTTTTATTGGCTAGGGAAAATGTAAACCTGCATTTATTGTGCCTGGTTGGAAAGTGAATTGTTTACGACATAGATTTCAAAACAGTCCGTGAAAACTTCAAGTTAAAACTGACACAGTTTATTGTCATGTGTGTGTTGGATCAGTCATTTGTAGCGTAAACATTATTTTGTTAAAGTGAAAGTGATTTTAGGTGAAAGACTTGGATGACAATTTTGGTTGGGTGATTTCTTTTGATTTCAGAACCGTGGAGCTCGACTATTACCTACACCAGCGGCCGGCATTCACCGATTCGGCACGATCTGTCGCTCTACCCGACCCCACCATCGTCGAATTCGAACCAGGGGACCACCGATCCGCTGAACCTGAGCTCCAACCACCACTCGACTTCCGAAGTGCCCGTCTCTTCCCCACCGGCCTACCCGCATCACGCCCGCGGGGTCTACGCGACGCTCTACCCGATCGGCACGTCACGGCGGCACGGCGTGTCGCCAGCTGGTTCCCGGAGTCACGAACTCGTGGAGCAGTACATCTGCGCCGAGGACAGGCACAGGGCGGAGGTCATGAACACCGACGGGTACCATGAGCAGTTGCAGGATGCAGGTAGGTCCTTGAAGGGCATCTGGCTTAAACGAATTAATAATTTAAATTAATTTGAGTTTGATTTCATCTCATTTGTAGTAACATGGTTTTCAAAAAAAAATGAAATTAAACAGGTCTACAAGAACTACCGTTTCACACTCACTATCCGCTTAAAACGATAAAATACACGGAAAAAGCCATTAAAAATTGCCAAGGTAAAGATATACCAATGGAAAAATAGTTTCAATTATGTGACTGATCCATTGTAAAGTTCGATCTCAAGATCGATTGGTACTATGACCACAAGTAATGCGTCAAAATTGGGGAAATCCACGATTCTTTTTGACTACATCTGTACCAGTCGATAAAGACGTCAACGATTCCGAAACTAGTTCGCCCTCAGGCTCCCTGTCAGTTTCGTGTTTAGTAATTTATTTTAGACGAGTGAAAGTGTTATTTTTAACGGGTGTTTGCAGAGTAATTTTCGTTATCTCAGCCCGTTCGGGTGTTGTTTTAAAACAATCTGCAACAGGAATTAATCAGTGTGCTTTAATTCCCTGTTGCGGTTTCCTTATGCCCTTTTGCTTACTATTATCATCGTCATTTCCTTGTACTTGTTCGTGACTGTACAATGGATTGTGTGGTAGTAAATGTTGCAGATCAAGTTTATATAAGTGCACGCAACCTTTGTTGATCTTGGCTCACTGTTTTTCTGTTCGAGGGTGGCATACTGCCCTACCAATGGGCGGGGCTCCTAGTGGAAAAAAAAAGAGTTCAATCTTTGTTACTTCAGATTTTTTTAAAAATATTTCCCCCAAATCATCTTAAGTATAGGATATGAAATCAAGAGGATTGTTTAATATAGGAATGTACTTACATTTTCTTATTTTAAATTTCATGAAAAACCTTTTTAGGTCACTTTTTTGTGGGGGTGTGGGTGGGTGGTTGTAAATCGTTTTAAACGGCAGCTTTCGATTTTAAATTGGTCCCATTGACCAATTTTATGGGTCAAGGTTTTTTTTTCAAAGCGCAAAATGAAAGCTTTTGACAGACTGTCAAATTCGTTGATTAAAAAATGCGGAGCACACAATCTGATGTGCACGTTTTCAGAAAAAAATAATACATATTGATAATTATTTTGGAAATTCGCTTTATTTATTTTTTCCCCTTTTTTGTTTTGTTTCTCAGAGAGCAACTGCAGCAGTGTCCCATCTGACGAAGAGATTGTTGATGTAAGAGTCTTTTTTTAACTTCATTTTTCCTAAAAGTTCTTTCTGTTGTCTGTTAATAATTATTCTTCAGTGGTCTTTAGTATTAATTAATGTCGTCAAAAGGATTGTAATTTTGAGGGCGCACAATTTTGCGTGTCGCTATAATCAGCTTAATAGGTAAAGGACGAGTGAAAGAACAAAGATGGAACGACCAAAATCCCAATCATATATTTTTGCTGCCACTTTTTAATCAAGGTGAATGAAAACGACACCAAAAAGAAATCGAAGGAAATTAAGTGTCTCTTTGAAACTGCGGCTCATTACTGATAACACAATGAAGTACATGTGGTATGGTTCTCAAATTGTGATATTTCAAGTTTGACCTTATCTAATGGACATCATCACGCTAACTAGCCGAGATATGGAAAGTAAAGAACACAAATAGTTTCATCTAATTATCTTCAATTGTCAGCAATGTTGAACCAGCTGAACTTGGCGCGCCAAAGGGGTAGAGAAGAACGCCCTCTGTCGACAGCAGCCGCGAACATTGTACACATTTTGCTGTCTAGACGCGACGCCAAAGAAAAATAAAGCGATTGGGCAAATCGTCTTCATGTTCCCTGGGGAATTAGCCGTTCAGAAAAATTGACCAAATATAGAGAGGCTTGCCAAACCCCTCATTCAGACAAAAGGAACATTTTAGGGGTGCCAGAAATCGAATTTCGCTGGGAGAACTTGGCGCGCGAGCGCCTGTTATGGAAGTGGCAAACTTGTTCTTGCTCTTATAAGGAGTGCGCTTTGGAGGTGGCGATGATCCCAAAATGCTGATAACGACAAATATTCTCAGCTTTCGCTTTTCAACTTAAAATTTAAATTAGTGTTAATTTGAAATAACGTAGATGGAGGTCTTTTCGATGATTGCATCACAGTTGGAGATTTAGCTCATATGCCTTCTCCGAAACATAAAAATAAATAAATAAAACATGCTTTTATTTGCGAAGCTGTGTCAGTATTCAGCTTGACCACTCCCCCTCCCTCAAATTGCTCCACGCTCATTGGTCACTTCCGTTTTCACTGACACTTGCATGTTATCAACCCGCGCCGATCTGATTGGCCGTTGCCGTAACTAAAGCCAACGGGCCTTGGCGCGCACATTCGGCCATTGGTCAGCCACAACACCGCGCCGTAATTTACATAACTCACCGACGGTTTCTTACACTCCCCAGATTGTGGACGACATGACCAAGGACAGCCCATTGAACAGCCCAACTCGGACATCACCGTTCGATGGCAACAACAACAGCAACCCGTCCTCCTATTGGCAGACTAGCATGCAGGACGACAAACGGTTTCTCAGCGACGAACGCATGATACCGTCGACAAGTGGTACGCGTGCACACGCCCTTCGCGTGGTTCAAATTAATACTTAATTTCCCCCCTTTTAATTCAATTTGTGCCCACCCCAAAGGTGGTATACCCCCACAAGTTCACCCCGGGTCCGAGCACCATGCTATTCCAAACTTTATAGTTCAAATGCATATGGAACCTGTCTTTGATTTTTAGTCCCTGCGTTTGTCCAACTTTCCGCTTTCGCTTTTCGCCCATCAGAGGCGCCAACAATTAGCGATCTTGGGGTTACTGGAAGTTATTCGCGGCATGGGTGCGTGTTTTGACAGCACCAACATCATGATTCACCGCTAAAAGATGTAAAAAGTTTATTCTTGTACACGTTGCCGCCGCCTTTGTATCTCTCTAAGACCCTTGATCTTATTGGCTACCATAGCGGACGATAGTGGTCAGCTCCCCTGTCGATCTCTTGTGCCTTTGGTCAAATGAGTGTATAGAGGAAGCCTATAACATGATGAATTGTATTTCAAGCAACTATCGTTGTCAATTTGTGCAAAAGTCCCATTTGTAGCACCTTTTCATTTATTTTGAGCCTGACAAGTATTTGAACAAAAATACTCCCCAATATTCTGATAATACATGTAATTACGAGTACGGTACCACATTTTTGGCAATGTTTCAAATTTCTTTAATATCGATTTATTCATTTATTCTCTTGATACAGATATGTCGATGAGACCGCCCCCTCCCGACTACAACGCGTACCAAAGTTCAAGCCACGTCTTCAAAGTTGAAGCGAGGTCCCCGTGCGAATACATGAAGCCTGACGTGTACCGCGATATTCAATCAGGTAAGAATTCGATCATGCCCAACTTATAAAATTAAAAGCAATGTATTTTTGTCTCATTAACTTGCTCAACTCTGTGAACGGTGCATGTGCTAAGCGGAAAATAGCGCTTAGCAAATGTGTGATAAGCAAAATATCAGCCGATAACTAATTAAAACTACAGCATACATCAATTTACATCAATTAACCTGGCTGATGGCATTTTTTAGGACTGAATTTACTGAAGTTAGAGAACCACGTATAGTCTTTCACGCAATTGCCCGTTTCTTTCGGTAGAAACGTTCTGCGAAGTTCAGGCAATTTTAGCCTGATTTCCTTTGCCCGTATTTTGACTTTTCGCGACAATAAGCGACTTTTGTTTTATTTTTTTTGTCCACAACAGGGAACAGAATAGCAGAGACGAGCTCCGGTACCTGCTTCTACGTCATGTGAGCTTCGTTCTGATCTGTCGCATCGTGTCGATCTGCTTTTATTTTACGCTCGGCTTGGTAAAACACGTTGTGTTTTAATACCCTGAAAGATGAACCACTTCCAGCCTGCAGTTGATGCTGAGCTACCAACGCACCAGCTGAATGTGTTGTAAGTGATGTAGTTTGTCATGATCTGTATGATGTACATAAAAGTCGGCTTAATGTCTGACTACTCGTACAGCTTTGTCATGACTTGACCATCAAATAAAATCTATTGCAGCAAAAGGTTGGATGTACATTCTGTTAACGGAATCAAAGCTAAGGTAGTTCTGGAAGCTTGTATATTGCGCTTAAGTATGTCGGTATGTCAGTGTATGTGGGCCTACATGCGAACCCCTTTGATTGGATAAGTGGTGCAGTGCGATGTGTTTTGAAATTTTGGGATCAATTGTCTTTTTGTGGCATTAGCACGTGGATATGTGCATTTGTTTTACAAGTCATTATTTTGTTAGTAGTTACCGCTCTAGTGTGATCTTTCTGATATTTTGGGGAATGATGTTTTTTCGTTTTGTGTCATGATCTGTGGATACTTCCTTTGACTTCTGTCTCCACTTGCCTGAAAAGATACAATGTTTGTCGCTGCGGAAAACTGAACGCACGTTGAGGAAAATTTGATTGCTATGGCTTTTGGCACGATAGCACACCACGTTGTTTTGAAGGTATCATAAATCAGTCATGTTGTCCCGCATTTCAAAACGTTGAGCTAATGGACTGATCCGAAAATTACTGAAGGCTACAATTTTCTTGTATCGACGATGTGTGATTGTTGTGTCACTCAGTAGCATGAGAAAAGTAAAAGTTTCAATTTCTTTCTTCCGTTTGCGTACTTTTTTTCGAAACAAAAAGTGACGTCAGGATGTGTGGAGTTGTATTTTCATTATCCTTGTTTGGTGTTTGGCACGAAGTGCGAATAACTGTGTTTCAACTTAAGCTTGTGAAACTCTGGTCGGTTGAAATAAAACCTCTAAAAAAAATACAGAGTTGTGTTTAAAAGAGTAAAATTGGTTGTGAGTCCAAGAAAAATATAAAAACCTGTAAATAGAATATTTGTATATAAGAAAAACTTACAAAGCCCTTTTAAACAAAATATAAGAAAGTTTTAATGCGTGTATACTTCCTGCTTCTACTATTTTGTAAATTAGAAATCCTAGTACTGTTACAATTTTTGCATGTTTTTCGTTTTGTGAAAGTGGCTTTTCTTGTGTGTTATTTCTGATAGTCGGTGGTTTGGGGAAAACTGTGTTCCGTTTTATGCTTCTTTTAAATCTCCAAGTTGGTTTTAAAGCAGTTGAAATTATTAATGAGTCATTGATTTGTATCAGTCGCTATGATTTAAAGATATCAATGTGAACGTTTGCATTGCTTGATTTTCAGTAGACCCTGCGGGTCAGAAATATTATGGTTTTCACCCCTATGGTGCACATACAGTGGACTGTCCTGTCCACTTCCAGCCAATGAAATTGAAGTACAGCGCGGAGATTGAGAACTGTCGACTTTGATTGAGGGAGGTTGTAGTATCTTGTGAACCGTGTGGGTGAAAGTGCGTAACCGTCTGTATGGATGTTTATTTTGAAAGTATAAAGAAATCTTAAAGATTTCTTTCTTTATTTTAATTGCAGTTTTTATTTTACTCAATATCCATAGTGTTCTTAATACAGTTTTGGATGTAATGGTGACGGAATTTTTATCAAAATTTATATCCGAAAAAGATTTCAATATTCTTAGCATTTTTTTCCTTCAACTTTTGCTAATTGACATAATGTTAAGCAAAATGAGTACTATACATACGTGATTTGTACTAAAATTAATGACGATGGTACTATTTTTCTAATACATCTGATACTTCCGGATCAAAATTTCATATTTGTAAGAAAAGGACGGATCTTAACGGTGAATTTAAATGCATCTTCGAAGTTGTCGTATGTGCCTGGAGTGTAAGACTTATGGATTTTCTTGACAAAGGAAATGGTTGCATTGGGCGAATAAAGTCACATTTTTTCCTCAAAGATATGCGAAATCAGTGTCAGAGTCAAATTACATTATTTCGTTGGGTAAGTTTTTAATGAAGAGAAATGTGTAACAAGGTGCAACAAATACAATCGTCATCGATTAATGAAAAGTTTATCACAAGTCAATCACAAGTCAATCACAAGCATGTCACTATAGGTGTAGCTGATCTAGAGGAGGTAGGGATTGCAACCCCCTCCCCCCCCCCCACCCGTTCAGCCGCTGACTAATGTTATAAAACCTGGAAAATTGAACCCAAAATAATAATTGGAATGATAAAGTTCCTAAATTTATACTTGAATTGCCTTAGAATGCAGGAGAAATCATCGTAGATTTCAAAAGTTTCCGGGGGAGGGGGCATGCCTCCGGATCCCCCCCTAGCAGGGCGTGTCTTCGGCACGCCTTAGACTCAGCCCCGCCCCCCTTTTATCACCCCCCCCCCACCCGCTTTTAGCTAGATCCGGCCCTGACAAGAGTTCAATCGCGCGCAAGAGTCCGTCACAAGTCTATTTCAAGGGTATCACAAGTCTATCACAAGCATGGGCGTCGCGAGGGGGGGGGGGACTTGCCCCCCCCCCCTCGAAAAGCCCCCCAAAAAGGAGGGGGAAAGGGGAAAAGGAAGAAAAAGAGGAGCGAAGTCATATAGCTGTTAATTTCATGGGTGGGGGGAGGGGGGCAAATGTCCCTGCCCACCCTCGAAAAATGATAAAATGAGAATATGCTGGAAAAGTAGGCCTACAGGTATTTTAGGGGGAAATGTGCCCTCTAGAAAATATCCTGGTGACGCCCCTGATCACAAGTCTATCTATCACAAATCAATGCACAAGTCAATGCACAAGTCAATAAGTTGATCACAAGCCAATCACAAGGCAATCTCAAGCTTATCATTAGACAATTACGCGTCGATCACAAGTCAACCGCAATGCATAATCACAGGTTAATCATCCAATCCCAAGCCCCGTGAAAACTGTTGTGCATCCCTGGTGTATGTCGATAGAATTGTGCTTTTTCTTTCAGGTTTATGTTTTTTTTGTGATGAAGGGAGAAGTTTTAGAAAACAAAACCAAGTTACTTGCCAACTGCTATATTCTTTTGGAAAGTCTTGTAAATATAGCTGCCTATATAATGCTTTAAAGATTGCATGGCTGTGCTTTTGAGTTAATAGAAATAAATAATCGGGCTAAATTGCTCCTTTTTTTAGCATTAGATAAGCAATTATTACGACCTCCAACCGCAAAAGAATGTCTATAAAATGTTCAGTAGCAAAATCTTGAAGGAGTGTGTCGCGTCCCAGTCCTTGGGTTTCTTAGTTTCAATCACTGCCTTCCGCCCACCAACGCAAACCCTTGATCACGACACTGCGATTTCCACTGAAAAAAAACCTGGAATTTTGCACTGGTAAAAGGACAAAAGAACATGGTGGAAACATATACCAAATACTAAGCTAACTTGTAAACAAAACGTGTTGTCTAAAACCTATCGGGTTGTTCCCAACTTCCTCAGGAAAATCCCCAGTAGTCCAGAGTTGAATTCATATTTTGAAATTAAAGCACTGCATCGTACGTAATGCACACTATACTGAGAAAGTAAAATCACCAAATGACAAACTTTACCGTTTTTTCTTATCTCAACTTTTTTTTCTCTTGAAATCGAGTGGGAACTTCCCCCAAACTTTTGTCTTGGTCCGTTTCCTGTCAACCACCTCTCTTTCCCGATCCGAGAGGTCTGTATTTTTCACCGGTATTCCCTGGGTCTCATGACACCCGATCCTGGAAACAATTTAGTTATGTTCCCAGAAAACTGACTTCCGATGTTGGCATGTTTTTAACCTCTTTGTGACCATATAAAAATAACAACGCCGGGATCTCCGCATGGTGCCGACCACAGGCGCGTGGCTCGCGTGAACTCTGCGGGCCACGCGGCGCGGCGGGCCCCGGGAAGTGCGACTGCACGCACCGCTTGCAAAACCATTGTTCCCGGAAAGGTGAAACAAAATCAAATCAACACGCGAATCTCTTTATGGTGATATGGTGTGGACTTTCTCGAATTTGCAATTCATATCTCTCAGTTTTGGAACTGTATGACTATGACTGATAAAACGATCGAAACTTGTTTTTTCTTTCTCTCGACAATTTTCTTCCCCTTTCGTTTTCATCAGTAATAATTATTGTGTTCCCTTGTTTTAATTATTATTATCTTAACCGGTTTGCAAATTCAGTGGAATTCACCTGCTATTGTTTCCGACGGGTTTTAGTTAACACGAATCACAATCAGCATAGTACACAGAAATGGGCATCGATCCTAACAAAGTGATATCTAACGGTGCAATAGTATCGATCTAATATACAGGGTGAGTCGAAAGTGACCGAATTAGAAGATACAAATATTTAAAAACAATAGGTGGCTCACTCCTTTCCATAAATATAACATAGGGATAAAGTTCATGTTATTGACTAGTAACTGTGAAAGTTTCACGTAATTTACCTACTCTTTTCCCAAATAACGTCTATTTTAATTTTAAAAAAACCCACAAAATTCAGCTGTCCACCACTGGGCATTTATCGTTCTAAGAGCTGATGAATACCCATTAAATTTTACAATGAAACATGGACGTTTTCCCACCTCCATGAGTGAACGAAAACTTGCAAAGGGGAACAGATAAAAATCGCCATCAATATTTCAGGGTAAAAAAGTTGACTTGTTTTTCATATTGAAAACATAAAATCTGCCGTTAAAAATAATGTTTCAAAGCAGTCTTGACTCAAATGATTAAAATCTCATTTGTATTGGAATGCCTGTGTGTAATCTGTACCTCTCACTCAGCTCAATAGCTTCTAATAGCATTCCATGGAAAGCTATAAAAACAGGGTTTTTTTTAAATCAAAACACGCATAACTTCTGATAGCATGGATCAATTTCAGTAAGTCTTTATATCAGATGAGTGGAAGAACATGCTCTTTTAAGACAAACTTCATTCGTGTATCAAATTTGATTGCTTTTTAAGAAAAACAAAATCATAATCCAGGCCATTTTCTTTTTGACTCACCCTTTACCTACATGCTCTCAAAGTACAAATATTTCAGTCTACAAAAAATATTGAAAGAGTTGGAGACTTGGAGAAATAAACATGAAATAAAAAGATTAATCTTAAAGAGGCCTAAAGGTCTGAAGTATGTGTGTATCCGGGATTGGAGCCGTCACCTTTCAACGGTTGGGTTTTATAATTCAATTTCCATCGCACTAGGATCATGTGAGAAATCCATTATAGTGCCACAGGTGGATCAACACCTGTGACGCTTTTTTGTTTCCTTCGTGGAAAAACTCGGGTGAACTTTGGCGGACACACCACGCGTGGCCGATGGATGAGATTTACACACATCATTTTCATGTACAGCAAGACGGTGTGAAATAATTAGGTTATAAGGTGGGTGGGTGGAGGATAGATGTATCTAGCCGGTAAGTTATAGAAAATATATGACCACAACTAGCTTGACGATGTTGCATTGAGGGCCTACTATGCTATTAAAGTACTGTTTTGTGAAAAACAGTGGCCAATGTTCAGTCAAAAAGTTATGTTAACGACGTTTTTTAACGTTGCGTTTCATTCTTTTTAGAAATATTCGTATACAGGGGGATGAGACGACATAATTCTTAAAGGTCAATAGTTGTTGTTTAAAGCATGCACACACCTCTACAATCGTACTTCCTCAAAGAGGGCGCTGCTAAATCAGGGCGCTCGCGCTCTTTCCCGATCTCATGGAGGGACTGGAGATTAGTCTAACAGAGCGCATGTCCAAGTTCGAACGTTGATGGCGCTGGTTTTCAATTGCGAAACATTTTTGCATGTACGTGTCTGAAGCCAGACGATTCCCTTCAGTTTGATGAAAATAATGGTCTAGTCTCCGCCGTTTAAAGACCGCGTATGCAGAACTCGTGTTCACGCGTGTCATACACGTGGTATTGCGATTTGTTGTGCAGGTGTATTTTTTTCTGAACTTTGAAGTCTGCTCCGATCTTTAATACTACACAGAGTACATCATTTTAATCGAGAAATAAATGCCGTGTGCTACTTCCAGAATGGACGAAGACATTGTTCCAGAAGCTGGACCGGATGTCGAGACGAAGAAGACCAAAAAAATCAAGAAAGTTAAGAAGCCAAAGGTATGTCGCATGTCGCCGTCACATCGATCACACACAAACACGAACATGATGACGAAGTTGAACATGTTTAACAATACCCCCAATAACATGTTAAAAATGTGATCGCATTGTGAAAATTTTCAAAGTATTTTCCAACTATACAACATTTCTAACTATGAAAATAACTATGTTTTTGAAGTTGCCTACCTGGTTTGGTTATATTTGTCACTATGTCAAATTGTCTGCATGGTCTGGCAATGACTGAGCTTGAGGCATGCAACTTTTCCTCAGATTTTTTTGTACTTCTCATGAATGCCATTACAAAATTGAAAAATACTGTATAAAGTCTCACTGTCTTGTGTGCATGAAAATGTATTGTGTGCAGATAAAAATGTTCTATCATTATCCAATAACTTTATTTAAACGCAGTGGCTATTGTTACGGCAGCCGTAACGCATTTCCCATTTTCTATCGTTACGGTAGACTGCAACCTGGCAACTTTTATAAAAAAACATGACAAGAAAATATAAAATTAGAAGGAAAAAAGTGAATTTGAACTTGATGAAATTCGGACTTTATTTCCCTTTTAAAAAAAATCCTCCAAAGCCTCAGGTTAGAAAAGGAAAAAAATTCGAGTGCAAAACTGAGATTCGAACCCGCAACCTCGCGGTGCAAAATCCTAACCTCTATCAGCTGAGCTGGCGCACTGCTCGATAAAACGTGTGGAAACAAATAATTATATACCTGCGTGCGTATCAAAAAAATATCGTAGAGGGCGCTAAACAACGAGTGCCGTAACGATAGCCACTTCGTTATTTAAATTATTAAGACAAAATTCATATTTGCATGAATTTAAATGTTCTCATTGGTTAAATTAACGTTCTAGCAAGAGAAGTCGACACCTGAGGCTGACATAGCTGAGGAGCCCTCAGCCCCTTTGGTCAATGGGCACGCCTCGCCTGTCGAGGACGAAGTGAAAGAAGAGAAAAAGAAGAAGAAAAGTAAGAAGAGGAAACAGGAGGACAGCAACGATGATGTCGGCGAGGGCCCCGTCGTCCAGAAGAAGAAATCCAAGAAGAAAGATGTCTCGGAAGAGGGCGCCGCATCAGATCCAGTCAAGAAGGTCCCTGACTTGCCTGAGGTACATAGGTCAAAGTTCAGATGTCAAATGACGGAAATATAATCAGCATGCAAATACTGTCGGATGTATAGGAAAAATCTATAAAATTTTGTCTGTTGTGAAGTTATAGGTCCATCTGAGATATGCAACGGATGCAAAACTAACTGGAAAATGCTTATAAGTTATATAAAAGTTTTGCCCTTCACCGACATATAAACACTGTATACTCAGTGTGTTACCTCCCGAATGAAAGTTGGACAAAATCACTCGGGTGGGACTCGAACCCATGACCTCCTGCTTTCTAGTGCAGATGTCGTACCACTCGACCACCGAGATTCGAACCAGCCAGCCGATCCTGCAAGCTCGGTGGACGAGTGGTAAGGCGTCTGCACTAGAAAGCAGGAGGTCGTGGGTTCTAGTCCCACCCGAGTGATTTTTTCCAACTTTCGCTCGGGAGGTAACACACTGAGTATACAGTGTTTATACGTCAGTGAAGGGCAAAACCCTGATATTAATTTACATCAACCCGATGCAAATTCAATTTCGGCAAGGTGTAAAATTTGCTTTTCATATTTATTTATGTTTTAAAATCAATACTGAAAGGCTGACAATCATACAAAGCTATCTTTCTGAGAAATTGTAAGTCATTGAACTTGTACTTGTATTTATATCTACTCAGTTGTCACCAGAAGAGAAAGAAGGCGCTTTTCAAAACTTTCGGATATCTCCAAAGACGATTCAGCTTCTGAAAGGTATGTTAGAGAGTTTGCAGAAAATTTAGTTACTATAGGAGGAAAAATGATATGGAAAAAAATGTTGCAACCTGACGCCACTTCAGCGGTTGTGTACAAAGTCTATGGAGAGTCAAGACAATTTTGTAAGTATTTCCTTACAAAATTGGAAATGTTTCTCAGTGCCAGGTTCATGTCTTATCATCTTTTTTGCAATGACTGACCTTCATTGCAGTGATATATGAAGAAAAAAGTTGCGTCAGGTTGCAACATTTTTTCCAATGATATAATGTGATGATTTGAAGGGGGGGGGGGATTTGAAACTCAAAATTATTATGTTTGTGTCTATCCTTTTTTGTGAACTGAATATGTAATCCTTAACAGACATTTCCTGCAGGTTGTAATTGTCAAGATTTCAGGAGTTCTGTTTTAATATCAACTTTAATCTGTTGTGACTGGAGGTTCTACAAGTAAATTGTCTTGGCCTTTCTTTGCAGCACGCAAGATCACGTACCTGTTTCCTATCCAGGCAAAGACATTCAACGATGTGTACGATGGACACGACGTCATAGCTCAAGCAAGTAAGTCCAGCCAACCCTAGTTTACTTATAAAGGGTTGAAAAAAACTAATGAAGTCTCCTTTGTTTGTCCAAGATTGGACTTGGCCCTAATTCTGCAGCCGAACTAGGCGAATCAAAACAAAACATACTTTAAATCAATATAATAATAATAATAATAACAAGCATTTATAGAGCGCTCTTACACCTAAAGTTTCACAGCGTAACAGTAAAGTAAGTTATATAAATAAAGACTCAATATGTACTGAACTCAGTGGTTCAACTAGACATACTCGACAAAAAGTCAATATTGAGTGTAATGCTAACAGCATGCAATGTCCGCCCCGAATCCATATGAAACACATTTTTGGGACGAAAATTTCCAAACCTTTCTGAAGCGTACCCGAACTGAACTCAAATGACAAATTGTTAAATTAATTAACCCCTATTAACCCTCCTTGCAGGAACTGGCACTGGCAAGACCCTGTCCTTCGCCCTTCCCTTGGTAGAGAAGTTGCAGGACATACCCCGTAAGAGCGGACGACCACCTACTGTCATGGCTTTGGCACCCACCAGGGAGCTGGCTAAACAGGTACGAAAATAACTAGAGGTAACTTGGATACCTCCACAATTGCAGGTTGTGGAGACGATTCGTGTTACTTCGGAAACCTTGCTTAGGTTGCACAGCTGAATGTAGAGTCGAAGTTGTGCCATCATGCGGAAGTCCGTTCAGCACAGCCCTGGTTATCGATATGTGTGCATTGAAGTAGCCTTTTTGAACATGGTGTTTTCGATATGGCGGTTGAAAACACCGAGTTTTATTTATCGGTCGTGCGTAAAATCACCAGTTGAATCTTAAGTCAGATAACAAAGGGAGCCAGCCCATTGACACAGTTCATTGGAATAGCTTGTGACTTGACTTGAGACTGCATGACTTGTGATTGATTTGTGATGACTTGTGATGACTTATGATGACTTGTGATTGATTTGTGATGATTTATGATGACTTGTGATTGATTTGTGATGACCTATGATAGCTTATGATGACTTGTGATTGATTTGTAATGACTTACGATGACTTGTGATTGATTTGTGATGTCCTATGATGGCTTGTAATTGTTTGTGATTGCTTGTGATGACTTGTGAGTGCTTGTGATGACTTGTGATGACTTGTGATGACTTGTGATGACTTGTGATGACTTGTGATGACTTGTTGTGACTTGTGATGATTTATGATGACTTATGATATCTTCTGGTGACTTATGACTTTCCTCCATTACAACTTTAAACCAAATCTATCCAAGCCATGCAAACTCACAGTTCCTCACCGTCTCCCCCTTATAAGGTCTGTGAGGAGTTTGAAGCCATTAGCCCCTCCCTCACCACCTGTTGCATCTACGGGGGCGTGGCCTACTGGCCGCAGGAGTCGGCCATCCGTAAAGGCATCGACGTCCTGGTGGGCACGCCCGGGCGTGTCCTGGACTACGTCCAGAAGAAGAAGCTCAACCTGACCCAACTCAAGCACGTGATCCTGGACGAGGTGGACCGCATGCTGGACATGGGCTTCACGGAATCAGTGGAGGAGATCCTCTCGGCCGTCTACAACATCAAAGGTGGGTTTTGACCAATCATGCGAGTGTTCGGAATCATTTGCATACTGGGCCGTCCAATAATGTGCCTGAAATACCCTCGAAGTTCCATTTTGGTTTTTGATCTCGCAGACCCTGTGGTTATGCCGTAGTTATTCTATGAGGTTAGCAAATCGCTGATCAATTTTGTTACTCTTACTCCTATTCAACTTGATGTAGAGTGTCTTGCCCAAGGACATAAGAACAGAGGTCCCCTTATTTGGTTGAAACCCAAACAAGTGTTGCTCTTCAACTATATATTACACTTTTGTACAAATGTTTGTCAGAGTCGACTTTTGCTCCGTTCAAGGCACGATTTTCACAGAACTACTTGTTACAGAAGATGTTTGCCTCTGTACAATGTGGTAGACTTGTACAGTTGTATTCAAGTCCATCACAAGTCTTTCACATGTAAAGTCTCAAGGAAAAAAAGGGATAAACAAGAACAAAAACATGCCTTTGTAACAGTTGACTTGAGAAGCTTGTGACGAGACTGAAGTTCTTATGATGGACTTGATAAAACCTCTATTAATTACTGTTTTTTCTGTCCCTGTCTAAAGGTTCAGCGGCTGGCCAATCTTCGGACGGCGAGAAGCCTCCTCCGGCCAACCCACAGACCCTGCTGTTCTCGGCCACAGTGCCTGCCTGGGTGCTCAACACGGCTAGGAAGTACATGAGACAAAACCTGCGGAAACACGACCTGGTAGGAACACATTCAGCCAAAACTGCTAAGAACGTCAAGGTAAGCAGACTTGCTAAGCTATTCTAGATTTCTTGTTAGTCTATTGGTGGCCCAATTCCATTGGAGTCTCTAAGCAGAAAATGCCAAGAATATCGAGGTGAGATTAAGCAGACTTGCTAAACAATTTAAGACTTCTCATTCATCATGACTAGACCCCAGTGGACCGGACTAGATCACTGAGTCAACCTGATGGATCTTGTAACACTGAGCATGCAATATACTTTCACAGCTGTTGCATATTTTTGAAAGGATTTTTAGCCAAAATACCAAGCAAATTGAGTATTAATAAAAATTGATTTCCATGTTTCTTTTTTTTTTCTTTAGCATCTGTCAATCCGCTGCAACTACAAAGACCGGCCCAACCTGATCAGCGACGTGATTCGCGTCTACAGCGGGCTGAACGGTCGCATCATGGTCTTCTGCGAGACCAAAGTGGAGGCCAACGAACTCTCCATGAACCCCGCCATGAAGGTGGATGCTCAGGTCCTGCATGGCGACATCCAGCAACAGCAACGGGAAATCACACTAAAGGTACGTTCAGCCTTCTAGAAAATATTACACAGTTATCGGAGATGTTTACAGGTTAATCACAAGTCATCCAACCTGAATAATTAATTGACAACTTCAACTGAACTGTGAGAAAGATGTTCCTCTGTTGTTGTGCACCTCTTTTGTGATTTGATTTGTTACTGGAGTTTGATGGACTTGTTTTGGACTCAATGAAAATTCAGTGAAAATTCAGGAGTATCTGTAATTTCCGGATCAACATGTATTGGAAAAGAAAACAAGAAGTTTCAAAGGTACAAGGCTTCGCCTAGTATCATGATTCCTTTTCCAATGTGCAATTTTGCTAAATCCTGTCTAAAGACTTGTTGAACCAGGTAAACTTAAATATTGTAAAGAAAATTTAATCAAACACGCAGGTGAACCTTGAACCATCAGACCCCTGTTCCAGTCTTCTACCATTTCGCTATCCAGCTTGTGTTATCAATGTAATCTATTTCATTTCAGGGATTCCGTGAGGGCAAGTTTCAGTGTCTAGTCACGACGGACGTAGCGGCCCGTGGTCTGGACGTCCCAGAGGTCGATCTTGTCATCCAGTGCTCCCCTCCCAGGGTAATTAAGCAATAAATGTCTCTACTCCCGATGGAAAAGTCATTTAAATTGACAATGTTTCTTCATGAGGCCAATACTGATGGCAGTAGCGCACCCGGGGGGGGGGGGGGGGGGGGGGGGGGGGGGGGGGGGGCTCGGGAGGCTTGAGCAGCCCCCCCCCCCCCCCCAAGAGGTTGTCAATTTTTTTATATTTTTATTTTTTTGTTTTAGTCCCACGATTTGGCCTTGGTGATATGAATGTGGCCTATTTTTTAGAAGTATAATAGGGATGCAAGTAGCACCACCAACGTCAAAATAAACCGCCCCCCCCCCCCCAAAAAAAAAATGTTTGAAACAAAAATTTAACTTCTTAAAAATTTGGAAAAAAAAAATTGTGATCCCCCCACCCAAAGCCAAATCCTGGGTGTGCCACTGACTGATGGTTAATATTTTAATGTTCTATTTTGTGTTGATTCCTTTGTGTGTAGTGCTTTTCGGTGCCAAGCCAATTTATTTTTCTATTAATTATTTGAGAGTGTACCTTTGTAAACATGTTGAGAGTTTGAATTTTTTTAAATTTTTTGTTAGGATGTTGATTCTTACATCCATCGTTCGGGGAGGACAGGGAGAGCTGGTCGCTCAGGGATCTGTATCTGTTTCTACAAACCGCAGGAAGAACACGACATCAAGAGAGTGGAACACCAAGCGGTAAGTCGGCCAAACTATTACAGGGCCGGGATAGGTACCAGACTGAAAATGGCGGTACCTGGTTCCTTTTTTTTCGGTTTGAACACCCAAAACCTTCTTTTTACATTCAGACACAACCGTTCTGAAAGGGAAACACTACTTTGTGATTGATCAATTGCTGGTGCTTTCACACTGAGTATTTTCGTTAAAAAAAAATTATATAGCAAAATTTATATGCATAATTTATTTCAGCAAAAGTACATTTCTGTGAAATTTTGTACAGCAAAAACTAAACATTCTGATGCAACCCTTCTGATAGAGAAAAACAACTTTTTGTTTGATCAGTTGCTTATTTTTTTTTCAGTAAGTGATAAGGCAAAAATAGTTATATAGTAGATGTCTGTGCATTATTTATTTTGTTTAGTAAAAACATAGTTCTGTGACATATTTTACAGCAAACCTTAAAATTACCTGAATTTGCGATGCGAATCGAGCATAAACTTCGTGACCCTAAATTCACTGTTGGTACTGTGAGAGATTCCTTCACAGGTACCCTGGCCATGAATGTAACAGATTTAATTGAGCATGCCTACCAGTGAACTAGCTCCCCGAATCAGCTGTGCGCAGACTCAAGAGTATTCGTTAATTAGATTTCCTTGAGTGTTGCGCTGTCTCAAGTTTGTTAATTATTGACTGAAATCGATTTTGTTTTCTGATCAACAGGGGATGAAGTTTACCATGACTGCACCGCCACAGCCCGAGGACATCATCAAAGCCAACACAGTGGAAGCCGCAAAGTAAGTCTTGAAATTCCGGAGGAATGATTCCAACGTAAATATTGTTCTGAAGTATTTTTATGCAGGCTCATAAGTTGAGATTGTTTGGGCCGTGTCACAGAAGGCAATTTACAGGCTAAACGAAAGTGACAGGCAAATTTGAATTCCGTGTTCTCAGGAATTTTGAGAAATGTTGGGGAAAAATGTGCTTTGTTTTTCTTGGGGATTCCTTTACGTTGCAAAGACTCATAATATAATTCCAATGATAATCAAATCTTTTCTCTTTCGACTTTCTCCGTGAAGGTCACTTGAGGCAGTCCCAGCCGGCATAGTGGATTACTTCCGGCAAGCGGCTAGAGATCTCCTGGTAGAGAAGTCACCGGAGGACGCCTTAGCCACAGCCCTAGCGTACATGTCGGGAGCCACCGAGATGAAGACACGATCCTTGATAACGGCTCAACAGGTGAGTGAGATGTTCAACAATTTTTTTTACAGATTTAAAAAGAGAACAATCTCGGCATTGCTGCTGTGAAAACCGCATGCTGGTACCATCTTTAGTTCAAAAATTATGGAAGTCGGAACACCAAGAGATGTGATAAAGTGATGTGATGGATGGCCCTATTTTGGCCTGTATCTCCAAATGAAAGTTCCGGACAAACGACTCATTTAGCTTGATCGCATCACATTTGTTTCCAAGCTATCTGCCATGCATGACTTGAAAATGGGTCGTTTCCTAAAATGAGACATGCTCCCACGAAACTCAGACAAAGTTGGAGAATTTGTTTTCGCACTGAGGGCATGTGCACTTGTTTTGGGGCAGAACTGACCATTTTGAGGTTTTGAGATTTTCTGAATCGTAAACGATAAATTGAAAACCAAAAAAATATGAATATAATCCATCAAGTACAACTGTGGTTTTTTGGTAGATTTAATAAAAAAAGTGTATAGAATATTATACAAAAAGCAATTCAATACACGTTTATCTCATAATCGGGTTGTCATTTTTTTTATCACTTAATCCTTCTCCCAGGAGTGATAGGGTCACGGTACCTATGAAGATCATATATCATTTTGAAGTTGAAAACCTCAGGAATTTGAAAATGCCAAAATCTAAAAAAAAATATTAAAAACTTGTAAACTTTGTCCGGGCATTGCGGTAGCAGGTTATGAAGGATGTTTATTACTATGAGAAGTTGGGAACACCATAAGAAAGGTGCGACTTCCCCTGTCGGCAAACGACCGGTTTGACTTCATACTTGGTCTACTCTTTTAAGACAAAACAAAAAACAAGTGTGGATTGAACCAGGGTCTACTGTCTGAAAGTTTGTGTTACTTCAAATCAGTCAATCTTGTGGAATTGGGTTTTTTTTGTGGGATTATTTTTAAAAAGTGCATTGATACATTTTTATTTGCAGGGCCAGATAACCTACCTCCTGAAGACCAACTACGCGATGTACTCGTCCCAGGACGCCTTCCAAGCGTTGGGCTTTCAGCTCTCCTATGACGTTAAGTCCTCCATTAGAGAGGTGCGCATCTGTAAGGACAGGCAATCCGCAGCGCTGGACGTACCGCAAGAAGTGGAGACTCAGTTAATGGTACGGGTTTGGAAAAATTTGTAGTTGTCATAATTTTTATGATTTTATAGGCTATTTTGAAATTTGAAGAAGAAAAAATGTTGAAGAAAAAAATCGGCCCATGTGTAATTATATGCAGCCAGACAATAATTTGATTCTCGTATGGTAGACTAGTTCCTGCCCCCTATCAGGATCGATTACGTAGGAGCCAGGAACCAGTGTACTCACAGATCAAATTTGTTTGTTTCAGGCAGTTGCAGACACCCAAAAAGAGGGAAAAAAGGGAATATTTTTGTTAAAAAGCAGATGAGGTAGAGATTTGTTAGGTGAAAAAACAATTATTTTTTAGAAGATCATGGACAAGCGCATCTTTAAGATTTATTTTATAGTTGAAATATCTTTAGCAAAATCATTGCCAATATGAACTTTGCAAGTCTCCCATAAACACATTGCCTTTTATTCCCTTTATCTCATATCATCTTTTCTGTTTCCACCCTCTGCAGGAACAATGGCAAGATTCACCGGACTGCACCTTGAGCCGTGCGACTGAGCTCCCGGACATTGTGACGCCAGCGGGGGGACGCGGAGGCGGCGGCGGTGGTGGAGGTCGGTTTGGAGGTGGGGGCGGGGGAAGGCGCTGGGGTGGGGGAGGGGGAGGCAGGGATAGGAGGGGAGGGGGTGGGGGAGGTGGCAGGAGAGGTGGGGGTGGGGGAGGCGGCCGATGGGGTGGTGGTGGTGGTGGTAGAAGGGGAGGGGGTGGGGGACGCAGGAGATAGGTTCTTCTAAAAAAAGGGATTAACCTTATTTTGGGTTTGATTGAGTGATCCTGGATCCTGTCAGTTTTACTCTCTTTACAAACTTTTAGACAAGTCGATTTGAAATTGACAAAATATCGGTGAAAAGGAAGATGAGAACATGTACAGTTGCAGAGTAGAAAGGAATAAAAACGTCTTGGGATTTTAATCCTTGGACAATCCCAAGAAAAATTGGGGTTGGAAACTTGGCCAAAATTGTAGCACAAACGGGATCAAAATCGTGAGCAAGAAAAGTTAAGTAACTCACACGATCTAGACCAAACAGTATTAAGGGATCCTACACATAAACAGGAAGATATTTCTGGGTAATTTTCTGCATTTGAATTTTAAGTTATGGGAAGTAAATATTTATTTACTTTTGAAGATTGTATTTTAAAGGTTTAGTGTTAGTTTTTTTTTCTTCTGTATATTGCTTTTTTGTTTAATGTACATTTGCTTTAGGGTCTTTACGTAACTGCATTATTAGCGTTAGATGTTTAGGTAATGGTTTATTATGCTGACAAGCTGGCTTATATGCGCATATGCGTGTACATCTGTAACTCGAGAGCTTTAAAACGCCAGTTTGATAAAAGGAATACTGTTAAAGTTTTAAGTTCAAAATCCTGCTGTCTTTCAGCGAGTGCCATTATCATAAAAATCACATTCTTTTAAAAATTTTTAAAACACATAGCAAACTTCAACCTGATATGGCACTACCTGCGGAAGTACATGTATAAGTTTGCAACCTGCTTTGAGCAATACTAATATTGAACTCGGGGTTTTGAAGTCAATACTCCCAGGTTATTTGTACAAAGGACATCACTGCTAATATAACAGGAAGTACGTGTACGTCGATAAGGCACACCCAAGGTCTTTGAGCATTTGGTATATTATTCTTCTTTTCAAGATCAAAATCTGCTGTATTCGCCGTGCAGATAATTTCCGAAAGGAAGTGCTCTATCTATAAAATTTACACATCCTGTCTTTTTTTAGAGTATAATTTGTAAATATTCTATTGTAATGTATTGGCAACTTTTAATGCTTCAACTAAAAGTCCCCAGAATTAGTGCATTTTCTCTCAGTGAATAACTTTGTATTTTATGAATAATGTGTAAACCTTATGTGGTGGACTTGTTTCGGTCCTTAGAGTCAGGCACCTTGTACTCTGTTCTCCGGTAATCGTAAACATTGAACGAATACAAAATGTATTAAACTAACGGTGTAAAGATTAACATTAAATGTCAGAAGTCGAAATGAAAATTTTTCTCCGAGTTTTGTGTGTGAAACTTTGCTGTGAGTTGACTGTCTTCAGATTATTTGGATGACAAGTTTGATCACTTTTAATCTCAACCTCTGAGTTTGTTTCAAAATTTTCTAAGTATGAACCCTAATCTTGAATAAGTATGAATCTCAACCTGAGGATTTTTTCGAAATTTTCTAAGTATGAACCTAAGGTTTAAATATCAGGTCCGATCACTTTTTTAACGGGGGGACCCGAGTGGCTCAACAGGTTGCGTCGCCAGGTCGAGATCGCTGGAGAAGCCGAGAACCACCCCGGACAGGCTCAAGCCCCAGCAGGGTAACAAGCTAGCTAAAAGAAGCTAGCCTGAATAAGAGTTTTACATTTTATTTATTTAAACAAAATAAACATTTATTTAAAATTGTCCCAGGCAGGACTTGAACCCACAACCTCTGGGTCCAGAGCTCTATGCCCTAACCACTGGGCCACTTGCTCTTCTTATTTAAGATGAGTTTGAAGATAATTATAAACCTCAGATCCACAAGATAAAATAATAAATAATGTAAAAGTGTCCAAGGCAGGACTTGAACCACAACCTCTGGGTTCAGAGCTCTATGCCCTATCCACTGGGCTACTTGCTCGTCTTAGTTAAGATGAGTTTGAAGATAATTATAAACCTAAGATCCAGAAGAAAAAAACCAACAAAAAAAAAAACATCACATAAACAACAATAAAGAAAAACACTTCAAATCATACTTTGGGGGGAAAAAAGGAACTCCTCTATCAGAGAAAAAAAATACTTATTACAAAGTTTCAATATTTTTAATATCAAATCAGCTGTTTTATTAATTATCTCAAATATTCCATTATTAGTTCTCATAATCCATCGCCATACTCTACAAAAATATCTTAGTATTAAATATAGAATTGTGTCCCTTTAAAAGTTACCTTTTATACAAATTTGGGGGGTAGGAAAACCAACTGAAACATGATGAGTTGGCCTTTCGAAACACATTCACATTTCAGGGTAAAAGTTTTTGGCATAGAGTAAATTTTCACAGTTTTTCTGTCTGTACAGAAATATGGACACAGAATTTGCAACATTCTGTACTTTTGTTCTATCCTCTCTAGAAACCTCATTATAAGAACATGTTACCTGCCACACCTGATACAATATCCAAAAACCTCATTTCTAATTTTTGTTCATTTTAAAACCCATTCATAATTTGTATTAGGCCCGAGCGTCGAAAACCTTAAAACATAATTACTGGCTAATTTTGATATGTGGGTCCAATAAATAAACAATGTACAATTGACATGATTATTATTAATTTTTTTACAAAAGTTTCAAGGTGCATCTAGAAATTAGTGTAAATTGATACTGTACAGTATAACTTTAGCCAAAAAGACAGATTTATTTTTGGCAGAGAGTACAAAATATTTACAATCGACGAGAAAGAGTCATTGCATGAACTAAAGACCATAGCCACATGGAAAACATAGTGTTTTAGTTTTAAATTCTGTAAACGCTTGAATTCACCAGTCATAGTTTCGCAGACACTTATGGTAATCGTCTCAAGCTACGCCACCCCTACGTTTCAGATTGGGAAAGAATATTGCATCCAGACACCACTTCTTTCATCATATATCATCTCAATAGAGGTCAGTCACTACAGGAATTGTTGAAAAAGACATGAATCTGGGAGTGAGAAACATTTCCAATTTTGTTAGGAAATAGTTTGAAATTCGTCTTGATTCTCCATGGACTTTGTACACAACCAACAAAGTGGCGTCAGGTTGCAACATTGTTTCCTGAGCTTGGGTATAGCCACAAACATTGTCCAAGAAATAGCACAATTCGGTCAATTGCTATTGGTTACAGAAATCCTCATATTTGTAACCCCCATCAATACTGGATCCGCCCCTACCTTGCTACCCCAGCTGTACTTGTACATTGTACACTTTCTAAGTATAGCTGACAATTATTGTTCACATAATTTTCTCCTTTCAAATGTCCAAGTTAAAATCCTTATATCATTCACCATTTATGCTCAGAAAATCTACAGTAACCAAAACCCTATTTCACACCACATAAGGCCAACAAAAAAAAATATTCGGTCTCTGGTCAGACCAAAGTTCCGGAATTGACACGGGGACGCGGTTTTTTTTTTTTTGGCTTTTTTTTTTTTTCTTCAAGCTTGGATTGTACAGACAAGGTGGGGTATTTTTTTGCTTTTTTGGTGTCCTCATGTACATTGGTGTCCTCCATAATTTGCCTTGGTGCTTTCGATCATTTGCCTTGGTGCAATTTCCCATTCCTGGGTGCTCTTTGGTAAAAGAAATTGAGGAGGTGTGGCAATAGAGGGCGCTGTTGGAGCTACCGCGGAACATTTTGGAAAAAACAAAAGATTGACGCGCATGATTAAAATCGACGCGCGCGCTGACCAGAGACCGACTTAGTTTTCTTTTTGGCCTAACTTTTTTTTTTTAGATATGGCGGACACAAAAGAGGGGTCACAATTTCAATTTGGTTTGGATAAATTTGGGTAAATACAGAAGATTTTTTTCCCAAACCCTTTCATGTTCACCATATCTTCCAATAAAGGTAATACCACACACAAAAGGATAAGTCACATTCATCACAAGTGCAAAGATGCAAAACCGTGCTCCAGTCAAATGTCCCAAAAATAAAAAAAAATTAAAAAATATGTTCCCTTTACCGCATTTCAAAAGACATAACAACTGACGTTGTGTGTAAATTAATCCTCGGTGATAGTAAGATATGCATTTCTTACAAGGGGTGCAACATGTTTGAAGAAAGAAAAATTGCACTGGAAAACAGCTTGTCAAATATTTGGCAAAAGCACGCTTAGTTTTGACCCCAAATTTGAACGATCAGACTAAAACTGCACAACATTTCAATATCGTGGACTGCGAGAATTTGTTGCAGTGGCTATTTTAAAGTGCATCTAAAAGTGCCTTAAGCTACCATCCAAGTCATGTGACTGTTCATGTGACTGTGCTACTTCAAAGTCTATATTTAGCATAATAGTCAGTGCCTAAAACACGTTGAATATTTGTTGTCCAATTTAAACTATGTCACTGTCTTCTTGATAGAAGACACAAGAAATCCATAAAATACACACAGCTTTCATTTCGCTACATATCATCAGATTAAATTAAAAACCTTATACTGAATGCTATTTAGGAATTTCGTGGAACAACTTTTTATTCATGATTTGGATAAAGTATATATATTGTCGATCATTTTCAATTTGGCAAAATTTCCACCTCACTTGCGTTCCCTGAAAGACAAAAATTCTTGTTAGTTATATTTGCTGGCGTAGTCGTGACGTCACTCGGAGGTCCAGCCGGTGCAACCGCGATGACTGGTTCACCTGCACTGCAACGGCCCAGTGAACACCGTTTCATGAAGCTGTTTCATAATTGGTTTGGTTGTTCCTCTTTGAAGCACTGCTGTCGTAACCATTTTCAGGTCCTAATTTGAGAAACTGTTTTATAAATGTAGGATGTAAAATTGCTGTCTGTGATCATGGGGAGGAGGTGACGTCGAACTTTCTGAGTGTATACGGTAGGTGTTCACGGGCCAACACGAATACGTGAATATTAATTGATATGAATATTCAAACTGAACAAGATTTAAATGAATAAATGATCAAATTAGCATAGTTTACATGAAACAATGTCCCTAAATCATTTGATCAATATACATAAATATACAACAGCAAAAAATTGTTAAAAATAAAGATGATGAGAAGTATAACAAAAGATATTCAAAATTCACAAGTCATGATATATAATTCTTAAACTTCAAGAAAAAAATTATAGCAAGTATCAAAATCATCTAATCTCCCACAAAGTTTTAAAGGAAAAGCGAAAATAAATTTACACACCCATTGTTATGATTAAAATTACAAGGCAAACAAGGGAAGAAAAACTCTTGAAATTTTCAAAATGAAAAGGCTGCTTTAGAAAAGGCCACATCGGGATATTTGTGTCAAGAAAAAGTATGTAAAAAAAAAAGAGAGCTTAATTTGAGAAATTTAACACTGTGGGCTGGAGACGTGACACTGAAAACAGGGTTATTTCTAGAAAGAAACAAAATACAGGTTGTTCATCATGCATTTTGTAGAAAATGCATTATGGGAAAAAATGAATGTTACAATGGCAATTAACATTGCCATACAGGTTTGCCCTTTCTCTTGCTATAATTTTAGACAGAATGATTTCTAACTGTAATTACCCCAAGAAACATTCAGGTTGAATCTTTATCTTGGCATTCCACAAGAAAAAAATGATGAGAAATCAGTTGGAGATGGGTAAAACCAGATTTTCGTTCCTAGGTCTCCTTGTTCGATCACGTTTGTTTTCACATCGCGTACTTGCGTGAGAACGAAAACGATAACGACGCCAAGATTTACCTACCGACATCCGATGGATTCTAGATTTAGTCGGGCTTGTTTGAATACAGTTCTTATCAACGGTCATTTTAGATTTGTTTGTAAATCAAAATTAGTCCTTCAAGTTTATTAAAAAAATTGTGTGTCCCAAGAGGCATTTTTGTCACCTATGTAAGTTTCAGTTTTTACCCAATGACCACCACAAAATTAAATTTTCAGATTTGTACGAGCGCTCCGAGTTCCACTAGTCCACATGTATTTTAGATTTTTGGTAGTAGGAGGTCAATTTTTTGGCATGATATTTCTCTTTCACGTCATGCGATTTTTCAGTTTCCATAAATTGAGATGCTAGTAACAATTTTACAAAGGCCTTTTTACAAAGGCCTTTTTCGAGAAAGAAATCAAAAACAATTTTAAAAATTAGAAGCGTGCCACCAGGAGTCAACTTTCAGGCTATATTATGATTCTGGGAGAGTTTGAAAACAACAAACGTAAAAAAAAAAAAACCAAGAAACTAAGAAGACAGAACTAAGTTAGGACAAGTTTAGGTTTTCAAAAGTTTAGTAGAAAAAACATTTTTCTAATTTAATAGACTGAACACAATGTATTTTGTTTACTGTAAATATTATGCTATTTATTCTATTTGAAAAAACGTATTTCTAATTACAGTAAACAAAATGTATTTTATTTACTGTACATTTTCTTCTAAAATTTACTTTATTGTTTACTTGTAATTACTTAAATTACATGATTATTTTAAGCTCAGAAAAATAAAAACGGAAACCGTAAATGAATCACCAAAACGGTTCGGCTCATGTTGTGTAAATTAACAGGCACTTAGACAATTTTCAAAACATTTTGGATACAGAGAAAAAAAATCTCCTCTATTGATACAAATTTCAACTCCGCATGCTCAAAACCATGCTCCAAGGTGATTCAAGTTTCTCAAGTACTTTGAAAAAAACAAAACACCGGTCCGTCTGATTGGTCTATTTCGTACCGTACACGTTTAGAAGCATTTCAAAATAGCGAATCACGTTTCGAAGACCGAAAAGGTAATTTTCATCAGTTCTGTCGGCATCAACTACGTGAGTGAAATCGATCATTTTGACGAGCGCCAATTTACTGTCGGACTCTTTCTCCTCGTCAATCTGATCGGCGGATACATCGGCTGCCTCGATTGGCTGGAATTGGTCCGTGTGAACATCGGCTACCGTCATTGGCTCCCCCTCCGGTTGTTCAGGCTGCGACGGCGAATCGGATTGCCCGTTTGATAGACTCCTCTGCCGTTCCCTCATCTGAGACACCGTTAACCTACCATTTATGTCGAGTAGTTGGGGCTCCGCCTGCCCTCCGTTACTAATAGCCCCCTCCGCGCCATTACTGAGTCCCCCCTCCACTGGGCCTGTTCCACCCTTGTGACCCAACTTGGCTGCTATAGACTCCTGGTAAGTCGGAAGCCTATTGACAAATCCATTTTCCTCAGGGGGGTGTTCCCCTTGCTCGGGGAAAACGTTAGAATCAGGGGGAAGACTTTCGACCGCGGAAGCAGACTGCTTGGATTTTGGACCCACTCTTTTAAGCTGTGAATAACTCACAAAGTTTGGCACGGGCTGGCTGTTGCTCAGTCCGTCGTTCTCCGGCGTTGCGACCGTCTCCGTCAAGGGTTGAGATGGGGAAGGAGTGACAGCGCCCTCGTAGACGAACAGCAGAGAGCTGGAGTAGAAGTTGAGCTGTTTTTGGTTGGTGAACCAGCGCTCGATTCGTCGCATCTGCTTCAGGAACTCGGGAACGACATCAATTCTGACGTCATCGACAACATTCAGATATCTGGCAAAGCCTGCACAAAATAAAAGAAAAAGGAAAGGTATTATTGGAAATGTCAGATTTTATTCACATATAAAAAACTTTTAAAACTTAAAAAAAAAAACTTCATATTGATATCACTCATTTCATCTGTTACTCATTTTCAGCCAAATTGTTGGTGTAATTTTGTGTGCACTCAATTTGAAAATGCGGTTTTTAGGTTACCACAACTAGGGACATAGATAATACATGCCATTTGTAAAAAACATAATTCTCAGTTGTTTAAATCTTTTTTCGTTTTTTTTTTTTTAACTGACCTTCAATAACGTTGTCTCCTTGTAAACTCCGACCGTAAAATTTGTCCCGACATTCAAACTCATCAGTTGCTGGATGGTAAACCTGATCATAAAATGACAAAAAAAGTAAAACACACAGATTAAACAACGGTTTGTCCAAACTACAATTACGAACGTGGGAGGACCTATGTCCGGATGACAGTCCATCGTAGGTAACTCCCCAGCTAATGCCGGTACCATTTATACTCCTGGGTAGAGAGAGGCAAGTAGGGATAAAGGAACTGGATTCGAACCCCTGACCGTCTGACCACAGGCCACAAACCATTACTACTTGGCCATGCTACCCAAGATCCAAAAGTTAAGCATGATGGTCTATCATCCTGCATTGGGTGGCATGGAGTAGTAGTTAGGGTTTGTGACTCATGATCAGAGAGTCAGGGGTTCGAATCCAGCTGCTGGCCATATAAAAGCAAGTGTAGTATTCACCCTCATGCCCAGAATCTGGAAGCCTATCTTCTCCAAGTTGGGGTACTTCTCCTTAGCCAGTTCCACCTTCCTCAGCGAGACGCCATCTTCGTAGCTCTTGCATCCGATCTTGACGTCCATCACGCAGGGCTTGCGAAACCGCAACGTGACGTCGTTGATCTTCAGGTACACCACTGACAAACACAGGTCAAGGTTCACAGGTCAAAGTTGAGAGGAGAAGGTCAACCAGTGCAACACAGTCACTGATTCTCTCTGCTTTCCGCTAAAGCAGAAAATCACTAGTTCTACATAATCCAGGCCTATATTTACACATGGCTGAGCAAATACAACATAAGGTCCTGCCCAAGACATTGACAAAGTGCATCGTACGAAATCAGTAATGCACTTTTGCCATGTACCGGTAACTTCAGTCCTCCAAATTCCTCCACTTTGGCAAAGAGGATTTTGAAGGATTCAGGGTGGTTAGGGTTAAAAAGATGGAATTTGCATTGGGGTGATGTAAATTCAATATTGCATTGGCCCTTCCCTGACGCAACTGCCTTTTTATGAATAATTGGTTGCGGTACCTGCTGCTTTATCATACTCGAACCAGCCAGCCGACACCGGCAAGCTCGGTGGTGGAGTGGTAAGACGTCTGTGCTAGGTCAGGGGTTCGAGTCCCACCCGAGTGATTTTTTCTCACAATCGCACGGGACAACACCGAGTATACAGTGTTTATAAAATTCGTCGGTGAAGGGCAAAACCAACACTGAATACAAACAAAACAAGAAACTATCGACTGGTTTGAAAACCGACTAAAGAAAAACTAAATAAATTGAACAAAACAACAATGGGTGACTTTTCCTGTTTTCGTTTCAGACTTTTTCACTTTCAGCTAAACCATCCTTGAAAAAGAAACAATGTCATGTGCACTGCAAGGCTTCTCAAATTGGCTTAAGTTCAGCGGTACACGAGAAGCTCATGTACAAATACAAACAAACTATGCACATGTACTCCATGATGCAGTACATGTATAAATGCAATTTACATGTTACTGGAATTTCCCTTGTAACATCTGGAAATATTTTTCAGAACAAGTTTACATCAATGTGATGTTATCATTTAGGTTTTACTCTCTACTGACACACATGTAGAGTTCCTGGTTACAAAAAATTAAATTAGCAAATTCCTTCTCCAAACTTGTTGGATTTTGAACAATCTGGGAGTTTTAGATTTTACAAACGCGCAGTTTTATATACAGGTGTACGTGTAATAATCTCGCTCATACTAATCTGTGCATGTACATGTTTAATTAACCCTAACTCCCTAGGCATTTTTGCTAGGATGTAACCTCAATCCTGCAAAATCCTCCAACTGCCTCCAGGAAAATAGCATATCCTCAATAGTGCAAAATCCTCGGTTATTTCTTGAATGTGGTCCTTGGAGGGGTGACCACTGCCTGAATCATGCAAAATCCTCCAGCAATCAATGTCAATATGTTGAGGCAGAGCCAGTGACATCCTGGAGCAGTGCAGAGGATTTCGAGTATAATCTTGGCCTAAATTTATGCACGGCTGAGCATAAACAACACAAGGTCCGGCCCAAGACCTTGACACAGTGCATCCTCCAAAATCAGCCAGACACTTTTGCCGTGTAACCTCAATACTGCAAAATCCTCCATTTTGCAAGGAGGATTTGGGAGGGTTAGGGTTACTTAACAAATTGACAAAAGGATACATGACGGGTCTTCAGGCGACACAAAAGTGCCGTAGAAGCGGGGAACGAACGGCCTCAAACTGGTGTAGAGTGGATTGGACTGGTCCGGTCTGGTGACGTTGTGGTAGAACGTGCGTTCCCGCTTGCCCCTGCATGCGTTCTGGCCTGGTTTGAGGACAGTTCCCATGCCATCTTGAAGAAGGCCTGACAAGAAGAAAAAAGGACGAGAAATTGATTTCATCAAGAATTTGAGAGACTTTAATAACGTATGAATTTTTATAGTGCTGTGCATTTGTTTTTATAATTTAGTATTTGATTATTGGAACGTGGAATTGACATGGAGGTACGGTAAAGACTTTTTATGAATACCGTGTGTGTATAGCAACTGTTTTGTGATATTTGACAGATTGTAAACCTGCAAATTTGGCAGCTCTCCCATCATGCGTGTTAAGTGGCTTTCCACAAAAAAAATTTGCATTTTTAAAACAATATAATCACTCAACCCATACCAATAAAATCACATCAGGACGTTTTTCATAATCTTTTCAAGTTGGCTCCCATTTTTTGAATATTCTGTTTAAAATATGTCTGTGAAAATATCTTAATATGAGGTATATTCCACACCGCCCTTATAAACAGGTGAAATTGTGAAAGTCTGGACTTGTGGCTTAGAGTTTAGGGTTCGTGACTCATGATCAGAGGGTCAGGGGTTCGAATCCAGCTGCTGGTCATAATGTTGTGTCCTTGGGCGAGCCACTTCACCCCCACTTGCCTCTCTCCACCCAGGAGTATAAATGGGTACCGGCATTAGCTGGGGAGTAACCTGTGATGGACTAGCATCCCGTCCAGGGGGAATAGAATATTCTCAGTCGTTTCATGCTACTGAAACCGGAGATAAACGCTGGCCTGATGGGCCACATTGGCTCGTGAAAGACTTTACTTTGCTACTTGCAATCCATTTGCATAATCATCCACACTTTTCAACTTTAATAAAAACGCTGCTCAACAAACATATCCATAACCAAACATTTTATGAATCTTCAAAAGCAACCGTACAGTGTACATGTACATTGTCCATCTAATGGGGCTATATAATATGTACACGTAATTTACAATTTGCACAATAATGGGCCCTTTTCATCCTGCAATTTCATTACTTTGTACGGTCAAGGACAAGCCATTGCATAGTTTCAAAAGCGTGGAAATTCCAAGTAACCTATATACAGGCCTTTAATATTTTACACACTATAGTCTCGCTGACCCATGTTGGACTCATCACGGGTCCACAGTAAAGCGACACTGGGCCCGTGTACAAGCCATGTTACTTGCATAGCTTCTTGCTAGTGTGAAAGCGGTTCCTGGATTCTCCGTGTTAGGCCCGGAATTGATTTTGTTTCTGCTGAATTTAATTTCATATATACTTCCTTCCATTATCAATTAAAGCTCTAAATTACTGGCCCCATTCACATTAATTTCATGATTAGATGCAAAATTTACTTTCAGTTTGATCAAATGAGGAAACGATTATCCAACTGAAAAAAATATTGCACATCCCCATGATACATGACACAGATGGCAAAATATGGGTAGATCATTTGTCATAGGTGCATTTTGTTCGTTTTGAAGCAACAAAAGTAGGCCTACTTAAAATCTTAAGACGGGTGCTCAACAACTAACCCGATGAAGTTTTAGCACTGTGAATGCTGTACATGTATATTCCGAGAAAACAATATTTTACGATCTCGATTTCAATTCAAAAGTTGCTGAGTCATGTTTTGAATTGCGCCCGAAATCAGCGTCCGGGACACGTTCTCATGTCCGGGACACATTCTCATTTTTTTTTTGGGGGGGGGTGTGGTTTGTTTATATTTTATTGGGGGGGGGGGTTCCTTTCTACGTTGTTGTATGTTGTTCTTTTTTCTTTTTTTTCAAGTGTTACTGGGCAAAACTACAACATTTTCACAAGATGTTACATGTTTTTGCAAGTGAAAAGGATCTTTCAGATGGACTATTTGATTTCTTTACTCCACAGGCAAAGACAAGTTTGTAAGACAGAATTGTTCAATACATTACATCTTTTTATTGCTATTGGCCTTTAACCTATCTTAAACAAGCTTACGGTTCGATTATCTGAATACAATGAGCGCATAGGCCCCAAATTTGCCGGCAGCGCTTAAGAGTCAGACTGTATTATGAATGACTCACTCTATGGGTCAGACATCATCGCCACTATTGTTGTCATGCAGTCAGACATAATACTTAAAATGCTCGCACACAAACAATGTACATGTACATGTACATGTGCAAGTACATGTACGTGATCATGCCCATGTACATGCACATGTGAATGTGGGTATGCACATGTACATTCCAGGGGGAATAACGAACATGTACATACAGTGCAGTGAACATGTGTGCTGGATTCGCATTCATGTACTGGTAGGTACCAAGAATACACGTTGTTATGTTCATGTGCTGTACAATGTACATTTTACCATGATTTTTACAAGCACGTACATGTACATGTACATGTATGGCAGAAGATGTTATTCGACGCACAAATTGCTTGGACAAAATCAAGTAGCGCAATCAAGCTGTCACATCTAACATGTCAAACAATTCCAATGAAGAATACACAATTTGACCGGAGCGTGTTTGTTTTCGTTTGGACAAATATGGTGAATAAGTCGAAAAATGCCTGATGTCTGACCATAATTTCATTCTCTGTGCATGTGTGTATACTTTCCAATCCTTGCATTTTCACAGATCATTTACTGTATCCTATCACCTACAATTGACTGTCTACTTCCTTAAATCGGGGGGGGGGGGGGGATCTGGAGGGGGGAAGATGGTTACTTTCCAAACTTTTCTTGGACGATCCAGTTTTGTGTCCGAATAATGACTACATGTTCAATTTGGGTAACCTCCCAAATTGTATTATTCCTAAGCTTACTTGGATTTAAGATCGTACTAAGCATCCCGCGAAATTATTCCGTCTGGGTCTGGCTTGCTGTCATTTAGAAGAAATCAAGAAATCTAGGTGATTTCCAACAATCTGTCAAATGTCTGATTTTTGGAAATAAAGAGTGCTATGGACGAAATCGTTTTTTGCGATCAAAAGGTTGTGCATGGTTTTTCACTGTTTTTTCTCGAAAAGTATAATATCCACTGAGCTGAAACTTCAACAGGTTAGGTTTCGAACATTCTTCTTTGGATTGTAATTGGTGTTATTACTATTGGAAATGAACAGAACCACATGAAAAGCAAAACATTTCTATGCCTTTAATATGTAGGTCAGTTGTATGTCAAGAGCTTACATAAATACGTGTGTCTGGATTTTTGGGTTTTTGTAATTCCTCCGTGCTTGCATTAAAACCTCCCCTGAAAGCCTTTGTTTACACAATCACACCATGCATGGCAAAGAGTGGACTAAACGAAAACAGACATTTTTTGAATGACAATAAAGTGGATGGAATTCCACGCATACTGGGAACGTGTATAATTGCGTGAGTGTTTAATAAATATCTCTCTAAGTGGCTAATTAGAAATGCACATTGTCTACCAGTACATGTCCGTAGGAATATGATCATATGGGGACTGCCTTTCGTTTAATTAAAAAGGACTGCTTCGAAGCAAATTGCAAGCATAGCTGAAATTATAGATAAACAAATAGGGGCTACATAAAATTCTAATTCTTATCATTTTCCGTTGTATCAACAAATGCTTTACAATTATTCCCTAGTTCATCAGACCACGAGACCACGCGGCAGCCGATATCAGCGCGCATTCGGTCCTCTACCCTCACATGTACTCATTCATACTCCTATAGGAGTAAGCGTAAATAATTTTTCAAGAAACTATAATTTACATTTTTTTTGGTCTAATATAAATTTGAATTGCAATTACTTCATCAACATCAACATGCACAATCATGTATGCAATGTGCAAAGTGTATGTATGTATGTAAATTTATAATGTTAACAGTTTATATTAAATGGTTTGTTCAACCAAGCAGTACGTATTCACAATAACGTTTTGAGCATTAGAGCATTAATTTTTATTCAATGATTTTCAAAATGTCTCCCTTTTTTTGGGGGGGGGATGGTTAAACGGTTAATTCTGAGGTAATTGAGAGAGAATAGAGAGAAAAATTACAGTAAGCTTTTCACAATCACGGGACAATTCTCAGAAACACTTGTCTCAGAAAATATTAATTTCAGACTAAATCTTATGTCATTGCCATTGTTCACAAGGTTTTCCCAGTGAGTTTTGAGAGTATCAACATTCAATTTAAGGTTTGATCAGTCACAGACAGTCAAATGTTTCTTTCACTTCCCCCGCCATGCATTTGTATACAGACTAGTAAAACAGTCAAAATCACATTCATGTAAGCACTGTGACTAGTCAAATTCCATCAACAGACATAAGAGGTAACTGGTAGGTACAGATGGCATATCAATCACCTCCAGTCAAAAGTTGGCTATATCAAATTAACAAGGGAATTCTTAACTGTTAAAAACAGTCACTTGATTGATTTTGACTGCTGTGATGACGTACATGTAGCTGAATTTGCCAGCCAGAGAGGGCGTGTTTTAATTAATGAATTTGAAGCTCTTCATCTAGGTTTGGTTTGGCAACGCTACATGAGAAGAAATCGGAGGAAATAGTCAAAAGTGTGGCACGTTAGGAGACTCCACAATACACTTCTCCGTTTCAAAGCACTTTCGTATTCAGCATTCTAATGCAGATTAAATTGAGTAACCCGAGCAACAGGATTTGAACCGCTGTCTCAGTTCAGAGCCAAAAAACAAACAACGTCTGGCCCAAACGTTTGAGCTTTCTTTAATACTTAAATCGTCTGGCTGCCAGCTTAGATCCGAGCATCACTAATTGGTTCAGCAATCCACATTTTGACCTTTGGGTTAATTACAGAAATAATATAATCCGTTCGGGCGCACGCTTGGATTAAAGTGCTTCGAAGGTCTCCAATGAAGTCGATTGGTGATGCGGGATGATGGGAATCTGATGGGTTGGGCATCGCAGGAAATAAAATTCTCAAAGGATAGTGTAAGCCCATACACGGACATCTACATTGTACAATGCAATATTCTAAATACTGGTAGCATCATCATAGATTTATGCTTGGTTTTAAAGGACCATGTAATTTTTTTTTTTTTGCAATCCTTGAAAATGCACCATTGTGTCCTGTTTAACCTTATTTTAAATTATCATTTTGGTACCTTTCGGGTTTTTATGCTAATGAAAATTTCTATTTTTCCATGAACAAAAGTGTGATGTCATTTCGGGCAGAAAGCTCACTGTTATAGCTATTTCAGCACCACAATTTGCCGGAATTTTTTGATATTTTGTTGTCCTAAAATGTTCTTTTCTTTGGTGATTCGTCGTTGTTTCAGTACACGACAGTTGGCCAATGAACAATGTTTTCTCACAGATGTTTTTAATGAGCAAATTTTGAGTTCATTCGCACAGAAAACCCTGACCCCTAAACTTAACAGTATCTTCCTGACATGACATCACAGCAATAGCGCCCTCATTTGTCAAGAAAAGCATGGACAATTTTTAAATGTTTAAAGAAGTGCACCTTTCAATAAAATTAACCAAAAAAGGATGTCAATTTTTTTTAAAATAAATTTAGTCTACATCATGTATCCCAAACATTTAATAATTGGATTGTAAGTTGACAAGCGAAATCACATTTTACAATGACAAAAGTATTGCGACTGTTTTGTGATTGACTTACATGTATGATTGACTTATGATTGACCTTTGGTGACTTGTGATGACTAATAATGACTTGTGATTGTCTTGAGATGACTAGCGATGATTTGCGATTGTCTTGTGATGTTGTGATTGTCTTTTGATGACTTGTGACCGACTTGATTTCGACTCTGTGAACATGGTGAGTTTGTGCATAAAAGTATGTAGCCTGATTAACGACTCTCTATGATCTGAAAATGTACGTCAATAAACCACTCCATTAGGCCCCACCAACTCCATCCAGCCCCGCCCACTCCATTAGGCCCCGCCCACTCCATTAGGCCCCGCCCACTCCATCAAGCCCCGCCCACTCCATTAGGCCCCGCCCACCCCTTAGGCCCTGCACACTCCATTAGGCCCCACCCACTCCATTTGGCCCCGCCCAATCCATTAAGTCCCACCCACTTGGGTAACAACACGTGCAGGCCTCACCAATGCCACACTACAAATAGTACAAGTTCCAGCCACACCCATCACACGCACATGTATGCACACATGTCCGACTTTTGTGCACGCATATATCCGACACTAACCATGGCCAAGATTGGTCAGATAACCATGGGCCATGACTATTGGTCTACATCATTATTACATGAGATGACAAAAAGGTCACGCTTACCTGCTTTACTTGTTCCTTTTCCATACATGTGACCAGCCACCTGATGAGAGAGGGGCACGCATCCCTTAGGCAGTGGGGGTGTTATCACACCATTTGAGCGGTCTTGCGTCGCATTCTGACCTGTACATTTGCATAACACAAAGATTTTTGATGGTATTATAAAAATGCTTTTTCTTCATATAACAATAGTTTAAGAATGTAGGCGACTGAATGTTTTTTCCAGACACTTACTTAGTCGTGTCAGTTGAGTAGAAAGTCTAGATGTATGGGAAGTTAACAACATTTTTAAAAATAGTTCAAATTTGAAATGCTTTTCAATAAACCCCTTTTCAACGTAATGAAGGAGTCACTAGTCTAGCCAAAGGGGGCCTATGCTCATTGCTATGTAATGAAAAAGTGACGTCAGGATACAGCATTCGTTTCTTTCCAAACAAACTTTCCAGATGACAACACGCGAGCAGTTATTATTTGTCAGTTCAGTGTGCGACATCGAGTAGCTGCAATTGGCTGAATGAGAACCTGTCTCGGATGCTGATTTCGGGCGCAATTCAAAACAGGACCCGGCAACTTTTGAACTGTCGAATTGAAACCAAGATCCTAAAATTCCTAGAACCTTGTTTTCTCCGATCGAATATACAGCATTCACAGAGCTAAAACTTCATCTGGTTAGTTGTTAAGCACCTGTTTGATTTGAGTAATTTTGTTGCTTCAAACGAAAAAATGCACAAAACAAATGATCTACCTCCTAGTCCTACCTTTAAAATGTGTAGGGCCTAGGCCTAAACTGAATGATTGATGATTCGAAATAAATCCAAAATTTAAATTGTTGAAACAGCAGAAAATGCAAATAAAATATAACCATTGCTCATTAGTTACTACGTTCGTACCTCCCCCAGGAGCATTTTTGGTCAGACTTTCACACTCGCGATCCAACGATCCATCATCACCAGCCGCCCTTGCCGACGGCACACCAGACGCCGCCACCGCCCCGTTCAAAACGGCCTCCGTACCACCCGAGCTTTGCAGCTCGGCCCCGGCAACAGCCTCGGACGACATCGGTCACTTTGCTGGCTCTCAACGCCGGCTTCTGGGCCGGATTTCAGGGCAGATCGCTGTCCTTCCTTGCCGACTGGTCCGCGATGTTTCGTTAGCGATTCTTTTCAGGGTGTGTCTCTCCTTTCAGAGTGATATTTTGGTGGTTTTTGGAACTCACTCTCGAGTGGCATTCAATCGCATAATGCGAACGTGACCAGTGACCGTGTACAAATAATGCTAACGAGTGAGTCAAGGCACTTTTGCGTGACAAAGTTCCGGAACCAGACGAACCAGTATTAGTGCAGGGCGACCTCTGTTGTTTAATTTAGTAAAGCTCATGTACATGTAGCAGTTTTCTAGTAAAATTCGAACTTTTCCCATCTTTTTTTTATTTTATGATAAAATACTGTGTCCGTAATTATTTCACCAATTTTTGATTACCTTTCTTGCTGTCTTATTTTTAATTAGATACTATATGAATTTTAGTGGGTTCGAACCGACAACAAGACACATTTAATTGGAATCCCTTTTTTATTTCTATGCAAATAATTAGATTTTAATTAAATAAAAGCACTCAAAAAAGCCAAACTCTCCTCTACGATGTAGCCCAACGAACGCCCAGTCTAACCAGTCTAGCATTTATTGCACCAATATTAATCAACTTCTTCATGAATAAATAGGTACTAGTGGTCATGAATTGAATCAAAATATGCAACACACAAGAAACTACTATTTTTTATTAACTCAGTATTATATCACTTCAAATGTCAGAGCCAGAATATGGAAATATTAACATTCCCCGTAGTGGCATTACTGAGTGGGACCAATAAAAGAATTTCCACGGCAACATTTTTTCGTGTAATAAATATTAATGCCACTGAATAATGGCCTATGATACATTGTACCGCGGTGGACCTTTTTACAATGATTCATTTTAAAATCCCTCTTTATCAAATTGCGCACGATATTTACAATGGCACTGTTGTGGTGCTGTCACAATTATGAAAATTATTGTTCATCACCGCTGTATATGACTTGCATTTTGACAGCATATGAAACCAACTGAAGATGAAACGGCTCATTAATTCATCTCCATCCAAAAAAGGCACTGTAGCTTCTTTTTTTTTGAATAAATAATTAAGCGTTGTCAACATTTAACCTAGTTTACTATTGTCAACACACAATGTGTTTTACGCAAAGGAAAAGAATGGAAAAGGGACTACGGGATAGTTAATAAAAACTAAAACTGTCGTGTTTATTTTCTGAAAATTATAAGATCAGTTCTCGAAATTCTTTGCTCGATAGCCGACTACAAGAATCGATACACAAAGTCCGAAGCTCCAATCGATTCTCGCTGCCGATGACGTGGAGTTATTACAACCGTCCTGGGTGCAGCAGAACACGCAGGTTTCTTCGTCGATTCCAAATCCTCGAGTCTCACAGGAATCGCTGCAAGTCTCGGCACAGTCACGTTCGAAGATTCGGACGACTCGGTTATATCGTACCCTCTCGATCTGTAAAAAAATAAAAAAAAAAATTATAGTCGACGATATTGTTCGGTACTTGGTTCGGTTGCGTACGGATTCCACTCTAGACCGAATGTGGTCGAATCGATTCGGTTCATTTTGATTTTGTTCGGAAGTCGGGTGTTCGGTTTAGTTCGGGTTTTTTCTGTTCCAATCGATACTGTCTTTTTCGATATCGATTCGGTTCAAAGTGCGTCAGCTTGTCGGTTAATTTGGTCCATTGTTGTTTGGCTAGGATTAATTCGGTCGAGGTCGGTTTGGTTCGATTCGTTTCGGTCTGTGTCGATACTGTTCGGTTCTAGTAAAATTGAGTCGTTTTTTTCCCCTTGAATGGGTTGTCACTGTCTGATATGGTCAGGTGGTGTTTGTTGCACTGGTTTTAGATGAAAGTGTCCTGACTTTATTGCCATGGAAAGATGATTGTGCTAATGAGTTGTAATTATTTTAAACAATAAAACGCTTTTTTCTCTTCTCAAAACTCGGAATGGAAAGAAAGGGTACACTCTTCGAGATGGACTGAGGCAGGGCCAGTGCCGAGCCCCACCCCTCCCCACCCACCCTCTCCTCGCTGCTTTGAGGATGAGGTGATGTGGGTTTTTTTGTTTACCTTGCAAAATCTCTCGTGAGACTGGCATTCCCTTGGGGAGTAGTAGCTGACGTTGTAAATGCAGTTCGATCGAGAATCACCTGACTTCTTCACGTCGACCTTGCAGTCGTAACAGAAAAGATTTGCCTCGACTGGTGAAGAAAGAAGACAAAAAGAGAAATTACTGTTATGACATAGACGCCTCATTAAGATTATCGTCATCAACATCGCCGATTGGTGCATCTGAAACTGCTTGCAATTGCCTGCGACTGCACTGTCAACGGCCTGCGACTGCTTTTTCAACTGTCTGCGACTGTTATGCAGATTGTCTGCGACTGTTTTGCAGTTGTCTGCGACTGTTTAACATATAGTGTCTGCTACCGTTTTACATATTGTCTGCGACTGTTTTACAGGTTGTCTGAACCTGCTTGCGAATTGGTGCGCGACTTCCTGCGATTATCTGCGACTGCTTGCCGATCTGTCGCTTCGTAAATTCTTTACGGCTATCGTCAACTTGTGCATGCGCGTGCAGATGAGATGTGTTGCCTGAGAACGCATCCCGAGTCCTCCCAAGGAAATAATTATCGTAACCCGTGACGTATTTTAATTAGTTGTAGTGCAGCTAGCTGCAAGACGTTCTCCGCAATTGCTCAAAAGCCTCTACGATCGATTCTTTTTCATTCCGACATCCGACTATATACCAGAGTTAATGAGTCCCGTGGTGAAAAGACGTTAGGGTTGATTGCTTTCACGCAGTACACGAGTGAGCTGTACTGAAATTGCAATAACAAGGACGAAGCATCAAGCAATGTACTAAGCTTGATTGCTCCCTGGGTAGGGCGAGATAGGTATGGTGGAGAAACACACGAATGCCTAAAATTGGACATCTTGAATGATGGATGCTAATTACAGCTTTGGGTACGTGTGTATACGTGCATCGTTTTTCCCCTAGAGAGTTTATAAGCTGAGCCTGGTTGCATAAAGGAGTAAACTTCTCTTCCCAAAACTCAACCGAGTCCCAGAGGGATTCATATTTACTGGATAAAACGTGACGAGTCTTACTCACATTTTTTTCCCATTTACATGTATTTGTATTTGAAAACAAGTATAAAGAGCATTGCCTTCTCTATATTTCGATACATCAGTTTGACATCTTCATCCGTATGCCTAAAGACGTTGTGCAAGAATGTTGATTGATCCTACCGTTATTGTGCAAGATGTTAATAATAATAATATTTTATGGGTTTTTGCAAGAGGCCCAATACTCAATAGCAATTAAAACGACTTGTGAATAATTTGGATTCTTTCACAATTATTATAATTACTATTTTAATATTCTAGGTCCTTAAAAGTAGGACAAGGCTTGACGAATGGAGATTACTTCTCATTATACAACAGGAACATCAAAGTGACTTCTCTAATTATACGCTTGGAGATGTTAATAAGGTAACGATGCTGTCATGCAATAGAAATGACTTAATAACGACAGTAAACGGAGCGCCGCACCAGCACGCCCACGACCGGGGCCAGCGAACCGATTTACGGTATGGGCATGGCCATACATCACGCTGCTATCACAGGTGGCATTTCGAGGTTTGCAAACGCTAATTAGGAATTTCCTATCTCGGACGGCAAAATACTGTTTTTCTGTGTTGTGTTTTTGGGCGGCAAAATGTTACTGGCATTCCAATTAAAGAGTTCATTTCAAGACTGCGTGTGCTTCTTGGAGTTGACAGATAGCTTGTGACATTTGTGTCTCCATGGTTATATCAGAAAACGGCAGTGTATGGGTCGACGTATCTGTGGTAGATCACAAGTGCGTCACAAGTCCGATCATGAACAAATAAAAATGAATTCACAAGCTCAGTCACAATTAGTAATAGAGAATGGACAATAACAAAGGAATGCCTTAACTTCATTTGAAATAACTTGCGAGTTTACTTTGGACTGCACTCTTTTGATTAACTTTTGATGGGTTATGACTTTTGATCCATGCACGTACATGTATTTCTATACTAGAAAACTGGACAATGCGTTTTCAAGGGGCCAAGTAACCCCATCACAGGCAATCACGTCTGGAGGAAAAATAGGTCTCAAAATCATAAACAGAATCAAACCAACGCTGTTCACTTTCAACAATAAAAAGAGGAGCATTTCCACGTTTTACATCTTCAACCTGAGCCCACTGGGGTGTGCGAAAAAAATATCGTATTATCTAATGGGAGGATTTGGGACTATTGTTGTTAATGGCAATACAGACAACACAGGTAGCTCTACAAGCGAAAACCTATAGTAACATCTTCGTTTCTGATCATAGGGTTTGCTTGATTCGAATTGCGCATAAATAAGAAGCGAATTTTAACAGAACGCAAAATATAGCTTAATTTGTACAGTGTGTTCAAAGCCTGAAACCAAACAGCAAGACTTTCACCATACATGGGCCTTTTGTGCCGTTGGTTGGAGACAAATATTGAATTAGCGACACCAGCACTCAAGCAAATAAATAAGTGGCTTCCAACGTAATCACATCGCATACTTTTTGCGAGTTGAGTCGACTGCATCTATTTTAGTCACAATTTTCCCTCGTCTGAAAACGAAACGGAATGGGGAAAATGTTTTTCTTCACACAAGTCTATAGCCCTGAGATAGTATGACGTCACGCTGTTTTTATATGTGCTTTCCTATGGGAGCCAGGTGGGCACAAGAGACACCAAGACTCCATAAGAAAGCGCAAATGTAAACAAAACGTGACGTCATTGTGTCTCGGTGCCATTACTCAACGCATGTTTAAATTTGTTCTTTAGATCACATCAGGGATGGAAATAGAGATGGAAATAATCGAAATATCAAAATTAAAATCATAAAAGTTAACTTACCAAGGCACAGTCCAACTAGGAAAATCAACGCCGAAGTCATCAGATAGCCTGAGATTCTCAAAGGATCCATTTTGAGAAAAGATATCCCTTTCCACTTTATCTAAGATGCGTCATTTTTCTTTCAAAACAGGAGTGTAGTTTATGCACTGATGTCCACTCGTCATTAACCAGACGTCACATTAAAAGTGTTCCTCTCGTTAGAATGGTCTTGACCAATAATTCCACTGCTGGCAAAATAGCTCATCTGATCGACTCGCCAAAATACCTCCAACGAAAGAGGTTCTCTCCTCGAGTTTTTGCGAGAATCACAACTGATTTAATGGAAACAATCTGCACTGCTCAACCGGAATAAAAGAAGAACCTGAAGTCAACAATCAAACCATCCAAGTACAACTGAGTAAATACTTGTCTCTTCGTCCCCAAATCAAACAGCAAAATGTTGCCACTGTGAGAATCTGTAAACACACATCGATGATGAAAAAAAGGTTATTTGCTCACGGTGTGACATTGTAGCGCTGGTCTGCAGATCGATCAAGGGCCGTTAATAATAAAGTCAACAAGTGCGCGACGCGCGGGCCTTGCTGATTAAAAACAAAAATGGCGCGACTAATTTCGGGTGTATAAGGGAAATCAATTGAATGCGATCATTAATGTCATTCCATCATCAACACGCGATCCATTCTAGTTCATCCTGGTTCGGGAAAAAGCACTTTGGAAAGCAATGATGATTTATTAAAAGCGAATTGTGTTTTCAAAAACCGATTGTGGTTGTTTGTTATTTTTTTTTTAGCCTTTTGTTTTCAAAGAACCCCGATGAATGTAAATGTCTCTATTACTTCAACTGGAAAAAAAACGTCATCTACAGCAGGCTAACATTCGAAACGAAATTTGATTACACCCGTAAAATTATGTGATCCATTATATGATTTACAGTAAAATTCGAAGAAAAGAGAATTTTTACCTAATGATCTGTCGGAATTTAGCAATTGCATGGGCGACGAAAATAAAAAATATTTCATTGACCAACAGTTAAACAGATGAACCGACGGACTGACAGCCTTTAAGTTTCGGTTGTTCTCCAGACAACTTCAACTATCCGACCAACTTATACAAAATTATCAAACTAGCCCGCATCAAATCGTCTCACAGAAATTTAACAAGAACAATTTCTCCACTCTAAAACTGATAACCAACAAACAAACCAACGCAATCGACGAATTAATGTCAAAGCCTCAGAAATAATTGGTTTGTAATGGATTGATCCAGTAAGCCCCTCCCACTGCGCGCGTGGGCAAATTAACACGTGCTCCTCTCCACTTGCCACACTGCATTTTCCTGCCGCGCGCATCATACGCGCGTGCACGCATGTCGGACATGAATCACGGCTGTGATTGGTCAGAATACCATGGGGCGGCGCTTACTGGATCGGGCCATTAGTACGCGACGGCTGATCCATTAATGTTCGAAGGACTGCACTTTCTGGTGATAAACCACAGCCGTCACCTTCTATTGTCTGCCCACAATTGTATGCGGCAGTTGAACGTGATAAATTGGGTAGAGAAATGTAATAAATAAATGTCAGTAAAACCCAATTAGGCCGAATAAAAAACAAAACATGTTTCCCCTTCCGGGTTTTCGAAAAAAGGGAGGAAGCGGGTCTTTTTATTTTTTATTTTTTATTTGTTTCAAGATGGCCGCCTTTTAAAAATGTCCTGCAATTGTTGGTGTTTTCACTGTAAGGCACTTTTAAAATGAAAGATAAGTTGGACAAGAGAACTGATCATATTTACAGTGTCATTTAGACTTGTACTGGTCTACAATTTATTTTCCGATGAATTTGTGGACTTTTTCGGTGTTTTTTTACTGCATTTTTAAAAAATAAAAAAAATAAAAAAGATCCAGGCGGCCTCCAAAAAGGAAGCACGCGGGGACGAGAAACATGTTTTGTTTTTTTACTTCGCCTTATATGAAAAATAAAGCTGCATATAGCAATGCTCGATGTTTGTCTTCATATATTATTTAGTACAAAAGAACAGACACTGGTTGGAAAATGTGGGGTAGAACTCGTTAAATAATAGAAAAAAATAGCTTTATTTCTGTTGATATTTAGGCAAGTTAAATGTGCAAAGTATTGATCTTAATGTGCTGAAAACATATCAGAAGAAATTAGTGAAAGAATGAAATAGAAAGATGACGACGAGTGCAGATTAACATAGATCACGTTATAAATAATGATCATGTATAAACAATGTGTGTAAACAAGTGTTTTGATAAATAAAAATACTATTTTCCCTTTGTTTGAATACTCATAACAGGATGCATCATATTGTGGCAAAACAATAAAAGAAATTAAAACAATACAAGTATAGCATCCTATCTTCTCAATTACAACCTCTATGATATGATTGGGACTACATTCTTGTCATCAGTCTTAAATAAAAATGAAATACCCTGTTAATAGTTTGAATTTGCATTTGTAATAAAAAGGTTACCAACCTATATCATATAAAGGTTTCTTAAGGAATGTTCATAAAATTAGCATACAAACTGCATTTTCTGTATACATGTATCAAGCATTTTTTTCTCTTTCATTAGGCGAATATGTGCTGGAATAATGAATACAGTGTAAAAACCGTAAGACAAGTTGGGGACATCACATTCATGACATCATCAAGCAGAGTTAGTTGTAGCTTAGTAAATCACAAGTCAATCACAAGCCAATCATAAGTCAGTTACAAACCATTCACAAGTCAATGATACGACAATCATAATGTCAATCACAAGTCAATCACAAGCTGATCACAAGCCAATCACAAGCCCATCACATGCCGATCACAGATCAATCACAAGCCATTTACAAGTCAATCACAAGTCAATGATACGGCGATCATAAAGTCAATCAGAAGTCAATCACAAGCTGATCACAAGCCAATCACAAGCCGATCACAGATCAATCACAAGCCATTCACAAGTCAATCACAAGTCAATGATAATGGCAATCACTGGTCAATCACAAGCTGACCACAAGTCAATCACAAGCCTATCACACGCCAATCATGCGTGAATCACAAGCCAATCGAAAGCCAATTACAAGCCAATCACAAGCCGATCACAAGCCAAGTCACAAGTAACAGGGGATGAACAATGACAAAGGAAAACCCATATCACAGATCAGTCACAAGCTTGTCACTAGACTTGAGATCGGACGACTTGTGACCGTCTTGTATTCATTCATGACTTGTGATGACTTTATTACAACCCTTGTCATTCATTACAATTTTCACAACTGCACCAGTTATGAACAAAAGTTTAACACCTAGACTTCCTTGGTCCCCTTGGCTGCAAACCGGAATAAAATAAATTTGGACAAATTTGGAACATCTGCATAGAAAATAAAGCCTGACGTATTGACAGTCCCTGACAAAGATGGTTTTCTGACCCTGTGGCACCCATTTTAACTTACTGTGTCACAGAAAAGTTCACTCAGATCAAGACACTTCATATGTACATGAAATACAAACAAAATTACAAAAAATGTATATTGCATATTACACCATATAAATTTTGGATATGTATTCATCAGTAACATATATCTTTTTGGAGGGGGGGGGGGTAAAAATGGGATGACAAACTAACGGACAGCCAGCAACAGCAAAGTAAAGGTAAAATCATTTAACATTCAAAGTAAATTTAAAGTTGGAAAGAAATTAACTGGAGCAGGGTTTGAACCATCAACCTCCGGCCGACCACTCAAGTGGTCTACCAACGGAGCTATCCAGCCCTATGTTGGCAGTTCCCATTTTGTCGATGTCTCTGTTCAAGAGACAATATAACTTTAGAAAACCCTGTGTATATATATAAACAACAATTCGTACTAGACAACAAACCACCACAAAAAAAACTAGCCTATCGTTTCCACAATCGATATAACGATAATACCCACATTTCCATCATGACAAAATGTACACTATTGACAACATCTGGACAAATATAACAAACATACAGACTTTACCACCTTAGTTTACCGAGACTTTTTCACCCTGTTAACTTTACAACTGACACCAATCAAATGTATCATAAAAGCACACACACACACAAAGCATATATATTCCACTTTATAATACTGTAACCCTTTGGTACAAAATTCTCCCATTTCGGTCCCAAATCATGGTTTTCAAGAAAAACAGAACAGTTTCTGGAAATCTTTTTTGGAATCTGTTCAACTGGACTATTTAACTCTGAAAAAGCTACAGTCCGTAATTCTTTCACTACTAGATACTGATTTTTGTTATCTCAAAAATCTGTTTCAAAATCCACATTAGTCACAGAGCCGAAACTAGACACAACCGACCATCAAAACGGTCCAATCCTACACTGAAACTCTTTTCAAAACTGCATTGCACCGACAAAAACCATCAAAAACCAAAAATAAAATAAAAAATTAAACTGGCTGAACTTGAACTTTAGAAAAACCAGGTTAGCAAATCAATATGTTACCAAAAATTACTAGTGTACTTTTGAATCATTTTAATATATTAATTTTTGTTACGAATCCTCTATCACGACAGTATTCAACGACACCCATAAAAATATAAACGTTTATAATTTAATTAATGAAAAATGATAAACAAAGAGGCACTTTTATCTGGAACGTATCATCGTAATCAAAAGGAAAATTTACAATCCAATTTTAATACAAAAGGCTTTACAAAAACTTGCAAAAGGCAGCCGTCTTCAAATTCAAAAATTGTTATTTTTCTGTAAAATCTGTAGAAATAACAACATAGCATACATGGTTTTTTTTAACTACTTGACAAATGCACTCTAACCTTGTTCAGATTTGGGTTGCGATTATCTTAATGTGGACTTAGCCTTATAGGTTTGCAAAGCGATTAGCATGGCCTATTGTTCGACAATTTACGCTCCAGTGCCAACTCGGAGTATTGAAACATTTGAGGTTTCGGCAAGAAATATCGTACAAATACTGTTGAAATGACTCTTGCGAATCAGTATTTGTGGCGTTTGGCTGTATATACCAGAATTGGCTGAAAAATGTTGCCTTTTACGAAAATCTAAATTTTCGGCCAAAAATAATGCTGGGGCGAAGTGGTTCATAAAACATATTATGCTATCTAGTCTTGCTACAAACTTTCTTACTTAATTTTTGAAAAATCGAGATGAACAGTATTATAGTCGAGTCTCATCACAAAAGTCCTCACAAGTCCATCACAAGTCCTCCATATTTAAACATTAACTCAAAAGCTTCCTTTGTTATCGTTCACCCCCGATTACTTGTGACTGGACTTGCGAAAGGCTTTGCGATTTACTAATGAAAGGCCTTGTGATGGACTCCACTACGACGCCGAAGACGAAAGATGAACAAATGAAAGGCTATGGCTGTCTGGCTGGCTTCTACTTGTACTTTGGGATGAGCCTGAGCTTGATGTAAGCCAGAGTCATGAAGCCCACACACATGATGGCTAGGGCTAGCTCATTCTGCCAGAGACCCCAGGTGGAGTAGTCGATCCCTTGCCCCTCCAGGTACGATTCACCTGTTATTCTGGGGACAAAATAAAAAAATACGAAAAACTTCAGCTGCAAGTACCAGCGTGGAATCTACCAGCCTCAAGTTTGAGACTGACATGCAAAGGTAATCTTATTTTTTTTTTCTGATGCATTTTAGTCAATTTTGATTGAATCCACGAATCAGGTTTGTTTGGTTTACAAATTTTACTAGGGCCTTTACGAGGGTTAACTTTTGTCCTACCTCATTGTCGCGTTGTTGGCCTCATCACTAAACGTCAAACCAACAAGCTCGTTGATGCTCAAAGCCTGCCACAGAGAAGGAAATACACAATGTAAGAAGACAGGCAAAACAAAAACAAAAAACCACCAAAACACTCAAACTGTAACTATAATGGACCATGTAAGTCTCGCCAGTCTACGTTCACTCTTCATGTGAACGTCTTGGCACCAAACACTGACTAGTCGGAAGTTGCATCAGGTCAAATTTTAATTTTATAATTGCCCTTGATTGGATCAGGACCAAAAAAAATGCAAAAAAATAGGACGTTACACACGTTGTAGACCCTACACATAGTGCCTGGATGTGTTGTATTCTCGTCAAATCTCGCAGGTTTCTGAGGTCAACTTTTACGCTCTATCCGCTCCGTTCACAAGTACCCCCTCACCGGCAAAGGAAGTACAGTTGGGGGTGACCGACCGACGCCATCTTGCCTGACTGCAATTCATTTGCTGTAAAGCGCGGCCACTGCGTGTACATAGAACAAATCCCCTGGTGTACGCGCGTCACACACAAGGAACGGTGCGCGTCAACCAGCGAAATGTCCCGCCCATGGTACGTCATTGCTAGGTAAAAGGGCGCCCTCTTTATTTAGCGCACGGAGCTCATAGCGTTTGCTGCAACACCACATTTCACTCTATGACCTGGCATTAAGATAAACGGTCGGTGTGCAATTTGACACGGAGCATAGACTTTTGCGACTGAGCAATGTGCATATTTGACACGGAGTATAGATTTTTGACACGGAGCATAGATTTTTGCGACTGAGCGATTTGCATATTTTGCCAGCATTCATCAGTGACTTACATTGAGGCTGTATCTGAAGAAGCTGAAGTATTGGATCCATTGGATCCATGACGGCAAGGAGGCAATATTGACAAGAAGGCCGCTGAAAACCTGGACACAAAACAAAAGTAATGAAACACAATTATTAAGGATGATGGAGCATCCGAAGTGTTTCCAGATGTATATTCAGTCTCTTATTACCACTTGCTTTTAAAGCATTAAGTTCCTGTACCGACCCCAAACCGCCCTGCCTGTTACTCCCTGTACCACAAACTGCCCAAGCATTGTTTGCTTGTATGGATTCATCAGGAATACAGTGCCAATGGGTTGAAATCAGGCCAGTGGTTACCAGAAGGGGGAGGGTTGTGGCCAAGTGGCTAGGGTTCATGACTCTTAATCAGTAGGTCAGGGGCTCGAATCCAGCAACTGGTCTTATGCTGTGTCCTTGGGCAAGCCACTTCACCCCCACTTGCCTCTTTCGACACAGGAGTATAAAGTGGTTAGGGTTCGTAACTCTTAATCAGTGGGTCAGGGGCTCGAGTCCAGCTGCTGGTCCTATGCTGTGTCCTTGGGCAAGCCACTTCACCCCACTTGCCTCTTTCGACACAGGAGTATAAAGTGGTTAGGGTTCGTAACTCTTAATAAATGGGTCAGGGACTCGAGTCCAGCTGCCGGTCCTATGCTGTGTCCTTGGGCAAGCCACTTCACCCCACTTGCCTCTTTCCACACAGGAGTATATTCATACCGGCATTAGCTTGGTAGTAACCTGCGATGGACTGGCATCCCATCCAGAGGGAATAGATATATCCTCAGTCATCTCATGCCAAGGAATCTGGAGATAAACGCTGGCCTGATGGGCCAAATTGGCTCGCGACAGACTTGACTTACCAGCATTATGACGAAGGTCATTGAGATCAACAGCGTTGCAACACTCTGCAGTGTCACACAACAGCTGATGAAAAAGGCAAGACCACAGGCAGTAAACGTGACCAGCGTCAGGTTGAGTAGATAGACAAAGTAGGCACCGGCTGTGCTCTTCAGACCTGGCGAACATGATGGGAAAAAAAGGACAAGAAATAGAGGCTATTTTACATCCATATTGAAATATATGAATATGCATCCAAATCTGTGAATTTGATGGAATTAAGCAGTGTGCTATGGACACTGAGCTATATACATGCATTAATATTGAGCCAAAATATACCTCTCAGTGTTCGCAGAGGAAATGTATCGACAAACTTCAAATCACCTTATTACCCGTTCTAAAAATGGGTAAACCCAAAGTTGGTAAAACAGTTAAACCTGTGTTACCTAATTGAGCATGGAGAGTACCTTGTAAGGCATGGGGTTAACTAGTTAAGCATGGGGTTAACTAGTTAAGCATGGGGTTAACCAGTTAAGCAAGGGGTTAACTAGTTATAAGCATGGGGTGATATTTTTGGTAAAACAGTGAAACCTATGTTACCTAATTAAGCATGGAGAGTACCTAGTAAGGCATGGGGTTAACTAGTTAAGCATGGTGTTAACTAGTTAAGCAAGGGATGAACTAGTTAAAAGCATGGGGGTGACAGTTTTAGAATTGTGATGTTTGGAAATAAATAAATCAAATCAAATCAAGTTAGGTATGGGGTGACACAGTTAGGCATGGGCCTTATTCACGAGTTGGCCATTTTTGTCGAGTTCCCTGAATGTATTTCATTAATTGTTAACTGTTGAATGGGATGGCGTCAGACTATTTATGCAGGCACAATACAGCCTTATTTTACTGTCTCTTTTATTTTAAATCTGGCTTTAAACATTAGGGAATGTTTAATTACAAATTTTTAATTATGCTTTTGAAGCAGACTGGAATTTAATATAAATGAAGTTGCTTTCATTTCTCTTCGCAAGTTCAAAAAAATTAAGATTTTACCTAACTTTCAATTTAATATGGCCGACTCGTGAATAAGGCCCATAGCATGCACAGGAGTTACCGAGTTACTCATGAGGGTTAAACTAGTTAGGCATACAGAGGTTACTTAGTTAAGTATGGAGATTAACTAGTTTACTCAAGTTTAAGGCAGTTACCTAGCATCCAGTATGTGATGAGAGAGAAGAGGAACGTCGGGATGAATCTCATCGGCAGGAGATCGCAGACAATCTTGGAGAAGAAGAACGTCGAGACTCTGTAGTAACCGCTGGCCGTCTCGTGTCTGAATTAAAAGGATTCAAAGCTGTTATACTTGTACGACGAGTGCCAAGTTCCATAAAACTGCTCAGTGCATGCATTAGTGCTTACAGCAATTTGTAAGTTTTGACAGAGACTGTAAGCAGAAAGCATAGAAAAGAACATGCCAACGTCGGAGAAGAAATTTTCTTAACCAGTTTGCGCCGGGATTATTTGGCATGATCGGACCCAGGTGCGGGATTGTTTTCACGAACCTCGATGCCAGACGGGTTAAGGCTGTCATCTGCGGGTAGCACACCCTGATATTTCTGGCCTCACTCACTGCGAGCAGGTCGCAGACAGATATTTCTGACCTCGCTCTTTGTGCGTTTATCCGTCATCCGTTCCCAATACCGCAAAACCTTTGCATGTATACACGTCATCCGATGTGAAATGGTTAAGAAGCAGCAACACAGCTTAACCTTGGTTGTCATTTAACACCTCCCCCCACCCTTCCCTCTTTTAAGGAACAGAAACACCATGGACCACACGACAGAATTGTCTATTTTTGTATTCCGTATCCTGGAGAATAAAAAGATGTTTTTTTTAACAGGGTAGGGAAAGGTTTGCAAAACTTACATGAAGATGACCCTTTCCTTGATGAAGATCTCAATGGCGCTCATGTTGCCAAACACCATGTTCATCGTCACAAAAAGAAAAGCTCCCACCCTGTCAAATATCAACAATCAACCGTCAGTTACACTGAAATGGGACTACTCTAGGCTAAAGTTGGTTCATCAGAAGAACGTCTAAAGGTGTGGCACAACTCCAGGGAAATGCAGTTATGGCAACTTTTAAGGAAGCATAATAAAAACTCCATCCATCCATTGAGGTGGCTTGTCAGAATCTGACGTTGCGTATCAGAACGTGTTCTTCTTGTTGCTGGCACCGGCGTATGATGTCCAGGGACTTGTGCCAGTGGCTTCTCTGAGCCAAGAGAGGTAAGTCATTCGTTCTCAGCCTCGTGCCCTGCGTCCTGCAACAGAACCAGTCAGGGCAACTGTCTCAAGTGCATTCTTCCGAAGGATGTGGCCAAGGATGCGGATCTGGTGGGTTGTAATTGTTTGCAATAAAGCACATGATGTGTTGGCTCTTTCTAAGATGTGTACATTGCTAACGCGATCAGTCCACGATATCCTCAGCCTCCAGTGTAAAAAACCACATCTCAGTGGCTTCCAGGTGCTGTTGCATGGTTCTGCTTAGTAATAAAGTCTCACTGTTACAATAAAGACTCACTGTTTTGAAAATAGCTTTTTGTGTAAGAAAATTACAGCTCTTGGCTATCACGCTATGACCAGAACTTGATGATGGCAATGAAAACATTTACTTCTTCATTTCAGTACAAATTGTAGGGGCGTTACCAATATTTCAAAAGGAGGTAATACGATATATCCAATGCAGGCTATTTCACTTTTTGATATGGATAATTCTTTTTACAAAGTGGAGACTTTCTGATATTTTTTCTCTGATTTTTAAATTGTAGCCTCGTACCTTGCCTAGATATTAGCCTCAACATCCCCCACTCCCCCCCCCTACCCCTCACCCCCCCCCCCCCCCCCTGCCACCCCCCCCCCCCCTACTCCCACAAATCTTTCCCGACGACTGTGACAGAATAGATTACCTGTTTTGGATGCCGGAGTTCAGCGACGTGTCGATCTGCCAGTAGATGAGACCGAGTATTATGGCAAGAAACACCACAGTCAGCGGCTGCAAGTATTCGGCAGTGAAAAAGTGGACTATTATTATTATTTGAGACGATGGAATTTGCATCAGTGCAAAAACTCCATATCATACAGGATATTGATTATGGTAACCATTGCTGGTTCATAATATGAATTGGCCAGCCAAACCTTGACACACTAGCAAGACGAGAGGTTAAAATGTCTGCACAAGTCAAGTATAGGAGGTCGTGGGTTCCAGTCCCACCCAAGCAAGCCTGTGAATTTTTTTCTTCTCGCAATCTCTCGGACATCAAATGAATGAAAAATCGCAGCTTACCTGGAAAACCGACAGTTGAGGGTTTCTCAGGAAGTTGATGAGAGTTCTCTTGGAAACATACCTCAGCTGAAAAAAATATATAAATAAACCCAAAGTTGTTCGCTATCCTATAAATGCAAGCAACTAATACATGCAAGTGTTTGTCCCTTATGCAGTACAGTTTCATGTAAAATAACAAACGAGTCATTTTTTTTCTGATTATAGCCTTACGGGCTCGGTGCACAAGTACCCCCTCAACAGCAAGAAAGAGAGAGCTCAGGAAAACCACTGGGAGAAATCTGAACGCATTGCCGATGACGCCCGGGGTTCAGCCGAAGACGTTATGGCTTTGTGCGCAACTGCACATCCAGAATAGAACTAGTCGTGCGTACTTCGCACCGGACGTGCGCAGATCAGTACACGCATGGCTGTGCTCCGTCCACTGGGCTCTTGAAAGCGCCACCTACAGTTAACGCAGGGAGTTGATACTGTACGTACCTGCGTAATGAAGGACGTGGCGTACTGAATACTGGGCACAGCGATATCCTCGTCACCGTTCCGATGCACGGAATATATCTCGCCCGCCTCTCTCATCATTTCAGCGTGCACATCGGACTGCCGGTAGAGGCTCCTCAAAGACGGTTGGTCCATCTCGTTGAGAACCACCTGGGTGGATTTCTCAGCATGGTGGTTTTCTAGAGGACGAGAAAATTGTCGCAAGAAGGAATTTTTGTGTCTGGTGGGTGTAATTGTTCAATGTGGTTTTTTTCTTCATCGATCCATTTTACGACCACTGTATAGACAAAACCGGGCACGTGATGACTGTACACTCACAAGGCCCCCTTCAATGGAGAAACCATTGTGCATGCTAGTGTACAAAGCAACTGCCGTGTGACGGATTATCTGGACAATAGCTAACACAATGCTTTCGCCATTGAAGGGGCGCCCGGATTGATCTATAATCAGTGATGTTCGAGGGCTTGCTAGAACAGAGATTCATGAGTTTCACAAGTTGAAATCCAAAAATATTGTTTTTCCTGAGCTCTCGAACTGTTCTGATAATAAAATTGCGTATAAAATATGTCAGTGAAGGGCACAACTCGGTACCAAAAGGAAAAATGAAGCCATTCCAAAAAACTCACATAGGCAAATCAGAGGTTTTTGCGGCAGTAACAGTTGAGTGCAAATTTGACCATTAGGAATATGCCCAAACAGTTTCGGGGTTATTGAGTTCGCAACTCTCCATTTTCTCCAAAGCTCTTTCACTCCTTTATTTTTTTTAATCTCTTGTAGTCCTACAAATTTTGCGATCATTGCCTCACCTTTTCCGTCCGTCAACGCAGACGCACGACTCGGCATTTCAAATGAAGGCGCGCCAAAATACCCGTTGATGACATCCAGAAAAAAGTCGGGCGGATTGTTGTGTTCCTCACACTGAAAGCCTGTAGGGGAAAGACAAAATCAGTCAGTTCATTTTTTGTGTGTGTAAACATTCAAACAATTCGGTTAAATTGTGGCCTAGCGGTGGAGCACAGGATCATGATCATGAGGTTGTGGGTTCGAGCCCCGCCGTGGCCATGCGTGTTGTGCCCTTGAGTAAGGAGGAGGAGGAGGAGGTGTGGTGATCCCCCCACAGCAGCATTTCATGGATTCGAGTCTGGCCCAATGAGTGTAAAAACACATATCAATAATGGTTTCATTTAAAAGATTGGACGGACGGAACAGTCTATGAACACATTTTAATTTTGCTTTAACCCACCAATGGATTCAAAGTACTGGAGGGCGCCCTCTGCTGGTCCGTGATAGACAGTCTCTCCCTTGCTGAGCAGATGCAACTTGTCGAACAGACGGTAGATGGAGAACCGCGGCTGGTGGATGGAAAAGATGACAGTGCGCCCTCGCTTGGACAAACTGGGGAAACAAACAGTAAAAAAAAACAAGATTCAAAGGCAAAGAATATATTCGGAGTGACTTCAACAGTGAACTTTTAGCATGTAAAAAGTCCGTACATGAGCCAATATGGCTCGTCTGGCCGGCTTTATGTCCGGTTTCAGTGGCATGAGAATATTTCTATTCCCCTGGATGGGATGCCAGTCTGTCCATAACTCCCCAGCTAATGTCGGCACCCATTTAAACTCCTGGGTGGAGAGAGGCAAGTGGGGGTGAAGTGGCTTGCCCAAGGACACAACAGATGGCCAGCAGCTGGATTCGAACCCCTGATATGACCCACTGTCATGAGTCACTCCTAGCTTTTCCAAATGTCAAAGTACAGTCAAATCTTTGAGAGTAATATAATTCAGAACTCTTGGACGGCAGTCTGAAATGATTGAAGGATACCTTTTCAGGACCAGCATGACAGCACTGGCCGTGCTGGCATCCAGCCCAGTCGTGGGTTCATCGAGGAACAGCACCGTCGGCCGGGTGATGAGCTCCATGCCGATGTTGGTCCGTTTCCTCTCCCCGCCAGAGACACCTCGGATAAAATCAGTCCCAATCTGGGGACAGATAAGAAAGAACACGGCTCCCATCTTCAATAAACCTGTTTTGTTTTTTTAAATGCTGTCATGATGGTCGTTACATCAATCTGTTTTAGACGTCCTACTCGTCTGTTTGGTCTTAAAACTTCATTCTCAAAACAACTTTAGTTACATTCATGATTATAGTTCAGTTTTTCTACAGCATTGACTTCAGTTGACACTGGAGAGTACTCAAACTCCTTGCTGCCATTTCCGCCAAAAAAAATACTGATTCAAACACAATAGCCATCTCTGCTCTCACGTGTGTCCCTTTATTCCAGGGCAGGTGAAGCGATCAGAGACAAATGCCTTGCCCAAGGACACAGAGGCACCACAACCCTGCAGTCTGGTAACCAACCCACGATCTGCAAACATTCTGCGCATGATCGTGAGTTTTAAGTTCCATAAAAAAAGGCCGAAGAAATTCCAAAATCTAATGCAAGTCACAATGACAACGATGACCATTTAATCTACCTACCCTGGTATTAGCGCAGTCCGTTAGACCAAGCTCCATGATCACATCCTCCACCCGTTCCTTCCTCTCCTCATGGCTGATGTCGTCTTGCAGACGTAAGGCCGCCGAGAAGGTAAGATTCTCTCGGACGGTCAGCGTTCCCATGACGACATCATCCTATGATAGAAAAGAAATCCAAGTCTTACAAAGCTTTGCACTTCAACAGCAGAACAATAGGTCGTCTGAGACGGGTTCATGCAAGGCACGAACGCAGATTCACAAATGCAAGATTATGACATCATGTCAAGTTTTCGAGATGAGCATTCCAACAGTTGGAATCATTTCAGCTGTGGTTTCACTACGCTTTATGTCTGCACACTGTTTTTCATGTACCGTTACAGTGTGGAGTTTTGGGGTTAGTCATATGGAATTTGCGTCGGGATGATTTAAATTCACTTTTAGGTTTGGCCCTTCACCGATGTATAAACACTGTATACTCAGTGTGTTACCTCCCGAGTGAAAAATGAGAAAAAATCACTCGGGTGGGACTCAAACCCACGACCTCCTGCTTTTTAGTGCAGACGTCTTACCACTCGACCACCGAGCTTGCTGGGATCGGATCGGGGTGATTGGAATTTGCATCGGGGTGATTTAAACTTGCGTCAGGGTGATATAAATTCAATATTAGGTTTTGCCCTTCAAAATTCACTATTAGGTTTTGGGTTGTTTAAGGGAAAACACTGCTTATTGCCCTTTTTCGTTTATGGTGTAATTTATAAGAACATGTACTTCATAAATCGTAAGCAAGAATTTCAAGGGTATAGCTAGGCTAGGAAGTGCATCGAACATCTTTGTTCACTCCCCAGATCAAGTCAAAATATGCTTGCTCTGTGTCGACATGGCTTAAGCTCAGCATATTTACAACCCTTAGTTTGTCATCTTTCGCATATATCTTCCTCAATAAACAACAAAATCTTTTTAAAAAAACAAATCAATCACCCTAGAAAAACCAAACAGAGCAATCAATCACAGTACCTGCACCACGTAGCCTGAAACGCACTTGAAGTTCGAAGGCTGCGGGGCACCGTCTACCAGCACGGTACCAGTTAATCCCTTGGGATCCTTACGTCTCGCCAGAATGTCTAGTAGCCTGGAAAAAAGACGACGAAGAGGCCGGGGGAGAATTAGAGATGAAGACATCTTGTCAGACAGGTCCCTGACTTTGTGTGAAAATCTGGGTCGGTGTGATCTAGTTAATACTGAAGTCTGTTGGTTGGATGCATAGCATGGGCTCAAGAGGCATCCGGGGGGGGGGGGGGGGGGGGGGGGGAAGGGGGGTTGTCGAAAAAGTTTGGTAAAGTTTGCAGCTCATTGTCTTCTGGAACTATCACATTTTGTAATGGAGCTAAATTTATGAGTGGATCACCAAAACCAATCGTTTGGATAATTCTGATAATTAATTTTCTTTGTAAGCTATTCTCAAAAGGGCAGCAATCTGAATTGGCACAATCCTTGGATGAACGACACCTTAAGATATTGACAATATCAAGACCAGCGCCGACATTGCCAATAAATTAAGTTGTTGACTGTTAATGGACGCGATAAAATGTCACTTCGTAATCCGGAGGGGATAAAATAAAATGGCACCCTGGGCAAAGCTGGGGACAAAAAAACCCAGAAAGTCGGCAGGCCCGGTGATTTATGGCAAGTTCACAACTTTGCAAGTGTTCGACACAGCAACCATTTCAGCAACTGTAAGCAATTTTGGGTAAAATGTCGTTTTAGGACACCTCTATTTCTATACAAGTTCCGTTCAAAAGTGACATTCGTAAGTGACTTTTAGTTCCAAAATGACTTCTGCATTCTTAAAAAGTTTTTTTTTTAGTGAGATTAACTCTAGGTTTTTATAATTTTGATCGGTACTTTGGAAGAAAATGCAACTTTCTTGCCTGTTTACGGAAGAAAATGCAACTTTCAACTTTCTTGCCTGTTTAAAAGTTTAGACGTGCAAGTGACATCACAGTCTTTTAATTCTCTTTTATGGGAACGACCTAAACTACAATTTTAACCCATTTTGCAGTGCATTGCATCCTCATAACATAAACACACTAATAACAATTATGGATTTATATAACACACATTTCTATCAAGTCAGTGTTCACGGTGCAGTACGCTAATACCCCTGCTCTTCTAGCCAATGAAGAAAGCATTCCAAAGACCATCTCGGCTCCCTCGGGAGACCACTAACCATACACTCAAGGAGAGCAAAAGTGTACTCCAATCTTTCTAACTGATGTTGATGAAAAAGATCTTATTTATTGCACAACTTACGATGTTTTCCCACTGCCTGTTGGGCCCAGAATGGCGTTCATTCCTGGTTGAAACACACCACTGAAAATAAAAGGTATTAGTGGAAAAGAACAGTTGAAATATAAATCTTCACTGATACTACAGAAATGAGACAGGTATAACATGGAAAATGGACACAGGGTTTTCTCTGTTAACTTTTCATCTTAAATGTAAAGTATATCCTTTGCAACAATCCAGAAATTAACGGACAAAATTATTGATGAAAAGCATACTTGGTTTAAAGTAGTACTGGCACTAAACTCCCTGTGAAATTATTTTTTCTGGCATGCTGTCATTTTGAAGAAAACAATAAAAGAAGTTTTTTCCATAGATGTGTCTAAAGATGCATTTTTGGAAATTTCCGTTAGAAGTTCGCTTTTAATTCGGCGAAGCCGTGAATGGGTGCGTGCAAGCGTTGACACAACGCACACGCATGCACGGTTGCTATAATTCGTTGGGTCAGTGCCTGACATTGCGTAGCTGCAATTGGCTGGATGAGAACGTGAACTGATTTTGGGTGCAATTCAAAACATGACTCCGCAACTTTTGAATTGAAATCGATATCCTAAAATATTGTTTTCTTGGCATATTCAGCATTCACTGAGCTTAAAACTTCATCAGATTAGCTGTTAAGCACCTTTTCTAGATTTTGAACACTTTTGTTGCTTCAAAAAAAAATTACACAAATGACAAATGATATACTCTACCTTTAATCACACTTGTCTCAATTGTGGTTGTCTTCTGTACGGTACAAACTCAATCATCTTACCATCTATACGTTGGTTTAAAAATCTCATTTGTTTCACCCCAAAAACCTATTTTGAGATCACAATGAAACGTTCCAGGGGCTCGATCGTTATTGCTACTAACTAACTTACTTGATATCGCTCAAGATATGTTTCGTTGTTTTTTTCCTCTTCACTTTAATATCCACCTCGCAGTTGATGTCATGGAATGAAATGGTCGAACCACTTACTTGTAGCTCCTTAGAAAAAGAATAAAAAATTACAATTTGTTTCGTCTTGGAATTATCATAAAATAAGCTGAATTTCTGTGAATGTACTCTTAGGGAGACATGTTAGCATCAAATTTTTTTTTTGTCGCAAATTGTTTTTTTTCCGCAAATAGGCTAAATCGATTCCTCGTGATGCAGAACCCTAAATTTTACAAAGTTTGGTGAGGGTAGGACAAGATTAGGTTAGGGTGAGTGGTCATTAACTCGACTTCCCTAGGCATTTTTGCTAGGATGCAACCTCAATCCTGCAAAATCCTTCAACTGCCTCCATGCAAAAGTTACCATGATGTCTCATTCAAAAGTGAATAACTTTTTGTACTGCTAGACAAGTTGCGATTAAAAAAATATAACAAATTCGAGATGAAACTTGCAAATAACAACTGGTATGAAAGGTTACTAGAAGGAGAACATACCACAAGGCGTTGCAGATCCATCGTAAAATGCTGAGCTTAGAACTACAATGTACATTCCAATGGAAGACACTACCACACCCAAAATTCAGCAGTAAATGTATGTGTTATATCATGGAGCTAGCTCTATGGTTATAGGGGCCTATAACAATAAGCTATTGCTCAAAAGTTTAAGATGCTGGTTACAGTGAACACATTTCTGAACAATACCAGCAGCTTTGTAAGGCCATTTTTTTACGACATTAAAAAAAAATCATGTTTGTAGAGATTCTTTCAATGGTACGATGGTCATATGGCTTATTAAGTAACAAAATATGTGTTCTCTTCTAATTTACATAACCACATACAAATGTCATTGGTCAAACCTCCCCCCCCCAAAAAAAATCAAATTTAAAAGGAGGTGAAAATGGGTTAATCAAGCTTTAAAAAGGGAACAAAGATGTGTTGGGCCGGTTTTAAAAAGTACATTTAAAACTGGCTGGGGGCCTTGATGCGATAATAGCCTATGCCAAAACCGTCATTCATAAATACCTTTCGGTCAAAAAGCCAAAATAATTAAAAATTCACAATTTTCCAATGATTTTGATCAACAATTTTACCACCTGTTTTATGGTATGTACCTCACATGCGTAGAGCTAAAAATCTCCTTTAATGGAGTCTCGCGCAGAGCGCAGCGGCGCAGGAATAAAGTTTTTAAAATTAAAACCAGCAGGTGTTTTATCAGCAGTTTATAACCGCCCACCTGCCGGGCCCTCAACCAATAGACCTTTATCATGCTGCCACCATTTCAGTCATGTTCCCTGTATCCAATAACAGTACTGAATGATGATGTTTTTCGTGCAAAAAGGAACCAGACTATTTGTCCTTCCAGCCTCACTTTGGTTTCATTGATTTGAATGGGAAAAAGTCAAATGGCTGCAACATGATAATGGTCTACAGGAAAGGGTAAACTGTCAAATTTGATATATCTTAATCAACTGTGAGAGTTTCAAGTATTTTTCCCTTTTTTTTTTGTTTTTTTTTTTGGTAGTGATTTTTGAAGCATTTATCATTTGTGCCTATGGGAATTTATTTTACCGGTCTCGCTCTTGGCCTCAAGCAGAGAAAAAAATAAAGTGTCCCACATCCAGGCTTGTTGCCAAGGGGGGGGGGGGGGGGGCCTGTGGGGCCGGGCCCCCTTTGGCGAGCAATTGGCACCCCCAACAGCAAAAGCCATACATATGTATTTTTGTATTTCATATGGTAGTGGGGCCCCCCTAGTTGGTACTATGCCCCCCCCCCCCAATGCTCGGGGCTGGCGGTGGCGCTGCCCACATAACAGCAGTCAAAAGTGCCAAACCGAGAAAAAAAAACTAGGTTTCAAGTCAAAATTCCTCGGCCTCAATCTACACCCACTTCATCCTAAGTGCTGACAGTTCCAAGTGGAAACCATAGATCCAGCGGCATTTCTGGAAGTCCAATATTACCAGAACTTACACCTGAGTTGCCCAGGGGGAATATTTTTTTGGAGATGAACTCAAACAGTCGATCAGACATACGCAAACAAATATCTCTGGAATTCTAATGCATTTGGATGATCCGTTCGGTGATTCGTTTTCAATTGTTTATATGTCTCTGGAATGTTTTCATGATGTGAACAACATGTCTGGTTTTTCAAAACATTTTGAAATGTTTGTTTTCTTTTTCATCTTGTGAGCACACAAAATAGACCAACAAAACCAGCATTTTCTGGCTCAGTGAGAAATTAGTAATCTTCAAAAGAAAAAGATCAGCATGCTTTATACCCAATCTGTACTTGCTTATAATTTCAGATCTGACTTTTTCTGATAATTTTAATTTCTGTTCATCAAGAAGGGTGGGGAAAAAGGCTTAAATCGTTAAAGCGACCATGACATGAATGTTACAAAGGAGCATATTTTTGTACATCTTTCTACTCCTCTTAAATGTATGAAAACTATTTGACATCCCTATTATTAGGTTAATTTTATTGAAAAGTGCACTTCTTTAAACATTTAAAATTGTCCATGCTTTTCCTGACAACTGAGGGTGATGTTGCTGTGATGTCATTTTAAGAAGACACTGTTCAGTTTGGGGGTTTTCTGTTCAAATTGTGAACGCACAACTTTGCTCATTGAAAACATTCGTTAAACACGTTTGCTTGCTGGCTTGCTGCCATGTACTAAAACAACAAGGAATAACCAAAGAAAAGAACATTTACGATTGGCAAAATATCAAATATTCTGGCAACTTTTTACGCTGAAAAAGCTGTGAGGTTTTTCCCTATGATATCACATTTTTGCTCGTGAATGTGGAAATTCGCCATCGGCAAAAAAAGTTAAAAGGCACCAAAATATCCTTGAAAAATGGCAAAATGAAAATTGAAAATTTGGTTAAATGGGATATGTACAATGTACAGTGAGTACATGTAGATGCATTTTCAAGGATTGCATTTAAAAAAAAAATACATTGCATGCATGGACCCTTTGAAGTTTGAACATCTGTCAGTGAAGGTAGGCTTACTGTATAATTGTGGTACATTTCGCCCATGTTTATTTGAAATTTACTGTCCACACTATAAAACCCAGCTCTTTAAAAATCACAAAAATTAACGAAGTAATGAAGTTTGAACATCTGTCAGTGAAGGTAGGCTTACTGTATAATTGTGGTACATTTCGCCCATGTTTATTTGAAATTTACTGTCCACACTATAAAACCCAGCTCTTTAAAAATCACAAAAATTAACGAGATGTGAAGCTACAATAGGTTGTTAATACACATTTTAGTAGGCATATTTGATTTGAGTTTTTTTCTCTTGTTTTAATTAGAAAACTGTCAAATTTATGCATTTGGCCTTACATACACACTGTACATCTTTATTATCTTTCAGAGCAATGAATAGGCCTAAAGCATGAGTACAGGTATAAATAGAACAAAAGATACGATAACAAAAAGAGGAAGTTTTTTTTCTCGTACAAACAAAACACTCGGTGGTGGTCTTTACCATCACCATAACTGCTGCTTCCACGAAAAAAAAAATAGAAGAAAAAAAAAATCAAAACTGGAGGGATTGGGGAAAAAACACGGATAGGTAAACTTTGTTCTGCCCCCTGGTGTGGTAAGTTAAAGCGTGCAGACCGTAAGCCGATGACAAGGGGATTGCAAAAACTGGCCAGGGGGTTTCAAAAAGTTCTCGCCTCGGAAATTGGTTCGTCCTGAAAACAGGCACGAAGTTCACCCGACAGGAACAGAAAGGGAAGGAAGCAGTTAAGGGTCCATTTGGTGTACTGTAGTCTCGTCTTTCACCACAGTGACCTGGGGTCACAGTAGGGTGCACTAAGTCATGTGGTGAACAAGGGGGTGCGGGATAGCGAAATTGCCAGCGGGTTTCGAATGTTTTCACTGCAGAACATGCCAAATGAAATGTTTTCGTCCCGCAAACACATCAAGAGTTCATCTTACAGAGAAGGAAGGAAGTGCCAATATTAATTAAGGGTCATGTTGGTGAACTTTATCCATGTCTTTCACCACGGTGACCTAAAGTGAACTCTGTTATGTGGTGAACAGGACAAGACAAGTGTATACTGGTTTATTTATAAGTTCACTGCTTTTTTTTTAACATACTCTAATTTGTAAAATGTGTTTCACAGTTTGTTTTTAATGAACATTGTTAAAATGGATTTAGGGAATTGGGCTTTGACATTTTTGCAGGAAATTTGATGTATAAATTTTAAAAAGAAAAGCACACACCAATGTATCAGCTAATAATGCAGTTTTCAAAAACCTGAAATGCTGTAAACTTGCAGGATTTAACTTCAATGTCTCTGATCACATGGTGTTTAGTTTTGTTGAGTCGCCCGGCGGGCACAATAACTTTACAATTAGAGTTTGATGTTCCAAAAAAAATGTTTGTTGATTTCTACAAATTGGGATGATTTCAATACTATTTCAATTTCAATCCGTCTTCAGGCCGAAAATGGTAAATATTCTTTAAGATATCACTCCTATGTACTCGGATGAAAAGAAGAGAAATTCCAATTTCCAGGAGTTATATACATTGTTGTACAGAACATCTACACTGTACTGTACTTTTACATAAGTACTGGTACATGTAGTGTGAAGGATTTTTGTTCTTTTTTGCACAGGTACTATAGGCCTACACATTTCAAGGTCTGTTATATAACAAGTGGCTATAGATGCATGTTGGCTATCCAGGATACGGCAGGAGAATGTCTATGGGCTGAAAGTGCACACTGGAGTACCTGCATAATACAACTAGCTATGCTTGAGAGCCTTTCCCAGGCCCTGCAAAAACATCAGACCAGATTTGTTTTGTGTGTTTGTGAGAAAACGCAAGTTATGAAATCATGAAAAATGGAATTGTGCCAAGTCTCCCGCACAGAAATTAACACGCATCAATGCTTGTACCTATTGTGATAAAATCCTTTAAAAAATTTGAATATAAAAAAACCAGGAAGAAAAATACATAGGCCCTATCACGTCAAATTTGATGGTTTACATTTATGTCAAAATACCCTTGAAAATGTCCAAACAAAAATTGAAAACAGGGTTAAATGGGACACAAAGGCGCATTTTGAAGGATTGTATTTAAAAAAAAAAATTACATTTCATGAGCCCTTTAATCCTCTGAAAAATAAAAGACAAAACTTTCATTGAAATGGAATAGCCAACCATTTTTTTCGGTCCCGATAAATCTTGGGTGTCTGTTTTTGTGTTCACATTACTACTTCTTTTTTTTCCTTTTTTTTTTACACCTGTTGGCATGTTCACAAGGGGTTGTTACTCCTCAGATATATGGGTCCCTGAGGTGCCAACACCAGAAATGGGTCATAGAACTCCAAAAGAGAGTTCAGGCTCCTCAGAGAGTTGAAAAGGTGAGGAATTCTACGTATGTCGTCAGTGTTTTCACGAATTCGGCCAAAAACCATATTTTTTTGAAGTTCTTTTTCCGGCCAAAATCGTTTAAGTGAACAGCGACGAACGTTTTGGCGAAGTATTTTGGTCAAATTCAGTTTAAATCAACGAAATCATGACAATCAAAGTAGGGAAAATTTCACCTGAATCATATTTTGAGTTTTCACGAAGAGACAAATTCAAGTTCTAACACGCAAAAAAACAATGCACGTGTGTAATTTAAGTTTTCACGAAGAGATGACCCTTCGTGAAAACGCTGACGATGTGTACACGCACGAGTCGAAATTATAATTAAATTGTTGTGTTCTCAAAGGCCTTCAAAATAAAAGAATATCTGGTTGATTGTCTTTTTCCCCCCAATTTTTTAAAATCCATAATGCTACAATATTTCATTTGTTTTCGGCTTTAGGGGGATCTGTCATGGGGCCAATTCCCGAACCGAGTGAGTTTATGGGTTGTCTCTTGGAAATCTCCAAGTACACTGTGTATACTGGGCTTTCATAACATAACACTGTACACCAGCAAAAAATGGCAAAGTGCAAAATTCAATTTTCAAACACTATAAACTACTGTAAGTACCGAATAATGATTTTTTTTTGGTTTCCTTCAGTAAACTCCTCCCCCTTGGGCTTATGCCCCTCCCCTCCCTCCTTTTCTATCACCTAATGTGACCAACACCCGTTTATTACCATCAACCAATCCGTTTGAGCCCCCTCCCCCTCCCCCCCTCCATCCCCCTCCCCCTCCACCACTTCTATTCCAACAGGTTGTTTAGTGAACTCCATTTGTAAGACCTGTGTTACTGTTAAGCACTAAACTGGCTGAACTTCCGCTCTCTGGGGACAAAAAATACAAGTTTACACAAAGTTTGGGCGAGAAACCAAGCATTCCAACTTATCAAAAAGATCTCGTGGAAACAAAAAGTTCATTTTCTTAAAGCTTACAAAAAAGTTTTTTCTGATCAGTTGTGGAGAGGGAGAAAGCTTGATTAATTAAACCTAACATTACATATTGTGGAATTATTCAAGCCTATTTGAAATAATTCAGTTGTATACAACTAGGCCTAAGTAGTAGTTCATAATTTGGTTTTTTATTTCCCTTTTTTTGGCCTTTTGTTTTCAGGGGGCTGGGGGGAGAGAGGTTCAACATAATAAATGCAAATTCACAGCAAATAAAATAAGAAATTACAAACCTTATTTTTCAATTCCTGTTCATATGAAATCGCCACAGAGACAGAATTTGGTCCCGAAACAGGAGAAGTTCCCCCGTTGGGAACGGTAGAGTCCATCGTTTCTATAGTACCATAAACAAAAGGAAATTAGGCAAGATGTTTTTGTATTGTTTATTGCATCCCTAAAACAAAAAGTCATGAAATTTTATTACATTGTTGCCTTCTGTTGGCTTCTGAGTGAGTTCTGCTATTGCTACTCATCCTGTAGGCCCTACAATTGGACTAAAATGCATTGGTTATGTATTTTTTCAAAGAGTTCAACAAAATTGATGCAACTATAACCTGATAACCATGATGTAGTAACAATTTTCCATAGCTCCGTGGATAGAGTAATTACTCAATTATTACAATAAAAAGGTTGCTAAATAAATTATTCAAATTGCAATGTTTATGATAAATTAGCCGACTGAATTATTGAATTAATTTTCTGTACTCATTTTGTAACAATAAAAACCGATCACGAAGTAAAACAAAGGTGACCATATACACGTAAGTACAAATTGTCCATTTTAAAAAGAATGAAAACAAAATTGTGTAGAAGTAATTACCTTTGTTAACATATATTCACAACTCGCACGCGAATCAAACGAGGCGTGGCGTGTGTCCTTGAAGGCGTTGCCGCGCCGGGGAAAAGGCTCTCAATGACGGCAGGTCCGCACGGCTAGGCTGCGCTGGCTGGCGTGAAACAGTCCTAGCAAAATAACCCCTCGCAGTTGTCCGTTCCAACAGATCTGACCAGGCAGTGAATTCACCACGACTTCTGGGGGCTCTCTGACAGTTATAGCACAGCTGAGATCAGGGGAATAAATCCCTTTATGTCTCGTAAAATAAACATTTTTCTGCAGAATGACAGATGCCTCGCTCGATCGGCTCTGCTGAATATGCAGACAATATCCGCGCACATGGAGCTGTAGGGCGCCCTCTTGCGATACAAACAACTGTTTTGATGATTTTTAAAGATGTAGTCATTTGTCCCTACGAATTTTCAATGTATGTTTATGTTTTGTTTAAACGAAAAAAAACACTTTTTCTAATTTGGGGCGTCTGAAACAGTCTGTAAAATGGCTTTCATTTTGTGCACTTATAATTAACCCGCCAATGTTGTGGAAGAAATTTACGTCGGTAGATTTTTGTTGTTCAAAATTCAATGTCTCTTTCAAAAGTGAATAACTTTTGAATAGCTAGGAAATAGCAATTCAAAAGCCTAATCTATCTGAAGTGAAACTCGAAAATAGCCCGTTGAATACCTATCAGGCTGTGGACTGCTTAGAGGCAAAGATCCTATAGCGCCGCTTGCGGCGCTATCCGGTTCGGCGTTAGTAAAAACGTCATACACGCGCGCACACCCCTGATTACTAGCGCCCATTGGCTACAAACGCTCGAGCTGCGTTAACTTCCTGTTCCAATCGTGCAGAAAGTGCTGGAGGTGACGTCACACTAACGAACCGGATAGGATAGAGGACTGTAAAATCTTCCAGCGACAAAACTAGAACTTTTAATTAAAGCTGTGCGTAAAAAAAGTGTCAAAAGAGGGCGCGCTACATTAATAACGTGCTCACGATCGACAGTAGCCTTTCACCAAGGCCATCGTGTCTTAACTTGCCCGTATTCAAAGCGGCGATGACTCAATGTGTCAAAACTCAATGTTTGAATATTTATTTCAAAATATTACTTCACTTCCACAAAGATAACTTGTGCAAAGTTAACTAAATATATTTATTTTTATGATTTCTAATAACTGCAGCTATTCATTATGGAAATTAGCTATATTATATCAATGAATATGATAAAGATCCAATCATATTTTAAAGCTCGGGCAGGAGCTTCTTCATGTCACTTGGTGGTCAGTCGGTCGGTATCCGGAAAATTGACCAAAATAAGCTCCCTATTTTAAAGTTTCCCACAAAATACAAGTACCAAATTTGCATTTTCATAAAAAGCAATTAAAATATATTAAATACTTAACAAAAACTGTTTGTAACAATTCGGAAAGACATTTATGAAAAGTTTGTTAATGGAGGCATAATATATGCAGTAATGTTAGGGTAGCTACGTGGTATGGTATTTATCACAAATCACTTTAAAATTTAGTTAAACTAAAATAGAAAAAAAGTAAAACTGCTGCAAACTGCTTACTGACTGGATGGACCTGAAATATATAAATCTTAAAATTAATGTGGCCTGACGTTGCGAACTTAGCAAGTTCTTCTTCAGAGGCTAAAAGCATGGGCTGTTTTAGCCTCTGAAGAAGAACTTGCTAAGTTCGCAACGTCAGGCCACATTAATTTTAAGATTTAAACTAAAATAGGGTAGTCCATATGTGCATTGCATTTTTGGGCGTCGCATTTTTTAAGCTCTAGCAGGGATCGTTTGGATAGATTTCATGCAAGACTTTCAAGTTTCACGCAAGACGGCCAGAGCTTATTGTGCACTCGCACTTGTTTTAGTTTTACACCACTCAATCCAAAATATATTTACATATAATGAGGGTTATAATCTTGCATTCATCAGAATACATTGGGAATGTTAATTTTCCGGTAACATTTTTATTCTACAGTATTTTTCAAAAGTTCATGTACAATAATATTAACAAAAACAAATTTGTGCGACAATACTGATAAAGTAGATTTTTCACACATACAAACAAAATCCCTCAAAAAATTATACCACATATCTATGGTCGGTGTTTTAACCAGTTTGCGTCCCGATTATTTTAACATTGACCAGACAAAGGGACTCAATGATTTAAATTAATCAACACTAATAATACTCATTCAAAGCCTTTTAATACTTAATGCAAAAGCAAAACGAACTAACCAAAACACTTAACTGAAAATCACTCTTTTAGGGTTTTTTGAAGTACAGCTATGACAAGGGGAATCAGCTATGGTAGAGCAGGGGAGGAGCCAGGTATGGGTCAAAAGGGGGGAGCTTTTTGACAAGCTAGCAAGAAGGGGATTCTGCAGGCATTTGCTGTGTTTATATGCACAATTTTCCTATTTTTCTTTCGGTCAAAGAGGGGGGTACGCCACCAATCCTCTTCTTACTTGAGCTTGTGGATGCGTCTTAGCTGGATGTAACCCAAGACCAGGAAGATGACACTCATTGATCCCAAGGCAACGTTGTTCTGCCAGAGGCCCCAGTCTGTGTCATCTATGCCTTGCTGATCTAGGTAGTCCTCACCAGGAAAACTGGGAAGAGGAAAGGAAATTTAGGGAATAGTCCTCCGAATTATTTAGTATTGTAGATGACTTGGAAACCCAAATTAAAGGCAGCCCATCCCCACCCAATCCAGCCAAGCCTAGCCTAGCCCAACGCATCCCAGCCCAACCCAACCCATCCCAACCAAACCCATCCTAGCCCAACCCAACCTAGCCCAACCCAACCCATCCTAACCAAACCCAACCCAGCCCAGCTGAAACCAACCCAACCCAACCCAGCCCATCCCAACCCAACCCATACCAACCCATCCCAACCCTACTCAACCCAACCCATACCAGCCCAACCCAACCAAGCCCAACCCAACCCAACCCATCCCAACCCATCGCATCCCACCCTAACCCAACCCAACCCGACCCGACCCGACCCAACCCAACCCGACCCGACCCAACCCAACCCAACCCAACCCAACCCAACCCATCCTAACCAAACCCAACCCATCCCAGCCCAACCCAACACAACCCAATCCATCCCAATCCATTCCAACCAAGCCTCGCCCAACGCATCCCAGCCCAACCAAACCCAACCCATCCCAACCAAACCCATCCTAGCCCAACCCAACCCAACCCATCCTAACCAAACCCAACCTAGCCCAACCCAGCCCAGCCCAACCCAGCCCAGCCCAACCCAACCCATCCTAACCAAACCCCACCCAGCCCAACCCAACCCATCCCAGCCCAGTCCAACCCAACCCATCCTAACCAAACCCCACCCAGCCCAACCCAACCCAGCCCAACCCAACCCAGCCCAACCCAACCCAGCCCAGCCCAACCCAACCCAACCCAACCCATCCTAACCAAACCAAACCAAACCCAGCCCAAACCAAACCAAACCCAGCCCATCCCAACCCAACCCAACCCAGCCCAGCCCAACCCAACCCAACCCATCCTAACCAAACCAAACCAAACCCAGCCCAAACCAAACCAAACCCAGCCCATCCCAACCAAACCCATCCCATCCCAACCAAGCCCAGCCCATCCCACACAAGCCTTCATCCCAGCCAAACCCAACTCAATGAAGCCCAACCCAACCCATCCCACACAAGCCTGTAGCCCAGCCCAACCAAACCTACACCTAATTAAATTCAGGCTCTACCAACATTTTCTCATTGGGACCTTTGTATGCAGGTCTGCATACACATGAAGCAACGGAAGTATAATACTAACGAATAAAACAGCTGGGAAATATTTATTTGCGTCAATTGAACTGAAATTAAGACTCACCAGTTAATCTTTGTACCGTTCACAAAAGTGCAGAATTCTAGTCCACGGAGTTCATTCACTGAAAGGGCCTGAAATGACAACAGCAAACATTCAATGGTGACCGAGTTTTCAATTCATCCTTTAAAATTTGCATTGCTTTCATCACTTAAATCGTAGACACTTTCCAACAAAATTTACAAAAAAAGGGGTCAATTATTTTTTCCTACATTTAAGAGGAGTGGAAAGTCTCACAAAATGTGTTCCTATGAAAAATCAGGTATGCAACTGGGACTTTAGACCAAAAAACCTCGAGGAAATACTAAACCACACAAGACTCTGTACAGTGTTTTTCAATTTGTAATGGCATTCATGAGAAGTTAAAAAAAAAAAAAGGAAATCAGTGGATCATAGTAGAAGTTGCATGCCTGCAAAATGCATCTCCCACGGACCCTTTCAACTCCCCAAACACACAAGAAATGACTGAAACAGCGCAAGAAGGAGGAAGAAGAAAAAAAGGTTGCCAACTTTACAAAGTTGAAAAGCCAAGCGCCCTATCAAAGTGCCAGACTTACGTTGAGGCTGTAACGGAAGATGCTCACATACTGCAGCCACTGCAGCCATTCTGGTAAAGTTTCAATATTCAACAGCAAACCGCTGAAGATCTGTGCAAATGAAAAGAAACAAATTTTACCCATTACAGCCTTTTCTAAAAAAGACCAAAGCGATGCTTTTGCTGTAATTTTCAGAAATGGATGGACTTGGGGGTTAGTGTTTTCCAGCAAATATTGTTACACTGACCTTTTTTAAAGTATTGTGTTCATGAATGCTGGAAAAAACCAGTGTTTCATCAACCGTTTCGAACCACCCACATGACGGGCTCTCGACCAATAGGAATGGGTAAACTGTCTTACGTATTCTCATATTTTAGAGGGAAACATTTGACCAACTTACCATCATGAAAATGTAACAGACGGCAACGAAGAGCGTCGCGATGGCCATGATCGAGACACTGGAGCTAATGGCGAAGGACAAGGCGCAGGCTGTGACTGTGGTCAAGATCATAGTCAAGGCGAAAAAGAAGAAAGCGTCGACCTCCGCCTTAAGACCTGAAAGTGAGACAGTAAAATAGATAACGTACATCCAATAATCATAAGTATATATCAATGTTTTTAATTTAAAAACCCTTCCTTCAAAGGTTTCATCATTTGAAATTTGTGCAATTTGTTCGTTTGAATGAATAAATGAATGTTAACACCGTTTGACCATTTTTTTTTAACCCTGAAGAATCAAGTTATACAAGTATCTCAACTCTTAATGAAAAATAAGTCTGAAAATGAAGCTCACTTCATACCTAGTGACAGGTCACATATAAATGTCTGCGTAAACTCAAAAAAGTCAATGAAGAACAAAACAACAACACACATACTCCAGAACTTTAGACCTGTTCAACCTACCAAAATAAATGAAATGTGAAAAAATATAAAAAAAAAAAAAACATAAACCAAAAAAAATTGCATATAGGAATCACATTACCTATCATCCAGTATGTGATGGCGCAGAATATAAGCGTGGGAATGATTCTCATCGGAAGGAGGTCGCAGAAAACTTTGGCGAAGAAGTACGCGGAACACCTGTAGAACCCACTAGCAGACTCGTGACTATAAAGACACAAAAGGAACACCCCCAAAAAAATTATGAAAATGCATCTTCGCTATGTGTAATAGTTAACTGGGGCGTTTTTCAAACTCCGGCTGTGTCTAGGGCTTCGATTCAACTCTGGCTTTAGAATCATTTATAAGTTTTTTAAGGTAGAGTACATCATTTGCAGCTATCCACAATGGAACTGACGAAACTATTATTCAGTGGCGCACCCAAGGGGGGGGGGGGGACCCCTCGGGGGCTTGAGCCCCCCCCCCCCCCCCCCCCCCCAAGAGATTGTATTTTTTGTTTCTTTTTTTTGGTAACTTTTTTTTTAGTCCCACAATTTGACCTTGGTGAAATGTATGTGGCCTATTTTTGAGTAGTATAATAGGGTTGTAAGTCCGCCCTCCCCCCTAAAAACCCCAATTTTTTTCTGCGGCAACAAATTTTGGGCGAGATTTTTTGACAAAATTTTAACTTGTAAAAAATTTGAAACAAAAAATTGTGAGCCCCCCCCCCAAGCCAAATCCTGGGTGAACCACTGGTATTGTTGAAAAGCTTATTTGGTTTAATGATGGTAATATAATGGCACTAAACTCCCTGTGAAATTTTTCTTTCTGACATGCTGTCTTTTTGAAGAAAACAATAATTGAAGGCCATTTCCGAAGATGCCTCAAGTGACCCATCTTCTGTTAGTAGTTGGTTCGCAATTGGGCGTATCTGTGAATGGATGTGCAAAAGCACTGACACGACCCACACGCGCGCGCGCCTGCCCTCTATGATTCGTCAGTTCAGTGCGTGATATCGCGTAGCTGCAATCAGCTGTGTGAGAATGTATCCCGCACGCTGATTTCGGGCACAATTCAAAACATGACTCTGCAACACCGAGATCCTAGAACTTTGTTTTCTCAGCACTCACAGAGCTAAAATTTCTTCATGTTAGTTGTTAAGCACCCATCTTTAGATATTGAGCACTTTTGTTGCTTCAAATGAAAAAAAAAATGCACACATGACATATGATCTACTCTACTTTTAACATCTGAACCAATCGGAAAAAATGACGAAAACTTTTGCCTTGTATCATAGAGTTTAAAGTTCCTGAAACAGGAAGCCATGTCAAGAGTTTCTCCACATCGGAGGCCTAATTCTCCAGAGAGCCGAAGCTGAGACAATGCCGGGGTTTTGGAAAAGGGATGAGATGTCCATGACATCATATATATATAAATAAATGACCTTTGAACTTACACAAAGATGACCCTCTCCTTGATGAAGAGCTCCACCGCGCTGAGGTTGCTGAAGACCATGTTCATGATGAGAAAGAAGAACGCACCAACCCTGACAAGAAAAAACAAAACAGTCCCCACAAATCACTGTCAAATTAAAACCAAAGAAATGAAGTTTTTGCCAACATCTTGCGCACTCTCTCCATCTCATTACTGTGCTTCGACAACTACATACAGACGACTCTCGTTAGTACAAACTCTGGTAATACAAAATTCTGGTTATAACAAACATAAAGCCTTGGTCCCAACAGTGCATTTATGTGCACAATGAATGGGACTGATGTTCCTCTTAGTACAAAATTCTGATATAACAAACAATTTGGCTAGGTCCGAACAAGTTTGTTTTAATGAGACTCCACTGTACCTGTTCTGTATACCGGCGGTTGAGAGATCTAGCTGGAAGTACAGACCGCCAACCACCAGGCCAAAGATGACCATGAAACCGAACTGAAGGGAAATGAGACCCCCCCCAAAAAAAAGGAAAAATGATAAATAGGTGAAAACTTCACGATAAGGTCACCTTTTTTATAGGAAAAGTTGAGGATTTATTTGTACACCAGGTACACACAGAGAGCTAATATTTATTAACTCTACAAAAAATCACAATCAAGGCTTGACATCAATGACCAAGTTAAATTAAGTTCTAGGGAAAAGCTTAAATAGACATTCTACGTAATTATCTATATCGATTTTTCTGTTAGGTCTTGAATTCAATACTGAATGTAATGCATTAATTACCTGAATGTAGGTTTGCATAGGGTTTCTGAGAATGTTCAAGACGGTTCGTTTCGATACGTAGTACAGCTGCAAGAGAAACAGAAAAAATAAATTCAAATAAACCACACACGGAAACTGCCTGGATGTATTTGTAATAATTTTTTAAAGTTGAACAAACAAATGGGCTGGAGAGGTGTTTGAACCTCGGACTGCTGTTCTGGTGCTCAATTGGTTGAGAGCACTGGAATGGCAATCCAGAGTTCGAACCCTGTTCCAGTCAATATTTACTTATAAAATATCACCAAATATTTCCATTGAAAATGGCATACAAAGCACATCAGCCGACATTTGAAGAAAAAAAAAGTGGGGAAAATATTTTTTAAAAAGCATCGCCGCACCACTTTGGGGGTAAGCTTCATACCAGACTTTTGGTGGGGGAGGGGGAGGGGGCACATCTTACCTGTGTCGCGAAGGAGGTCGGATACTCAATGACGACAGTTTCAACTTCTTCTGTGCTGGAGTACTCCTTGTAGATTTGGTTGGCCTCCTCCGTTAGGCTGTTGTTGAGTTCCGACATCTTGAAGAGTCGCGAGAGCTTGTCGCTTAACGAGTCCGGTTTGGAGTTGATGTTGACCACTGTTTCGTTGTTATCTTCAACAGTGTCTGCTACAAAACAAAACAAAAAGAAGATTTTCCATGGCTAATTTAAAGGTAGACTATATCATCAGCAGTTATCCAAATAGTAATTGACAAAATTATTGCTAAGAAGCATACTTGGTTTAAAGATAGTAATGGCACTAAACTCCCTGTGAAATTATTCTTTCTGGCATATGCTGTCCTTTTGAACAAAACAATAAAAGAAGGCAATTTCCAAAGATGCGTCAAGTGACACATTCTTGGAAATTTCCATTAGTTGGTTTGTAATTCGGCAAATCCACGGGCTGACACGACGCACACGCGTGTGTGGTTGCTATTATTCGTCTGTTCCGTACATGACATTGTGTTGTGCAACCCCCTGAATGAGAACGTGTCCCGGATGCTGATTTCGGGCACAATTCAAAAACATGACTTGGAAACTTTTGAATTGAAAATCGAGATCGCAGAATATTGTTTTCTCGGAACAGACAGCATTCACTGAGCTGAAACTTCATCAGGTTAGTTGTAAAGCACCCCTCTTTAGATTATGAGCATTTTTGTTACTTCAAACGAAAAAAAAATGTACAAATGACAAATGATATACTAGCTATACCAGCAGGCATGCGGGAAGAACATTACAAAGTGATGGATGGCTTTAAGACTGATCTTGGATACAGACCAGATAAAAAATAACGCAGCCATAAGAGAGCAGTAGAGGGCGCTATCAGCAGTAGAGGGCGCTATCAATAAGATGGAACAAATCCAGTCTCGGGAACATTGGCGCTCTGACCCGCAAACTTGTGGCTGAACGTGCTCTCACCTGCCTTGCCGTTCTCCAGTGCCATGGTAACGGCACTGGAGTCTCCGTTGATGATGTCTAAGAAGAAGTCCGGAGGATTGTTATGCTCCTCACAGACATAGCCTGGGAAGGAGTACAGAAACAAACATTTCTTTACAACTTAATTTGAAGAAGAACAAAACATGGAGAATCTTGCATCCCATAATATCAATTTCTACCCATTTTCATTTTCACAATGGAACTATTTTAACCCTTACCCAACTGGACCCTCCAATGCATGCCATTATGTGCCTTAAGAAAATGGCATATGTTTTTTGCACGGCCCTCCAATATCTGCCATGTCATTTCAAGGGTAACTGGACAGGCACTCCAATACATGCCACAGAGAACAATGAGAGTCCTCTGATAACAAAGTGAGTGCCCCCAGCTGGTCAGTATCAGGCACCCTCCAGGGCCTCCAACTCCTGCCAATTGGAGCCTTCACTGTTAAGACAAACTATCTGCCAATAAACTGCAGCTGGAGGGCATTGGCATAACCAACTGACATGCAGTAAACTACCCTCAGAGAGTAAGGGTTAATATTTACAATAAATATGATTGCTGTATTTCTTCTATATTCTCAAGTTTCTTCCTAAACCATATTGTCTGACTTTTTTGTTCACATATAACTGGATTGTGAAAACAATTAAATTCCAAACTCTTAAATGTGGTAAAAATGCGCCCTCTGTTGTTGGCGCATGGAGCCCATGGTGTAGACAAGATGCATGAAAAGACTTCCAGTGCATAGCCATTCTGAATCATTTGAATAACATTTTCTGTGTTCTGGAACCGGCTTTTCCTAAGCTTGTCTCGTCTTGTTTTCATTTGGGCTGTAATACGCAAAGCAGACACAAACAACCGAAAATACGCTAACGGAAAGGCAGCTCTCAAACCAACCATTTTCAGAAAAGTATTCCAATGCTTGATTGGCCATGCCATGGTACACCGTGTTCCCCAGCGCCAAGAGATGCATTCTATCAAACAGCTTGTAGATGGAGTAACGGGGCTGATGGATGGAGAAAATGATGGTGCGCCCTCGCTTGGTCAACCTGTGAAGACATGAGAAACGTTGGGTGTTTGTCTAGTTAAGAACGGCTCGGCCTTTTCAAAATAAACAAAAAAATTGCATTTTCAAAAGCGACTCAGACTCATAGTTCTCACTGTGTAATTCAACTAAGAAACATGGTAAATTGGGGGCAGTATTTGAAGAAAAAAAAGCCAGTTGTTTTCCAACGCTGGTCGGCCAACCAGCGTTGGAAATTTGACACCAAAATGCCACTTTTCTTGAAAATGACAGCACACCAGGTGCCATGATTTTACAGGATGCTTTACACTGTCATTCACTAACAGTGCAGTACAATATTTCATGATAATTTGGTAATTTTGTTTTTTGATGTTTGCAAATGTATATTCCCTTTAAGCTCTTTGAGAGTCTATTTTGGGGTAAGGGGGGGGGGGGGAACTGACTTGGACAGAAGCAGCATGACTGCGTTTGCCGTGCTGGCGTCCAGGCCGGTCGTCGGTTCGTCAAGGAACAGCACGGTGGGTTTGGTGATCAGCTCCATGCCTACGTTGGTCCGTTTCCTCTCGCCGCCGGAAACACCACGGATAAACTCCGTCCCCACCTTTTGCAATTCAGACGAAACCGGATACCGATTAAAATAAAAAAAAAAAAAATAAGTCGGTCTCTGGTCAGGGCGTGCGTCGATTTTAATCATGCGCGTCGATCTTTTTTTTTTTCCAAAATGTTCCGCGGTAGCTCCAACAGCGCCCTCTATTTCCGCACCTCCTCAATTTTTTTTACCAAAGAGCGCCAAGGAATGGGAAATTGCACCAAGGCAAGTGATCGAAAGCACCAAAGCAAATTATGGAGGACACCAATGTACATGAGGACACCAAAAAAGTAAAATAGTACCACACCTTGTCTGTACAATCCAAGCTTGAAGAAAAAAAATTAAAAAGCAAAAAAAAAAAAAAAGCCGCGTGGCCGCGTCAATTCCAGAACTTTGGTCTGACCAGAGACCGAATAATTTTTTTTTTGGCCTTATAATCAATTTTTTGCTAAGACTCTGCCCCAAAATGCAGTTTGTATTGCTAAAAAAAAACAACATTTTTTTTCATTTCTGTTAAATTTTTGTGAAAAGTTGTAAAAGACAGAGGGGCCCGATGTTTTGTTCACATCAGAATCTTCGTCAAGGAAAAAAAAACGCACAAACGAAAGGATTTTTGGTAATAAAAACGGCAGGAGGCTTTTGTTGACGTGTAGACGTAAATTTAACTGAAGTGCAGTATTTTGGTACCCCCTTCAACTTCCGAATGCAACACAGCATATGACCTCCCCCTAAAGATTCTATTGTAATACAAGGGAAGCATAAGCCCACATGTATATCTGTATTGTGGTCTCTAACTCAATAGTGAGAGCCTTTAATAAAAGCCCTGTATTGTGGTTTCTAACTCAACAGTGACAGCATTATAACACTAGGCCCCCTATAGCCTATTGTATGTGTGGTCTCTATAACTCAACATGCACCATTGAAAACACACACAAACTAAATGGCCTTGAAGACCATAGTTGTCATGTCATAGAAAGCATCCTTTACCGAGTCTGGGCTTGTACTAGGTCCGCAAAATGTACCCCAAAAATGTACATTTCTAATGTTAAATAGAACGAATCGTCTAACGAAATGACCAGAGCCATTTTGGAAATATTGCACACAGCTGCGCTGGTGTCGTACAAAAATCGGACTCCCAAATCGGATTCGTTTACTCTCTTATTATTGGTCAAACCCTTTCACGTGACAGGTCCTTCTCCCAATAGGCATGCGCAATACTACCAATGAGTCCGTATTTCACAGAGTAGTAAATTCACGCTGCACACCGGCCTGTCCGTAAGCGCGCCTCGTGCGTCGCAATGCATTATGGGATTGAGAAAATCATCGCAGCGCCCTGTGCCGAATGCGATCCGTGTCGAGAATTTGTAGTGTGAATTCACAGGGGCCGTAGCCGGATTGAACGTTACACGGTTCACATAGCGGCCGTTCCCGTAAAGGACAGTGTGAACGTCGCGTCTCTCCGATCCGTGTCGAAAAATACTCGGGCTGAACCGGGTTGGATCCGGGTAGGTTTCAACACGGTTCGAAACGGAGATAGTGTGAAAAGGCCTTATGGTGCCTGAAGTGTTTAACAGTTATTTATGATGAAATAAACTTGTTTAAGAAAGCAATTAAAGTCACATCTAAATTTGTACTAGAAAAACCGGACAATAAATATTATGTAATCTCTCATAACACGAAATATATACGGCGATTTAGTTGGAACTGTCAGCAATAGGATGTGAATGCGCAATTCTATGCAAAAGTGGACAAGACTGAAAATTGTGGAAAATGTATGAAGTCTTCCAATTAAACTACAAGCATCACAACAACAAAATGTGGTGTCAAATTAAAGTGGACAACAAGATCTTTCATTTGAGTGCTGTGCCAATGAGATGAAATGTCAAGTGATTTTAAGTCGAATAACCTTTTTTTTTTGGCTAAAACATGCATTTTTTGTAGTCATTTTGGCAGCTTGTTTTAACATTCAAAATGCGATTGTTATTGTGATTTTTTGTGTTTAAGGCAGAGAGAAAGGGAAGAAAAGAATTTAATTATTGTGCAGTTTATCAAATTCAGATTTTACGCCGAGTTAGAAACCGTGAAGAGGAAGTATTGCGAGTGACATAATGCCAGTGACGGTAATGTCCCGGTGTATATAAAAAAACACACTGAAGTGATTTAAAATAGGTTTTATATCCAGCTATGGGTTGAATGAAAAATAAAACAATGTACTTCCATGTTGCAGACTACAGTTTGAGGAGACTTTAACAACAAAATTGCAGGACATTTTTCCATATCCTTTTTTTTTTTTGCAATGTGAGTGACGACCAACAAAACATCCGTGTTTTCAAAAGGCGAAAGAATGAATTGAATGTTTCTTTCCATTTTTTTGAGTACCCCTTACCCCAAGGTTGTTGTATGGCTGGTTGGATTCAGCTTGACCAAATACTTTTGAAGCAGCGAGATGTCAAAGTAGCCTCATGGCATATAAATGTAATGCGAGTGACAGTGGTACTGTCCATTGCATCTTTTGACAAATTCTCAAAAAAAAACTCATACAGGGGACGAAACCAGTGAATCATGTGTACAAGTTTGAAAAAGGCAAACTCGTTTCACTGTAAGAGACTAAAAATCAAAATCACGTGAATGAAATCAAATGAGCAAAAGAGAAACATTTTTGTGCTATTTTAATCGAGGCACTCCAACAAATTTATTATGAAAAAGAAATCTGAGGAGTCAGCAAATATTCTGAACTGGAACACATCACCCGCAATGCGGTGGCACAATAACTGAAATATTTTGTTGTCAGAAAGCTGCAATAATTGTTGTCGCAGTTGGCTTTTCTATCACTATGCATCAATCAAAACTAATGTCACGGGCACGTGATCCTAAGGCCGAGAAAAAAATTGTGTTTACGGTAACGCCCAAAAACTTACCCAGGTAGGCAGGTAAGCAAATAATTTTATTTCTCAACTTTTCTTTATTTTTGTCGGTCGTTCTTGTATATTTATTTTGTTTAGTTTAGTGTTCCTTTAACAGGTCTGTTTAATTAACATGTTTTAGTGTTTCTAATTAACTAATAACACACACAAATACTTGCATAGGAAAGATGTTTTTATTTCAAAAATTACTTTCAGGCTTTCAAGTATTCCTACTTTTCCAACTTTTTCCTAGTTTTTTTTTTTACCTTGCTCCTACTTTTCCTACTCTTTTCTTCAACCTCCTACTTTTCCCCACATTTTCCTACTTTTTAAAATATTTTTGTAAATGATTCAATGAAGGGCTTGGGCGCAGGAGTACTGCAGCTGTACTTGCAAGAGCTTAGTTGAGGGTGGAGCACAGGTATCGTGAGTACGGAACAGACCAAATGATGCTGTGGACACGAGTATCAACGAAAACTACTCCTGAAAGCCTGCAAAAGTCCTAATTTTGTCCTGATTTTGTCCTCCAAAGTCCTACTTACTGTCCGGTTTTCTTATTGAAAAATATGATCCTACTGTTGTCCTACATTTTCACCTTAAGGTCTGCTTAAAAGCCTGTACTTTATCTTAAAAGTTTTGGGCCAAATGTGGCGATGAAATGTTTGAGGTTGGCAAATTGGCCTAAAAAAATCAAGGTAGGGCGGGTAACCGTAAACACATTTTTTTTTTCAACAGTAAAATGTCTGAGCTATAAATATACATTATGACGGACTTTGAATGTACATTATGGAACCAGTCATGGAATGCTGACTTGTCGTTAAATCATACATATGTCAAAGGGCAAAATAACAAACACATTAAACAACAGGTTTGCAAAGCAATAGAATACTTACATCAACAGGAAATGCAAATTGTAAAATTGTGCAACAAGTCGTCAGCGTTTTCACGAAGAGACGAATTTGGCCACAGGGTGTTGAGCAGTGGTTTTGAGGGAATCAGGTTTTAAGTTGGGTACTTTTTAAAATTAATATTTTGCCTATTTTTGGAGCACATGTTGACTAATTTTTGATACAGATAGTAAGCTGAGATCATAAACTTCAAAGATGTACCAATTACGGCATAATAGAACAATCAATTGCGGAGTACTTTATTTATTTCCATAGAGATTTGTCTGTTCGTGAAAATTCAAAAATCCCACACGTGCATGTTTTGTCGGGCAATTTGCTTATATGCACTGCCTGCTAAATTTGTCTTTTCGTGAAAACTTAAAATCCCACAAGCGCGTTGTTTTGCAGGGCAAATTCGATTTGTCTCTTTGTGAAAACTCAAATGCCTATAGATACGCGCGTTGTTTTTGCTACATAGAAATTTTGAATTTGTCTGAACCTGAAAACCAAAAATACAACTTAGGTGAAATTTTCCTTTCATTGAAATGATTTTATTGATTGCCATAATTTTATTGATTTTAAACTGATTTTTTTCAAAATTCGTTGCTGTTCACTTAACTAATTTCGGCCAGAAAATTTGAAAAAAAAAAATATATAGATTTTTGGCCAAATTCTTCCCTTCTCGAAAACGCTGACGAAGTAATACATGTAAACTTGTGGCATTTAGCATCCATCTTTATAAGATCTTTTTTGTGGTATTTAGGTTAACTAACAATTGAGTGCAAAAGAGGTCGGCTCATGCATATCCTATGAAACGAAAACTCCGTCCTTCAAAGATGGCTGTGATTAAAAGGATCTATAGTAACTGGGCTTAATTTACTTTCCTCAATCCTACAAAAATCCTCCAAAAACCAACAGGTTTATTTTAAAAGATCTGGGAAAGTTTGGTCCATCAACACAATGTGAACTGAAAAATAAACTTGAAAGTCGTTTTCTTGTTTGTAAGATTCGGAAAATGTTGACTTTTTCTTTTTAATTACTCAACCCTACCTTTGTCTCCGAGCAGAGATTCAAGCCGAGTTCGTTGATGACGTCTTGCACTCGCTGCTTGCGTTCTTCCTTGGACACCGCTTTGGTCAGCCGCAGGTTTGCCGAAAACTCCAAATTTTCCCGGACAGTCAGAGTTCCCATGACAACATCATCCTAAACAGAGAAACAATTCTAACAAGGTATTGCAAAGCCCATATTAATACACAAAAAAATGTATTAATTGTCACTAAAATCTTCAAGTCAACTAGTTATCACTTGATATTTTTTTGTTGTCTTTTTTTTTAATCCTCTTTTCGTTTTGAAAAAAAAGTCTGGTGCTACTTCATAAATGACCTATCGCTGTTTGCGAGTTAGCCAGGCCCCTTAGACAACCCCATTGAGTTTGTGTACACTACGTTTTGTTTGTCTCAGATTTTGTGGGCTCCGCGTCCATTTGAATATCATGTAATTTGACAATATCTCACAAGCTGAGATTCTACCGCGATACATGTAGGTCAATAATGACACACTGGGGCCAAGTTCGCGCAAGGACTATAGTTGACCAATGGTTAACTAACGTTTGCCCGAACTCTGTCTAGTCGATGGTGGTTGACTACGCTAGTCGACTATTTGGAACCAGCCTACTGCGGTTGGTTGCTTCGCTGGTAACCAATAGCAGTGCGCATTCATAACGCTAGCAGAGAGCCAGGATCCAGAAGTTTTGCGATGACATTTTGACCAGCGTTTGACTAGAGACATTTGCACGTTGCTATAAGTGCGCAGGCGTAAGGTACGTCACAAATCAACGGCTAGTCGACTAATGGTCCTTGCCCGAACTTGGCCTGAGGTGAAGTCTTCAGAGAATCTGAGCAATCCATCACTCACCTGAACAACATACCCTGAGACAAGTTTAAAGTTTTTGGGTTGGGCTCTGCCGTCGATCAGCACTGTTCCGGACAATCCCTTGGGGTCTTTTCTTGCCGCCAAGACATCCAGAAGACTAAATCAACCAACGACCAAAAAAAAAAGACTCACTTTTCCATGTTCCGATTAATTTCAGGTAAATAACAGATTAACAGGACACTCTTTCAGTCCTTCTGATTTGGGGCGTGCGATGGCACCCCCACGCCATCGCACGCCTAAAAGCTTCCAGAGAAGTGCGAATAATCGCACACCTGAATCACTCTGTACCACACACCTCAGCTTTAACCAAGATGAATATTATAAAAAAAATATGAGATTTTTCATTCCCAACTTGTACCACAGAATCACACGCCTAGAAAAATCACACGCCTAGAAAAATCACACGCCTAGAAAAATCACACGCCTAGAAAATCACACGCCTAGAAAAATCACACGCCTAGAAAAATCACACGCCTAGAAAAATCACACGCCTAGAAAAATCACACGCCTAGAAAAATCACACGCCTAGAAAAATCACACGCCTAGAAAAATCACACGCCTAGAAAAATCACACGCCTAGAAAAATCACACGCCTAGAAAAATCCAGATGTGCCTTTTTCCACACAACTGTGATTCTCAAATCAGAAGAACTGTTCTATAAATTTAGGGTCCAAAAATTGTGATATTTTTTCCTGTCCCCGTTACCTTGGAACTTTGTAATTTGCCATTCAAGTATCATTAAGAATGACTTCAAACGATTATTTTTGTTGGGTAGGTATAGTTTGCCATTCATAATCACTCTTGGAGAATAATTATAAAATCACGGATGTCAGATGTACAACAGGGACAGGGGAAAAAAGTGGACCCCAAATTTTTAGAATGACGCCAAATGTATCATATTTCTCCTTATAAGAAATTGTTTGTTGAATGTGATTGCTATAATTGGGTGCATGTGGGGTCACTTTTTAAAATGTTTGCCCTGAACAATAAAAAAACATTGTTGGCATTTTATTGCTTTGAGCGTCAAAGGGAAAAACACAGAAGAGTTTATATGTTTACTTTATATTTATGGTTTATTTGTAAATTTCCAACAAACGAAAACGTCTTTCCTTCAAACTAGCGCCCCTTGAACAAAGACATTGACAAAATAGGGAACCGCCAACATAGGGCTGGAGAAGCTCAGTTCGTAGAGGACCGAAATGGCAGTCCGCTGCTCGCAGGTTCAAACTCTACCTCCGTCCATTTCCTTGTTCAATTACTTAAAAAAAAATAAAAAAACCTTAATAGGATCCTGGACCTTGGAAATTTAGTAGGTTACGTGTTGTTCTTTAGGTTACTTAGGTTACGTGTTCTACTTTAGGTTACGTGTTGTACTTATCAAGGTCCACATGGTCAGATGGCTGAGCACTTTTGAACCTCTTATCAATTTTATGCCTGAGCCCTATATTTGCGACTAACTGTTGACGACATGTCGGTCTGGAACTGTAAACAAAAGACCAAGGCCTTTTCATTTGCGTAACTTTAATTGTCTGGAACACTATCAGAAACCTTCATCTATTTATGGAAGGGAGTGGAAAAGTAAATATGATCACGAAGAATGCTTCCAGCTACAATCATTATGGAATAACTTGCATAACCATGACTTCTCTAACCTCATTTAAATCTGAACTACGTAGCCAGCCAGTAAATATTTTTGCATTTATATGCGAGTATTTTTTTTTGTCGCTGCCTTTACTGATTATACAAATATAAATATGTGCTGACTTGCGGAGTTAACAAACTTGGCTGCCATAATAAGGAGCTGGATGGGAATGTTCCCGGTTTTTTACTCCAAAAAGGGTTTTTCATGGGTTTTTCTCCCCTCCCGTAACCAGCGAATGTATAGAAATAGGGGCCTACACATTTTCCTGATGTCAAAAAAAAATGTCCAAATTCTTCAGGTACACTTAATTAGAATAGTTGCTTAACAATCATGCAGTGACCTTGTATGTTTTTATTTTATTTCATGGTGGTGTATTGTATTTGTAATGTGTTGTACATGTTTGTACATGTGCAGTCATTTGTATAGTCATGCAGTAATCCCATATGGTGATATTCTATTTCATTGTGTTGTATTGTATTTGTAATGCCTTACATTTGAACATTAGTAGTGTATGCAGGGCCCCAATGGTATACAAATATTGAGTGGCTCAGCGTGGAATGGTAGGAATATTATCGCAAGGTAAAATCTGGACTTTTCCATTTCACGAGGCGAAACTGAGTGAGCTGGAAAAGTCCAGATTTTACCAAGCGATAATATTCCTCCCATTTCACAATTAAAAGCCACTCAATATTTGTTTTATATAACTGACATATAGATCCTTGTCATTTGATATATTTGAACTTTTTTTTCAATACAAAACTGAAGGAAAATGTATTTCTCTCTTCCAAACCACCCCTTCACAAAAATGTTTGAACCCAATGCTGTAGCGCTGGCTCTTTGGAACAATACGCGCTACGCGCAACGCTGAACGCGCACACCAGCATGCATTTGCACACAAATACCGCGTCATGATCCTGTTGAATAGTATTTCCCATTCCCCATGGGCGGATAGTACTTTTTGAGCCGCGGCATGAATGGGAGCAGTAACGAATGCCATGTGATGTGAGTTCCACCAATCAAATGACAAGGATCTGTATGTCGGTTATATAAAAAACATTATTAAACTGTTTGAAGACACCCTCGGTAAAGAAATGTAATAAATTAATAAATAAATAAATAAATATATAGGAACTGATTTGAAAACCTATCAGTATAAGTTCACCAAATGCACTCCTAAGAAAAATAGGGCTTCTAGGTGTTTAAAGAGGGAAAAGAACAAGCGGCATCACACAAAGAGAGAAAACTGATGACTTACGATGTTTTTCCGCTGCCTGTCGGCCCGAGAATGGCATTCATCCCTGGTCCAAACACGCCACTAAAAGGAAAGGAAAAAGTAACACATCAGGGTACGCATATACTGGAATTTGTATCCTTGTGGAGACATTCCTTTGTTCTCATGTACTGAAGTTTTTGAGTTTGAAAGTGGAGTTTAAAAATGCTCTTATTTTAACCAGAATTAATTTCTTTGGCTGAAATTTGGACTTAATATCCCTCTTCTAAAACTCTTCCATTTGCGACACATCAACATACATGTAGCTTGGAAATTTGCAACACATCAACATAGCTTGGAAATTTTTGAGTAAAATCCATATATCTATTTTGTGAAAACCTTGTGGAGACGTATTCGTCTATAGAAATTGCCATGTGGAGATGTATACAATCTTTCGTTCCCTATTGTACACACGTCTCAAAAGGGTACTCAAGAGGTTACAGTGTATCAGATCACAAGTAATGAACATAACCTTGGGTTCAAGGCTCTTGAGGAGAACATTTTGCACTTAGTAAAGCCATCAAGGGCATTTGCATTTGATGTCATAAACATGTGCACGTCAATAAAATACACACATGGCATGATTAAGGGAAGCGAGTTATTATAGTCGGTGAAGGGCAAAACCTAATTTGATTTATATCACCCCGACGCACAATTCCATCTTATAATAGTTTATAATTGTCGCAGCACATACATATGTTGTGCATCATTAGTTCACTTTTCACATTCACAGATTTGAGACGAGTTACTTCCAGACACTTGCCACTGTTCACTGTGTACATGTAGTGCTTTTTTTAAGTCGATTGTGGTCCTGTTTTTCAATATTTTCAACATTTCAGCTGTTGCACCTTACCTGCTTAATCAGTATTGATTTTTGATAGTTTATATTGCAGAGCTATCATTATTTTGCTTATCAATGTTGATATCTCCAATATTTTTTGTGTGCTATGGTCATCAAGCTGCAACTATATACATTGCTATGTACATCAGATTCGAACTGGCCAACCGATCCCATTAGCTCGGTGGTCGAGTGGTTAGACATCTGCACTAGAAAGCAGGAGGTCGTGGGTTCGAGTCCCACCCGAGTGATTTTTTCCAACTTTCACTTGGGAGGTAACACACTGAGTATACAGTGTTAAAAAAAAATGTCGGTGAAGGGCAAAACCTAATTTGATTTATATCACCCCGACGCACAATTCCATCTTATAATAATTTGTGTATTCGTGCTGTGTGTATAATGTGACACACACAAAACGTGTAGCATACATTGAATGGACACAGCTGGATATCGTATGCCTATGCCACAAAATGCCCACCAGGTCCAATGTAAACAACCAGGGGTTTTTTGTCTTTTCTCGGTAATTATAAGACATTAGGCTCGTTTCTTTTCAACCAGACGTTTGAAATAGGATAAGTAAACAATCCAAAACATAACATTTTCAGGTATTTCAGGGCATTTTTATACCCCTTTAATTATTTTTATTATTAATGACAGTTTTAGAGGTGGGAGGAAAACTCCAGAAGGATATTCTGGGGAAAACCCACGAATGTCCCTTCTGTCCCTTCTTAAAAACCACAGATTGATTGGACTTGACGTGTGATTCATTTCCGAGGTCACAAATATTGTGGAACAGCTTGTGACCTCTCAGATCCTGGTTACTTGGTAAAACCAAAGGAAGTATGAATCCAGACTTGCATAACATAACGAACGTCACCGTCCACAGAGAAGGTGCCAACAAATTTTGTTGTGTATCTTACAACAAACCAGTTTCATTTTTAATTCCACAATTTGAGAGTTTTTTTTATAAAGCAAAACATTTTTCAATCTTTTTGGAGGTTTAAATTCAACAAAACCCAAACGAAGCCGCAATGGCCTAATAAGTTTTCAAAACAGGTTTTCCTATAAAAAAAATATTTTTTTTTAAAGAAATCCTTTTTTTTAACAGTTTCTAAAATTAGTATATTCTGGTGTTGTTTTTCCTTCCAAAAAGGGAGGAAAGCAATCTTATTACTTTACCATACTTGTATATGTTTTTTTCCCTACTTGATTATTTGTATTAAGCAGTAAATTTGTATTACATGTACTTGTAATTCGTTTGCTGCATTCTTGTGTCCTTTTTTGTTTGTTTTGTTTTGTTTTAAATTTCTGTTTTAATGCAACAATTTGATTAATCAAGTCATAACAATCAAGAGAAAAAAATATATAGTTTTAAAGGTAAATATACAACATATGCTTTTGGTGTAATTTTCAGAAATGGATGGATTTGCGGGTTAGTATTTTATAGCAAATATTGTTACACTGACCTGTTTAACCCTGCGCAGCTTTTACAAAAAATGTTTATCAGAACTCACCAATGGGGGCCCTTCGGGCCCCAGGTACTTCCCCGCACTACGCAAGACCCTATTCATGTCAAAACAACAAAAAGCCACGTGCCAGACAGTGTCCAGGCAGTTGCCAGACAGTGCACTTAAAAAGATAATTGACTGGGGGCTGTGGTTTGCAGCTATGAAGGGAGATGGCTGTGTCAAGTTACAGGTGTTTGTATATGTTTCAATGAGACTTGGCAGGAGGCCTTGTCGAAAGTTTGTTGACACGGCCTGGGTGAAGCCCTGGCTGAAGCCCTGGCTGCAAAGTTCATTGAACCAGCTGATTTGGCAAGGGTTGAATGAGGATTAGATGGAAGGTGACCGTCACTGGCCTTCAATTTTTTTTTTTATTCAAAATATTTGGTCACCTGAACGCAAAATAGAACCAGGTCACTCTGCGGAGGGTTAAAGTTTGGTGTTCATAGATGCTGGAAAAACCATGAAAAAAATTACTGTTCTTGTAGTCTGATTCCCTGACCCTACTTCAGATGAACCAGACTAGCTGGCTTGCACCTGTTCATGAGGATGTATAACTGATTACAAACAAACTTTGGATTTTTACTTAATTTGGTAAACTGGGGCAGTATTTGGAAAAAGTCAGTTTTTTCCCAACGATGGTCAGCCGACCATCGTTGGAAATTGATAAAAAAATTCCATTTTTCTTGAAAATGACAGCACACCAGGTGCCATGATCTCACAGGATGCTTGAGACTAATATTCACTTAAAGTTTTTTCATAATAATTTGGTAGTTTTGTTGTTTGCTGTTTGAAAATGTTGTATAAATTACCTTACTGTTCAGAGGAATTACTTAATATTTATTTAAACTTTAATCAGCATTCTGCTTACCTAACATCGTTGAGTATGACCTTGTTGATTTTCTTGCCATCTTCCTTGGTTTTGACCGTGTAGCTGATATTGTGGAAAGACACAGTGCATCCGCAAACTGACTGGCTCCTTGTCAGCTGGGGTTCCCCTCTGGGGGCGTGGTTTCCATCTGGGAGGCTGCCGTAGACAGGGGCGGGAGCATTAGGGAGAAGGCTTTCCTGTTCCAAAAAGAAACAAAACAGAGAACTGATGTTGGGACCTGACAGTGTTTAGCTGACGTTTGCCCCTTTTTTAGCTTCCTTTTTATACATTTACTGGTTGAGTGAGGGTCAGTCTTCGCAAACATTTTGGGAAAAAAAATACAACGAAATTGCCTCACCAAACCTGTGGTCCATCTGAAGAAAAAAATGTGTAATTTTGGACCCGGTTGCAATCGATTACACACCTATGAACGGGTACAAGCACAGCTAGACTGGTTCCTGACCTTACAATTCCCTAATGTCTGTAAATTGCTCCGTCTCATCTTAAGTGGGGTGACTGGGGTCTGGGAAGCAGAGTACAAGGACATGGCTGTTTTTCTTAGTTTTTCCAGCATCTACGAACCCAAAACTTCAAACAAGTCAGTGTAACAATATTTGCTATAAAATACTAACCCCCAAAATCCATCCATTTCTGAAAGTTACAGCAAAAGCAAAATGTTGTATATTCCATTTAAACTCGGAGTTTTGCAACACATTCTAAATGGAGAAAAAAACGGAGTTTCGCAACACATATATGGAGAATTGCAACACCCGAACTGCGTAATTTCCAATAAACACTTTAAAGAAGCTGGAAAACAGGTGACACTGATGTGTTTTTGCAAGGATCAAGAAAGGCAATTGTTATTCCTGATGTTACTGCCGATATCCAGCTGGTATAATTATTTACGACATTGTACAACTTTTTTTCGGGAAGCAACAAGCAAGATGCTTGCATACGTTGACCAATATTGACCCAAGTAATAACAAGGCTGACAATGCATGTTTACGTGATTTACAGCAACAGTAAACATTTTTGGAAGAGCATCTAGACACCACTTCAGCAGTTGTGTACCAAGTCTATGGAGAGTCAAGAAAATTTTCTTAGAATTTCTAACAAATTGAAAATGTTTCTCAATCCCAGATTCATGTCTTTTCAACATTTTTGCAATATGACCATTACCTTTATTGATAGGCAGTGGATATTTTGCTGGAGACGGCAAACCTTTAGTAAACGTTAGTTTGCCGGTGTCGCGGTCTCACTTCTCCGGCGTGCTAGCTTCTCCGGATTGTTTCCGCGGACAGTTGAGCACGTTACAGTGCACGTTACATTAGCACGATTCATGCTCATGTGTCCGCTGTGCCTACTTTTCCTTGGGCTGTATTACCAAGCCTATTAATAACACTGTAGTGAGGGACATCCAAGAATGTGTTATGTAACACTTCCCCCATGGTCTTTCCATGGAGAAATTTCTCCATGGTCTTTCAAGCATTCTGATTTGTGTTCCCAGCATCATGCATGTGTGTGTGTGTTCATGGAGGAATATTACTCCTTGGTCCGTGCTCCTTGCAGCTCGTTCGTGGTCCATTTTGTCTATTTTTGCAACTAAATGTGCATTTCAAGTCTTTTTTGGTTATTGGGAGTTGTGCGCGCCACGAAAATTCTGGAATCGACTGGTACCCTGTAACCATGCATACAAATATCCTATGATATTACGTGCACCAGTACAACCCCGAAGAACTCAGCACACAAATAAAGTTGACAAAAAATGTACACCACTGCGCAATTGTGTGCATGCGTGTTGAAGCGAAATTTCCCTTTCGGAGAAGCTAGCACGCCGGAGAAGTGAGACCGTGACACCGGATATGCACTGAACATGCGCAGTTACTGTTTTTTTGTACTTTAACATTTTCCGGTGACAAATTTTAATCTGGCTCCATGCCAATATTATCGTTGTAACCTCGTATTCACAAGATGGGATTCAGACCATTTTATAATTTCAGACTTTATTTCCCTTTTAAAAAAAATCCTCCAGAGCCACAAATCTGAAAAAGAAAATGTAATACTCTGCAATAAAATGTTTGAGACATGTTAAAATAATAAAAGAAGAATATTCTTATTTATTTGGGGATGGGAAAAAAAACTTTAAAATGTGGCGGGGCTCGGGATCGAACCCGAGTTATCCCGCTCACTAGAGCCTTTGCTTAACCATTACACCAAACGTGCTACACAACTTTTGGTAGAAATTTAATACATCTTATAATTCAGCCCTATCTTAAAGAGTACAGCGCCCTCTGTTGATATGGATTGCCGCCGGCAAACCTTTAGTAAACGTTAGTTTGCCGTCATTACCTCCGGCAAAATATCCACTATTTACAAATTACGGAAAGAATGTTGCAACCTGACGCTACTTCAGCGGTTGTGTACAAAGTCTATGGAGAGTCAAGAACATTTTTTAAGTATTTCCTAATAAAATTGGAAATCAGTCCCAGATTCATGTCTTATCAAATACCATCATTTTTGCAATTACTGGCCTTCACTGAGATGATATAGGAAGAGAAAGCAGCATCAGGTTGCAACATTCTTTCCCAAATTACTAATACTATAGAACTGGGTTCCCAAAATGACAATGCTATCACGATCAATGATGATGATCGTATGAGAAGGCCATAACTTAAACTAGGCTACGCATTGTATTTGTCTGTTTGTAATTTATGTGTACTCGGAAAGCAACAATTATTTACTACAGAGTACAGTATATTTAACACAAGGAAATCGAGCATGTACTTGCAGCATATAACGTTAGAAACCAAATATTATTGGCATAGGCTCCTCATGTCAAACAGCCGATGACAAGTGTAAGAAAAAAACAAATTCCTGAGCTTAGTGGCTTAGATATCACCGTCGAAGGCCTTACCCGAACTGTTCCTTGGTATCGTTTTCTCTCCATGCCGCGTGAACTAGTACTACTACTAGCGTTAGACTCTAGTCCGTGGTGAGATGTAACCTTTCCCCGACTAAAACTGTCCGAGTCCGAGGCCACTTGAACTTGCATATGGTTTGGCTGGTAGTGGTACATATTTAGTGACCACTCGACATAACCGATCGATCGATCGATAGATAAATCTAGCTCCGCTCCAGCTACATGTGCGTGCATGGCCCGCCGCGAAACCCCTGTACGTAATAAGTACAGTACGCATGCGCATTGTGGGCGCGCAATTTTTTTCCGTACCACACGCTCTTAGTTCGAAGTACGTCGAGTTGCAAGTCAGGTTCTCGGACTTTATTTTCCCTTGAAAAAAAATCCTCCAAACCACATATTGGTAAAAGAAAATGTTCCAAATGAATAACAAACCTTTTTAAGAGAAAAAAGAAGTAAAGAAGAATTTAGAGGGAAAAAAAGCATCCAGTGGGAATAGAACTCGCACCACCGGGTTTAAAATTCAACGTACACCACCAGTAGTGACTCATTAGACATGATTGTTTTAAACATTATATTATTGCATATTATAGGGCCCTCCAGCATAACTCTATATATACTAAAGAGTGGTATGGAAAAAAAATCGCAGCCTGCGCGCAATTATTTTTTTTATGCCACAAACTTTTTAAAGTATAGCAATGACAATAACGCGTAACGGATCGGAACGGAATGGTTCCACAAAAATGTTGCCCAAAATTTTGGGCCGCAGAAAAAAAATTGGGTGTTTTTTTTAGGGGGAGGACTATTTTTACGTTAATTGGTGGCACCATTTACACCCCTATTATACTACTCGAAAATAGGCCACATACATATCACCACGGTCAAATCGTGGGACTAAAACAAAAATTGCCCCCCCCCAAAAAAAAATTGACAACCTCTGGGCGGCCCCAAGCCCCCCTCCCCACCCCCCCCCACCCCCCCCCCCCCCCCCCCTTGGGTGCGCACCCAGCCCGTCATATGTTTTTTAATCAGCAAATCAGTTCTGAAATGTAGACTGTTTTTTTTCTCCCGACACTTGGCCTCCGTAAAATCAAAAAGAGCGGGGTGGAGCCGGGGGGGGGGGGGAGGTGCTGGTACCATTCTTCTAATGGGGGCGCTGTTCAAATCCGACGATCATGCACACTACAGTACAAATACCGCTGGCTACTACGCCTCTGTGTCCGACGGTTGCGGACAGGCGGACAATAGGTAATCATTATTAGTACAATTGTCATATTTGTGTGTGTGTGTGTGTGTCAGAGCAGGGGACGGTTCGACACCCCATCCCCCCCGGATCCGTGCCTGGTAAATGTAAAAGCTTTTTTTTTTTTATAGACGAATGATTATCCCCGCACACCAAGTAGAAAACGAGGACACTTCAGAATGTCAAAACATCAACTGTGTGACAAATACTGAGGGGAAACATGGATGACAAACAAAATGAAGAAGGTAGCCAACATCAAATAAGCACAAGTCGAGAAGAAAACGCCAAAAAATGATGATAAGGTTGATCATGATATCGATAAGCAAGAGCTCAAGCTACCATGTGGGAAACATGGAACACTATACATCAAGCAATTGCTTCAGTGGCGTATTCAGAGGGGGTGGGGGCAGAAGGGCACCAAAAAAAAAAAAAATCAAAATCAAAAACCATTACAATGCGCCGTGAAAATTTCGCTCCTACCCCCCGCCCTGCAAACAGGACGCTGGGATACTCTGATGAGCTTCACAGAATCTTGTGAAGGAAGTGGCCTATGATCTATGTATAAAGCATCTGGCTGCAGCTGTTCAAGAGCGCAGTTAGACAATGTGCGCAAATGCTATCCGAAAACTTCATATAGAATTGCGCACATTCCATAGCGGATGTGATTTCTGTTTCATTGCGGACCATGTGGACAAAATTTTGAGCGTCGCATAATGCAACCCGACTGTTCGTGATTTGAAACGGAGCCTGAGCGAGTGACGGGAATTGTAAATTTACAACACAGATAAGTTTTGCAGAATTTCCTACATGATTACGCTTTTCAACGAAAAAAAAAATGAAAACTGGAATAAAGAGTAATGAATCAGTCTTAACGGCCGTTTCAAACCTTGCAGAGTCATGACCTTGATGACGCGCAGGTCACTGGTCACGCAAAATCCAACCAATCAGAGCGTGAATTCATCAGAGTATCCCAGCGTCCTGTTTGCAGGGCGGGGGGTACGAGTGAACGTGAAAATCGGCCGGCATCTATTTTCCAGTATGCATAATAATGGTCAGTTTTGAAGAGCGCCCCCACTTGCTAATTTTTATGTATACGAATGTAAGCAAAAGCCTATAGAAAAAGCAATTGCTAGTTGTTATGTATTCGGCCCAGTATCTCAATAAAGGTCAGTCATTATATAAAAAAAAAAAATGACATGAATCTGGGACTGAGAATCATTTCCAATTTCGTTAGAAAATACCATTGGTCTCCATTATTATTAGACTATAGTATAATACAAATAATTCGAAATTGTAAAGTAATATATATTTTTGATCGATTTATCATTCAAAATGAATAACTTTCGTGTTGCTAGAGAACTCACGCATGCGCATTGTGGTCAGATGAAATTCGAAAATAGCACGAGGATTCATCTTTATAAGTAGGCCTACAGTTTTTCTGCAACCACTAATTCATATAACTTCGCGTGACTGTGATATAGTATTAAGTGATTTGTGGAGATGAAGGTTTAGTTTTTGAGTAAGGATTGTTTACTTTTGGTTCGAATCTGTGCATTGGCTTTTTCCCCTTGAGAATGTTAACTCACGCATGCGCATTGTGGTCAGCGACTACCCCTATAATAAAAGGTATATTGTGGACCATGCACGCTTGAACACGTGCATAGGCACGTGCGTATTACGTAACCATAGCCTCGTCTCAATCGTAGTGTGTATAGATTGACATGGAGAAGCCTAATGTACAATGTACGTACCGGTGCATGCCAGTAACATGGCCCGAAATCATGCCTACGCCGGCCAAATCACGATTTGCATACCCTAAAATTCACCGGTATATAGAGCATTTTGAGGGCCGTGAACTTGAGGGTTTTAGTAAAAAAAAGAAGGGTGGAAGCCGTGCAGAGCTAGCTAGAAGACCGCGAGCTCGTATTTCTGTGAAATTCGGATTAAACTAGGCCCTACTAAAATTGCTCTATTTTGCAGTGGAGCGTAGGCGTCCTTTTTCAAAATGGCGATGGGCTATATTATTTTGTAGAGGAGATATCATCTTTGGATGGAATATTCTCCCAAAATTCATTGGTTAACGGTTAACCCCAAAAACTTACCAGAAAATGAAAGATGATGGAATAAGCTTTCAGTTGATGTGTGTCTCACATACCTTGGAGAGTTGTGAGCATTTTAAATATGTTTTTGGAAGTGCGCGTAATTATCACTGAGGTCCATGGCAGTTTATTTACTGGTCGGCAATTTTTGTCAAAAGCAACAGTGGAATAATCACTATGAAGCCAATATTCATAGAATAATCTATGAAACTTTGGTCTTGTGATGAGACCTGACTCAGGCGCGAACTTCAACCTCCCACCGACGGACTGTCCCGAACCCGCAAGATCATGAGTTCTGATGATCAGACCATTGGAGCTTCCTAGCTCCATGATCAGACCAACGTACCAACCGGGCACGGTGTAAATTACACGTACGTACATGTACATGTACATGTACATGTACATAAAGGACGTACACAGTGTCCTCCAATTGCTCGTGCGCAAAAACAGATCATTACATTATGCTACACATCATCATGCACATTATAACGAGGAAGTAAAACAGAAACATGTAGATTGACCTTTCTCGACAATCACCTCGTTCCATGGATCTTACCCTTTGTACTGTCTCGGCTGGCCGACTGTCCGGATTTGGAAAGGATTTTTTACCGTCAGATACCGTGCCTGGCATTTCCATCTCTTCCGCCATTTTCACTGGAAATTTACACGACAATGTGGTTGCGAAGCCGACGACGTTGTATTTACACCATGGAGGAAGGTGACGCCGTTAATCATTAACATTAAAAGGCTTGTTTACATGAATATGTCATTAACATGCGGGCCTACCGCGATTTATTATGCTAAAAGCTTATAATAATTACGCACGAAAAAAATATTAAAAACCCTCAATCTGTATTATATACGGCGCATGCAACGGGACTACACAGCACGTATTCATTCTTTACGCGCGGGCATACTACTTTCATAGATAGGCCTATAGTTCTATATCTATGACTACTATGCAGCGGATACGCGCACGCGTTTGCGCAGAGCCAAAATTGAAAACTGATTGTGCGTTTCGATTTTGGGCCTGGGCGCATCGGCTTCGATAACGCACGCAAATTTTATGCGACCCCGCGCGCCAGCCAATCGGAGTCGACTTAATAAATTATGGCGTAATATTTCAATCAGAAATGTGGAATAGGCTTTTGATTGGTCAATTTGGCTTCCATGTTTTGAAATACAACAACGGAAATAGAGCCTAAAGTTGACCCCTGGTAGCGCGCTTCCGGACCCCTCGAATAGGAAAAGTCGGAGTTTTAATGCATGTAAATTACCCTCAGAAAAGGCCTTATTATAAAATTGTTGCTAGCATCTCACTTTATGGAAACTGAAAAATCGCATGACGTAAAAGAGAAATATCGTGCCAGATGTCATAGGTCGTAAGTATTCGTTATTACCCATTTCCAGCTGATTTCTCATCATTTTTTTTTTGTGGAATGCCAAGATAAAACTCCAACATGAATGTTTCTTGGGGTGATTACGGTTAGAAATCATTGTCAAAAATTACAGCAAGAGAAAGAGAAAGGGTCACGGAGGGGTCCGGAAGCTCAAAGACAAAATGGCGTATACTTTCATGCTCTACTACCGAAGACCCGATAAAAGACGCCCGCTGAATGGGCAGAATCGGAAAGTCAAGACGCAGTCTTGTTTTGCATTATATTTAATTGCGAATTATGTTCAGTACATAATCATAGACCCTTACTTTGCCAAGGGATATATTCCATAGACTACCAAAAGAGCGAACAAAAAGGCAAATCTATTTTTGTTTTTTTACGTTAGCACCAGTATGACGAAAACAATTCAGTTTCCTCAGTGTTAGTATTGTATACATGTGTTTGTAGTTTTAAGTTCTACACATTTCCTTTGTGCTTAATTATACTGAAGCGCCCTCTGGGAACAGTATAGATGGCGCAATGCGGGACACGAAGTAGATGGAGCTGATGTCCTCCAAAGAGCACTGTGAGTGTGAGTGCAATCTCGTCCCCATGGCATCGAGTACTACGCTACCAGTAGCAGCTGCACTACTGTTTCCTCGAGGTCGAATGTAGACCCTGTGAACGAGGTTGCTATAATGGGTACCCCAATGAAAAGTGATTGCTATAGTACACCTCAACCGTACTCGGGAATCGGGATAGCACGATCCTTGCTCGAACCAACCAGATCAGGGTCACTGTGTGCGTGACAAGCTATATACTTAGGCGGGAAGTTATCGATATCGCGATCGCTATATTATCGGTTGCTATACATTCATGGATATTTAAATATTATGCCACGTTTGCAGAGAGACTTAACTCGGGTGTGCGAACGAAAGAAAAGTGTTCTGAAAATGTTTAGCCACGTCGCTGAAACATTGGTGTAGTTTTAGTGCTATAGTATTAGTTTTACTTTTTTCCCCGTTTCATTCCCAAGCTGAGTTCCCAGATGTTCATCGGTCGGTGAGTCCGTTATTTTGATATGACGGGAACTTCGCTGCAGTATAGTGCCAAGACAAAGAGTTCTACTTTGCTAGGTTGAGAATTATAGTGCCATAAAAGTGGATGACGCAGCGTCATCAGTTGCTATAAATTAATGTTAAAAAAAATGATAGCATAAACTTATCACACGTCCAGTTAACATCCATTATTAACTGATGTGTGATTAGTTTATGCTATCATTTTTTTTTGCAGAAAGGTTTATATTTAAATTCAGGTTTGGTCCCACAGCGAACGAAAAGTATCTCCTGAAAATGTTCGTCGATATTGCTGAAACATTGTTGTAGGCCTAGTTGTTATTTTTTTTCCCCAAGCAGAAAAGGTCAAAGTAATATTTCATTCAGTTTAACCCTGCGCAGCGTTTACAAAAAAACTATACAACAACTCGTCAACGGGGGCCCTCTCGGCAGCAGGTACTTTCCCACACTACGCAAGACCCTATTCATAGCAATACAACTAAAAGCCACGTGCCAGACAGTGTCCAGACAGTTGCCAGACAGTGCGCTGGAAAGATAATTGACTGGCGGTTGTGGTATGCAGTTATGAAGGGAGATGGCTGTGTCAAGTTACAGGTCTTTGTTGATGTTTCAATGAGACTTGGCAGGAGGCCTAGTCGAAAGTTTGTTGACACGGCATGTGTGTAGCCCTGGCTGCAAAGTTCATTGAACCAGCTGATTTGGCAAGGGTTGAATGAGGATTAGATAGGTGGTGACCGTCATTGGCCCTCATTTTTTTTTATTCAATAAATTCGGTCACCTGATGCCCCAGGGGCATCAGGTCACTCCGCCCAGGTTAATCAATGACTGGAATGATTGCCTGCAGTCTTATAAGACAGAAAATTACATTTTGATATAGGTATAGACACGTTTTCTTATCAAAGGATGAAAAGCCACGTTATTTTAGTTGCTTTTAATATAGATTAGTTCACAGAATATTGGCTTCAATAATTATCATCTGTTAAAGATTGCTGGCAAACGGGAGATTGACTGTGTGTTTTTTGTCAAGTACAGAGTGAAACGTTGATCCACCTATTTTGTACTTTGAAGATTTCTACATTGTTCTGGACCCAAATTAGTGAATGGATAAAGAAGACCTTGAATACAGATGTGTTTTTGGATTACGGAACCATTTTCTTTGGCATACCTTTGCCGTGTATACCATACTTAATGAAGACGCATAGTAAACCGTCTTTTGTTGTGTAAGAATGAGAGAGTTAGGACAAAACAATGTTTATTACTAATGGTAATTCTGCCAACTTTAATTTGAAATGTGACCCCTTTCTCACTTTTATGTAATGACTAATTTATTTTTCCGTTAACAGTTGTAAAACAAAAGATTTTGTTTTAATAAAATATAAGTTCCGCCCCACAACGGAGAGAGAAAACATGCTATTTGCTTTTCTTTTTCAGAATAGAAGGAGATGCATCATCGAGAAGCATCTTTGACTTTTCTAAAAAATTAAAATCAGTTGTTTTTAGCCACTATCACGAGCTCATGAGTCCATAAACTAAACGCCGTTACAATGTGCCTCCAAGTTCACAAGTTTGCAACTGTGATCTTAATTTAGTAATGAGTGGTCGACTTAAGTTGCCGATTTTACTCATATTTATGACACTTTCGGATGTTTAAAGCTACAGCCCATCATTTGCACTTATCCAAAAAGTAATTGACGAAACTACTGTTGAAAAGCATACTTGGTTTAAGGATAGTTATGGGACTACACTCCTTCTGAAATTAATTGTTCTTTCTGGCAAGCTGTTGTTTTGAAGAAAACAATGAAAGAATGCAATTTCCAACCGAACATAATGCACAAATTACAAATGATGTACTCTACCTAAAAAATAATTTTAACCGGGCTATACATTGCTGCAGTATACGGTCACACCGTTCAAAGGCGCACTCTAAAAAGGTTTAAAACCAGTCGACAGTGCAAACTTTAACAACCCCCACTAAAAAGTCAGGTTGCCATGCATCTATAAGATGGAATCAGAATCGTATACGGGTTTCTCGCCAAAAGTTTTCTCACCATTTTCTCGTGCCGAACGGCGTCACAAAGTGGAAAATTCTACATATTATTTCGTCACCGACACCACGAAGTAACGCTCTACCTTGTTAAACCATATTTTTTTCGAGTTTCAGTTTTTTGAATTTTTAAACACTATTCATCAAGGCCTACCATTGCACGAAGTTTCAAAGCTTCAAGAGCTTTACTTTAATAATTACGCTAAGTATCCATGGCAACTTTTGCGCAAAAGTGACAATTTTCGTTTTCACGAAGTAACACTCAAGTTCCATTTACCATTGGAATGCATGGCGCGCACTCTGCTCATAAGTGAACAAAAACGTTTTCACGAAGTAACACTCTTCTTGTAACAAGTTGTATAAGCGCGCGCTCGCTGACCTGAAGTTTTTCTTATTTCTTGTTTATTTAATAAACAAACGGGTGAAAAACAGCAGATTTAATAAATTCAATTCATTAAGTGTCCTCAACGAGAAACCCAACTGAAAATACTCTGTCGTTTTGACGCAAAGTGTTGTTTTAGAAGGCGTTCAACTTAAGTTGCCGTTTTCTCCGATTGCTAGTTTTTACTGGTATGTAAATGGGTGTTACTTCGTGGTGTCGGTGACGATTTGTCAACAGTCTCGGATTTTATCAAATTCGTGGAATCGGTATAGGCCTATATCGTAAATAGACGCAACAGACCGTGATGAAATAAAAAGTCCTTTGGTTTTTTAATCGTCTCCGTGCATTTCGGGGTTTACCCAAGTCTATCTATAGCGAGAGTTTTATAAACTTTCACCTCGTAATTTCCCGACTTACCGGAGTTGTCTGGTGGGTTTCTTCCGTCACGTGTTCTACCACATCATCCAATGCCGTTTCTTGATAGCCGTCACTAATAATACTATTCTCCGCAACCATCTTTGTCGTCTCGAAGTAAAAGCTATAATGTCACTGAGGGCCGGCCTTGCACTACGTACACTAGCAAGGTCTCCGTGTCAAGAACCTTTAGCGGCTATATACGTTTATATATCTCGGCAGATTATACATACTATCACTGCCATATTTTGTGTTATGCAACAACGGGTTACGAAAGACCCGACAGAAGGCGATTCCATAGAGACGATGCACGTGTTTAATCTTTTAAGCATATTACACTACAGGAGTGTTCAAACATAATAATGTCCGCGATTAAATAGTTGTCTGAGCTTTGGTATAGTTTCATGGCGAGTCTGCCTCAGTTAAGTTACAGAGTTTCCCAAATGAAAAAATATACTTACTGAGTCTTCCACGATGACTCCATGCTTATCTTTTCCACCCAACTGGTTCCTTTTCCCCCGTGAGTGCATGGCAAATAAATTAATGCAGTTACGTTTATTGCTAAGTACAGTCGACTCTCATTATAAAGAGCACTTTTATAAAGAGGTTCTGCTTATAAAGAGCAAATTCTGAGGTCTCAAATCTCAGGTTCTCTTTGTGTTTCTTTGTCCTATAACAACATTCCTGCTAAAGAGGTAATTTGGCTAGTCCCATCGACCTTGTTATAACGAGAGTCGACTGTACATAATTGGTACATAGGCTCGATAGGCATGGTTTAACACTGCCATTTGGGACAAAGGTGGGTGATACTATCAAAAACCATGGATACAGAGTTTTAAAAAACAGACTCGGCATTTGGTGAACCACAATAAAATTTAATGCACATTAAACTGTTGTTACATGCTAATGTTCAAGAGCTATGGTATGTCAATTCCTTCCTCCATGGTCTAATACATTCATGTACAGGCGATGTTTTCACATCACAAGTCACGTATTCGATATGAACTTAATGGTGAACCCTTGAATAGAATCCAGCACTTTGGGTGATAAGATTGTTCATTTGATGATATTAAGGCAGGACATTTGGCACACGGTCAGAGTATGTCATGGGAAAGATATTTGGCTACAGGGCCATCGCAGATATGTCATTTGAAAAAAAAATATCATAGGATAAATCAGCAATTTTCAAAATTTTGAAAATTGCTTGTTCTCCTATGATATTTTTTTTAAAGAACAACTCTGCGATGGCCCTGTAGCCACATATCTTTCCCATTATAATTATGCGTGACTGTGTGCTGATTTTCATGCTTTTATCATCAAAATTCCATCCTATTGGGCACCAATCTGCCCGACTAGAAATCAAAATTCTGTGAAGGCCAAACGATCATTTAGGTGGTTTTCAAATAAAGTATTCCTTCCTGCGTCACAGGGTCAACATAAACAATGCCTTGCGCACGTGCGCACACACCCACACCTACACGTGTACACGCATATACACATAACGATCACGCGGAATTTTTGAAGGACACATGAAGGAGGCGTTATAATCTACATTGCTTTGCAACAGCCCCCCCCCCCCATAAAAAAGTTCGCGCGCCCCCAGTCGCCCCCCCCCCCCCGAAAATTTGGCATCCGAGAAAAGCACATCCATTATGAGTTACCATGATTAGCTGGAAGAACATAAAGTCACTTTTTTTCAGCGATTGTGTGCGTTTTTCCCCCAACTTTTTTTTTCGTGAGTGGTTGTTTATTGTAACGTCCCTTGGGAAAGCAAACAACGTTAGCTATTGTCTAACCATGGTCTAATGCAGCCATGGTCTAATGCAGCCACGTTTGAACAGCGCCCCCATGGGAAGGTGTTTTTTTTTTTTAATGAACCACATGGGAGGAAACTGACAAGCCGTGAATAATAACAATTGAAAAGTTGAACAAAGAAATTGAGTGGAGCGGGGCTTGAACCTGTGACCTCCGGATAACCGTTCCGGAGCTCTTACCAACTGAGCTATCCAGCCCTATGTTGGTGGTTCCCCAATTAGTCAACATCTTTGTTCAAGGAGCGCTAGTCAGGAGCCTAGTGTGTCATACAGCCATGGGATCACGCCCAGAATTCAGAAGTCACACTTTCTATTTATGCTGTGGAATCGTCGTCGCGTCGCGGGTAACATGAGTATGGGTGCGAGCGATTACTTTGTGTCGAGATGCCGCCTGTTCCACGAGAATTACACGATTCCTCAGCTTTGAGACCTGAGCAATAGGGCTAAACTTTTCTGCTTGATGCCGACGGTGCCCGTCGTTTTGCAAGCAAAATAATCGCAGGTTGATCTGACTTTTAGTAATCAGCAAACATGTCGTCACCAAGAAACCTCTATAGCCCCGACTTCCTGCTGTACATTGCGACACACTTGACTTTCGATGTGACTACTGACATAGACCAGTTCAACCATTGTCCGCTACCGCGAGCTTGGTTAAGGCTAGTCAGGATATGGTTCACCAATGAAATTTCTTGTTTGAGCTTGCTTAATGAATTGTAATTCTTGTTGTGTACTCTACTAGGCCTATCCCCAACAAGTTCATCATGCCGTCTGTGCTGATCAGCCTGTCCTCGATCGGCCAAGTGGTTCGCCGTCTTTTCATACCATCTTTTATTTGTCCCTTGTGGATGCTTTCAGATTAGGTCATGGATGCACGTGTATACCTCTTCCCATAGAGCTATAGTTCCACACGGGTGCGCCGCTCTGTTGATGATTTGGGTGTACAGACCCAGGGGCTATATCAACCCTTAATGTACCTGCATTTACTCCTTATTTTAGTACATGTATAGACCTTTACCTTTGGGTGGCTTTTGGCCATGACTTTTGCGTCAGGCCTACCTTTCATCCACCTCCTCTTTGATGGCCTTAGCCACGGAATCATCGTCGTACGAATCCTCTCCTTGGCCAAGAGAGATGAGTCTCACGGGTACGGGACCTTCCACCGCGCCCGGACTGTCTTCCGGACTCGTCTGCGGCGAATCGTAGTTAGTCTTTTTGAGGTTGCGGAGTCGACGAAGGTTGCGGATGGACTGGCTGAGACTCTTGTTAAATGTCAACTGCAGAGAGATCAGAAGTTGTTTTTAGACATCCAGTATAGATTGGGAGATGCTTCATAAGCTTATTCCCAATCCACCAAAGTATTGTGTTGTATGATATAGTAAATCACTTTTTTGGAACATAAGGCAATGTCAGTAGGCCCTATCTTAAATTTGGGTATACTGGCCACCAACTTGTTTCCCCCCATACATTTAAACCGGCCTAATATCTTCTGTATGACCTGTATTAGCGTGGCAACTTCCAAACCTAACGAAAACTTCCCGTTTCCTCAACCTTGGACTGAGGTAAAGCACTAAATTGTCTTAATTAATGTTGTGCATTAAATAATTCTCCGTATTCTCTAATACGCGTAGCCCCATCCTAAATCAAGACTGTCACAAATCGCCTGTTGTTTAGATTATGTACTAAAACTCACTTTTTTGTTCCTTTTTGCTTGCCAAATCATTATGTCACCGCTGCGTCACCTAATGTCGCGGTTACAAAAGGTGTCAGTGATTACAAGTTTATCATCGTCCTGTCACTGTCATGTCGACAGTCTTACTACAAGAAGTTTGATAGGTCTAGATACGGGTGCATGCACCACGAAGTGACGTATCGTCTATGGACATTGTGCACACGATACGTCACTTCGTGGTTCGACCGCCTGCCAGAGGAACATGACATACCCAGGGTGGGGATTCACCGTCAATAGCGAGCTGTGGGTACTTCTCTAGCACCGTGCGTCCAATGTTACCGTAGTCCTTCTGCGTCAGCTTTTGCCCGTTGGTAATGCCAAAATAAAAACGGGCGCACGCATAATTCAGCCTCCTACGCAACAAGGTGACCATTTCCCTTGTGGTGACCATATTCGTGTGTAACCTCAACATCTCCTCTATGTCACGGGAGAATTTCGGAAGAGGCGCCGGATAGTTTATGGTTTTCATGCAGGGACTCTCTATGCTTGGATCTGGATCTGGGGAGGTAGACGGTGGCGACGTTTCCCGGGATGCCTGATCGACGTTAGGATAGTAAACAGGAGGCAGATGTGGCGCGGGGTCGTCACCGTTCAGAGCGAGCGACACCACTGATGTGATTTCTGGGGCCGGAGACAACTCTTTGGCGGTTTGTAGGAGTGTCGCAAGGTTGCCAGGCTGGGAGGTAGGGATCGCAGATGCGACGACATGTGTCAGTGTCCTGGTTTGGCCCACTTGCCTCTGAGCTTGCGGAGGGCCAGCGACGGTGGGGTTAAGACAGTAAGCCAGCATGTTTGTGTTTGTCTGCTCGTTTGCAGGCGCAGTCGACCGTTGCATCCCAGAAGGAATCGCAGACATCATGGGTTGGAAATTCTGAACCTTCTGCACCAAGGCTGGATCTGAAAAGGGCAATGCATAGCTATTACGAAACAGCCTTGTCTTTTTCCCAGCTGGTTGGTAGTTCTCATCAGTTGCGGCAGGCAGTTGGTACCCTGGCTGTGCATTCAAAGTGCCCGGGGAATTGTTGAGAGCAGTCGCCGGAGCAGGATGAACGTTGGGCCAAAGTGATGTGGCTGAGTCAGGGTGAGCGCGGTGTAAGCTTGTCGGGTGGACGTCTTGTGGAGCTTGGCCAGACGGGGATGTTGACTGATTCTCGATGCTGGTCGGATATTGAAAACCTGGATTTTCTTCCTGCTGGATTAAAGAAAAACAAGTATCAAAGAATCAATATAATATCATTTTGCGAAGTTAAGAAGTTTGTAAAGCAGAATTTTGGCCCTTGTTTCACGAATATACAAAAGAGATCCTCTTTAACCAAAAGATTCCTATAACAACAACTATTATAGTGACCTCGGGTTTTAAAAATTACCAAAAGGGTAACTTCAAGATCTCGAGCTCTCACCTGGTACGAAAAATATATATTTATGTTTTATTATACACTCTTCATGACGTTTTGAGTTTGAAGTTTGGCCGCCTATAATAATATATAGTCGGACTTTTAATTGAGCCCACCACCCCAGATGGCGAGCTTCCGGTTTTAAGTTGAATAGGAAAATTAACGTGCACAAAGTCTAAAATTTGAAATTATTTTGGGTACATTGATCTCTTAAGAAAATCAGCCTCGGAAAAAGGCCTTTGTAAAATTGTTACCAGCAGTCTAAATTCATGGAAACTCAAAAATCGCCTGACGTGAAACTGAGAAAAATATCGTGCCAAACTTTTATTGACCTCTCGCCTCCGAAAATTTAACATACATTTGCACTCGGTGTACTCGTACAAATCGGATGAACATTTACGAAATGATTTTGTGGCGCTCATTGGGTGAAAACGGAAACTTAAATAGGATACACATATTTTTTTTTAAATAAACTTGAAGGGCTCAAATAGGCATGATATAGGATTTACAAAAAAAAAATCTAAAATGAGCGCTGCATGAAGGCATATAAGACTTCATTCACGCCAGCCCGACTGAATCTAGAACCCATAGGCTGTATACTAAACTTTTGCGTCGTACATTTTCATTCTCACGCAAGTACGCGATGTAAAAACAAATGTGAACGAACAAGGAGACCTGGAAACGAAAATGCTGCATGTGGAAGTTCGTATATAAGGAAAATTCGTGTATATAGGCCTATACCCTACATCTCAACTTCTCATCATTTTTCCTTCAGGAATATCAAGATAAAATTCCAACACATGAATATTTCACGGGGTGACGGCCGGTTAAAAATCATTCTGTCAAAAATTATAGCAAGAAAAGGGCAAATGTATGTAAAATGCACAGCAAAGCTGGGCCGCGCAAGGGGGCTGGAAGCTCGGCGCGTGACCTTTTACTTTCAGGCTTTATATCCGGGAGTGTACAACACTTACTAATCGTAAGACATTTTTGTATACTTCATGAGTAAAAAGATCTCATGACAGTGAATTAAGTTTTTTACGATCAGCTAGCTAGGCCTATAGATGCAGGAACGACAATATTTGTTTTCCCCTAATCATGAGAAATACCTTGAACAATTTCCGTAGCATGAACTTGAAGGCGAGTCTATCTTTGAGCGCGGGAAACAGGGCTTGTATTTCGTCCTTCTCTGCAGCCAGTTGCCTCAACGTGTGCCCGTCCAGCTCGTTGGCTCGGACAACACTCATGACCCGAGTTTTGATTTCCTCCCTCGAGCTGTCATTTCCTTGCATCCAATCAAGAACTTGTTGGGTATCCCACTCGTCCGGAGCACCAGCATCCCGCCCTGAAAACATGGTTTAAGATTTGTCACCAAGAAACTTTTTGTAATGCGCATTTGGTTGACAAAGCGGGCTGAAGTAGATTGTTTGGTTGTACATACATTGATCAACGAGCCGCCATTGCAGAACACACGCACGGTGGCATCGAATACAGAATGCACACTGTATATTTCCAACACGTTTAATATGTGCTGCTGTAGTGTGCTACGTGTATGTGTACGTGTAGCAGCTATCCTTTGTGACATAATTTGCATAATAGCGAGGCGGCCTTGGCGGTTGACCACACACACGTACATGTGCACCGGGCATTTGTATCCTTGTAGTTAAGACATCTCTTTGTTCTTGTGTAATAAAATTTTATAGTGTGAAAATCTAGTTGCAAAATGCTCCTATTTTAACCAGAATTAATTTTCTGGGCTGTAATTCAGACCAAATACCCTTTACATAAAAATACTTCAATTTGCTACAGATAAACACAAATAGGCCCACTTGGAAACTATTTTTGAGTAAAATCCATATGTCTATCTCGTGAAAACCTAGCTGGTGGATACGTGTTCATCTATATAGAAATCGCCGGGTGCAGTGGAACCTTTACGATCTTTTGTTTCCTATAATAATTGTACACACGTCTCCATATATAAGGTAGTTAATAACGGAACGCGTGTGTGTTGTGCACTAGCACGTGCTTTTTGTGGCCAGTAGCAGCTGTGTACATGTACAAAGTACATTCGTAAGTGTATAGTTGTACACAAACCCCCGAAGTAACTTACTGCATGAATTACTTACTACCATTTATAATGGTAATGTATTATGATTTCGTGGAAATACGTTTTAGAGCAGACATGGCGCCCTCTGTATGGCAAGAGCGGTCCACCGCGGCGGCATGGGCGTCGCGAGGGGGGGGGGGGGGGGGGGGCAAGGCCCCCCCCCCGGAAAAGCACACACAAATAAAGGAAGGGAAAAAAAGGGAAAAAAGAAAAGAAAAAAAGAGGCGCGAAGTCATAGTGGTGTCAATTTAATGCGTGGGGGGGGGGGCAAAATGTCCCTGCCCCCTCTAAAACTGATAAATCGAGAATGTGTTGAGAAATACAGGCATTTTTTGGCAAAAATATGTTTTGCCCCCCTCTAGAAAAAATCCTGGCGACGCCCATGCGTGGCGGTAGAGGGCGCTATCAACAAAATGAACCAAATCCACCGGTCGGCAATCGTAGGAATATAGGCACCCGGAACCAAGAATTTCTCGAGCATTCCTCAGCAGCTCGTACTCTTGTATCTTGAATCATATACAGCGAGCGTAACTTCGGAATATATCTGCGGCCTCATTTTGACGCGAGGCGCTCCATATATAATGGCCAAACGAGTGCCGAAAACATCAACACAATCATTTTTAAAAAGTATAATAATAGGCCTACTAATTAATGGCAATCGGGAACGTTCTTTTTACAGGTATTTTGATTTAGTAATTAAAAAAGTATCCTTTTTTCCTGCATCGGCGATATCCCTCCACTCCCATCCCCTAAATCCCGCGGCCCGTATCCCAGCCACGCCAACCCGCGCCCCGGTTCGAACGTTCCGATCCGCGCACCACCCGTTCCGCACTTTAATCATTTTAATGGCCCATTATAATAAATTTACAGGAATTAACAGACAAATGACTAATCCACCCCCCAAAAAATTATGCAAAGTTGAAGAATGAATGTACTGTCTCCCTAAAAACCGGCATGAGTTATTTACACACAAAATAACCGGAATTTTTGACACATAACTGTTCCCCGTTATACTCATGTTTAGTCATCCATGCATATGCCGTGAGAATTTTGCCGGTATCACGTGACCGAGCGCCATATTGGATTTCTCAGCGAACATGGCCTCCGCAGTGGCAACTTCACAAGAGGTAATTTTTCTGTTTTCTCTTCTTGAATTGAAAGCTGTTCTTCCGTAAATATAGATTTTGGAAGTGGGAGGGTACGTGTCATGTTCCGATCAATTTTGAAGGATGTGGTCGTTCGGGAAATGGATTTAGTTGGAGTATTTTCTAACGTATGTCAATCAGATCATGCAGGGTTTTTATGCCATGTGCCATGTGCGGTGCGGCGATGAATTTACTGGTGGCGTGGTGCATATGGTCACGACGCGTGACGATGGTGCACATGTACGTACTCATGTTAATAACATGGATTAATCAGCTTTAATTTAAGAAATGCAAAATTCATTTTAGGCCTAGGTCTATTTAAAAAAAAAAAAAAAAAGATTTAAACCTTTGTGCCAAACTTTTTAAGCAAGTTCCAAATTTAGGGCCTACATGAACATGATGAACATGATGAACAAAACATGATGAAATGATGAAGAGTCACTTATTGAACAAGTTGACTTAACTAAAATTTTGAAGTCCTAAAGTAGGCCTTATTCTTTTCTTCTGAATTTCTACATAATAAAGTTGATGCACCTATCAAATGTTTCCATTTTTATTGACAGGAGAAACCTCAAAAAGACAGTAAAGCATCAAAAACCGAAGGCGAAACCGAGACTCAAAGCCAGGCTGTTCTCAGTCCAGAGGAAGTCATCAAGCACCCTCTGCAGAACAAGTGGGCCCTCTGGTTCTTCAAGAACGACAAGGCCAAATCCTGGGCCGACAATCTTAGAATCATAACTGCCTTTGACACAGTCGAGGGTTTCTGGGCGTAAGTTAAAATCACCAACATTTCTACTTTCTTGGGGGGATTTGGGAGGCTAGGGGATCAATACAAATATTTTACAGATGATGAAATTAGACACAAAATATTGCCAAGACAACAAAAATGACCATACAGATTGTGCTCAATTAAAAACGATGTGATTTTTCAGCAATTTTGATATTTTCAGCAGTATTGAGATTTCTTAATGACATGTCTCCATGTTGGAGAAGTTCATGATTGATATTAACCTTAACTCCCTAGGTAGTTTTTCTGGGATGCAACCTCAATCCTGCAAAATCCTTCAACTGCCTCCATGTAAAAATTGCATACAGCCTCAACCCTGCAAAATCTTCCAGCAATCACTGTCAATATGTTGAGGCAGAGGCAGTGACATCCTGGAGCAGTGCGGACGATTTCAAGCATAATCTAGGCCTAAATTTATGCATGGCTGAGCATAAACGACACAAGGTCTGGCCCAAGACCTCGACACAGTGCATCTTCCAAAATCACAAAGGCACACATATTTGTCATATAGCCTCAATCCTGCAAAAATCCTCCATATTGCAAAGAGGATTGTTTTCCAGGATTGGGAAGGCTAGGGTCAATTGATTATTTGTTTTCCATTTTTTGCTCAGGTTGTTCAACCATATTCAGTCAGCCAGTAAACTCCAGTCGGGATGTGACTACTCTCTGTTCAAGGTGGGTTCATTTATCAAAACAATGACAACGATTTAAAGCTATCTTGTGTTTTACGGCTACATGGCATATATGGGTTTTAGTTGTTCTGTCTTGCCTCCTCAAACACATTGACAATGTAAGGGAAACATCAACATAGGGCTAGATAGCTCAGTTGGTAGAGCACCTGTACTGTGTTCCGGTCGTTGCAGGTTCAAACCCCGCTCCATTCAATTTTGCATTGTTCAAGTTTTAAATATTTTGGTTGCATTTAAAGGGAATATACATCATTTGCTTTTGCTGTAATTTTCAGAAATGGATGGAATTGGGGGTTGGAAATATATAGCAAATATAGTTACACTGACTTTTTTGAGGTTTTTGGGTTTGAAAATGCTATAGAAACCAAGAAAAACAATCATTTTCCTGTAGTCTGGTTCCCTGACTCCATTTAAGAAGAAACAGAGCAGTTTACATATATTGGGGAATTGTAAGGTCAGGGAACCAGTCTGGCTGGCTTGTACCCATTCATAGGTGTATAATCGATTGCAAACAAGTGCGATAGTCAACTGGGGCCAGTATTTGAAAAAAGCCAGTTTTTTCCAACGCTGATCAGCCGAACAGCGTTGAAAATTGATACAAAAATACCACTTTTCTTGAAAATGACAGTATACCAGGTGCCATGATTTTACAGGATGCTTTACACTGTCATTCACTAACAGTCCAGCAAGGTATTTCAAAATGATTTGGTAGTTTTATTTTTTGATGTTTGCAAATGTTGTATTTTCCCTTTAAATTCCTTGCAGGATGGCATCAAACCCATGTGGGAGGACGGTAAGAACAAACCCGGGGGTCGTTGGCTGGTGAATCTAGGACGAACGAAGCCGCAGGATGTGGACAGATTCTGGTTGGAATCGGTGAGTCCGTTACACAAATGAATTTCGTTGGACGTGCTGTGCCGCGCCGTGGCCCATTCACAACAGTGTTCAACTCAAGCGTGATGAAACTATCGTGAAATTGTCACTTGTGAATTAGACTGACTTTAGCCTGACAATTTCCCAAATAATAGAATTACCCCGTAACGCGAATGAAAGGGCTAAATCCAGCGTATTGTGCGGACCAGATGCATGAAAAGACTTCCAGTGAATAGCCATTCTGAATCAATTGAATAGAATTGTGTGCGCTCTGGGACTTGCAGCCGATTTCACGAAACAATGCGCAACTTAACACCATACGTAGGACTTGAACATCAAATTTATTGCGCAGCTGCGCAATAAACTGACGATCGTTTTCACGAAACCTGGCGTAGCTGCGCATCATTTTAAATAATCTAAACATCTTGGACGAGGATAATAACATTTACGACGTCTGTTTGTGTATAAATTTGTTCGTTTTAAAACTAGTTTTGTTGACTTTCTTCGGAATTGCGCGGCAACTCTAAAAAAAAAAAACTGTCACAAGTAATATAGCAATTCATTTACTTCAAACACAAAGCTGTGAGTGTCTTGTATCACCTATAAGTTGTGCAACATAACAGGCTCCACGACGATCAGAATTTTCTGGTAAAATAGGTCTTTCAGTCGCTACGCCACAACTTACGCCACCTTAAATGATTGTGCAAGTTAACACGGTAATTTGTTCCACAAGTCGCAAACTTACGCACTATGAAACTATCGTGAAATTGTCATAATTGAAATGTTGCGCAGCATGAAATGTTGCGAAAAAGTGCGCAATAAATGGTGGCGCAAGTGGACTTGTGTGAAGTTTTGTGAAAATTGGCTGCCGTTTTACTGGACTTGCCTTGTCTTGTTTCCAGCTGTTGTTCCTGATCGGCGAGTCTTGCGACGACGAGGGTGAATTGGTCAACGGAGGAGTGATCAACGTCCGGGGTAAAGGCAACAAGATTGCCATCTGGACAGGCAACTACAAGAAGGAAGAAGGAATTCTAAAGATTGGGTGAGTGACAGATCTTTGAAGCCCTCGCTCGTTATTTTCTTCAGGTTCAAGTGAGCACCTTCGAAAGAATGCACCCTTTTGGGCTCAAGATTACTGTCATATTCACCACGAAATGATAAAAGTTGGCAAGATCATAAAAGAGTAGAATGTGAATATTCAAACAACTTTACTCTGAAAATTTACTGGTTTTTTGTGCAATTACTGAGTGAAGTGAAAAATGTTGGTCCTTTAGAATCAAGTCGTTGGAGCGCTAGTTGTCATTTCAGTCAAACATTACTCTTTAACCCATTCTTCAAAGTTGTATTTGTTACAATCGTTATGTGTCTAATTCTGAAGCTAGCGTGGAACCTTGTATCTCACAGTGTATTGTCACAAACACCATAGGCGGCACCAGTCTTTTGTTGACCATATGGCTCAGAATTTGATGCTTGAAATATGAAAACAACAAGGTAAAAAAAAAGTGTCGCATCTCATGTAAACAAATGGGATTTTTCAACCTTTTCTCCGTAAATGTAAGGCATGTACATTTCTAGTGACACCGAACCTTGGAATTAAGGCAGGCAAACAATTTAAAGCAAGAATTTCGGGCAAAATTGGGCTGCATTTGCACCTTGAAAGGATTGATCTGAGTTGAGCCAAGGTCGAGCCGAGTCGAGCCACATTCATGCCCGAGTCAATCTGAGTCACTAGTTTCTTTGTTTTGTTCTGTTTGTAGGAAGGGATTTAAGGAAGTTCTACATCTACCAGCTAAGACATTAATATCATATGAGGTGAGTAAAACAAAAAAATTACTCACTAGTATTGGAGTTTTGCGAGTAGTTGAGTACTTGCAAGTAGTTAACCAAATTCCCATAAAAGCAGAAGAATGACATATAGGTTAGTATGACGTGAAGCAACTTACGAGCAATTTACTTGCAAGTCACACCACATTCGTTTGCACTGAGACATCCTTACTGTGTGACGTTTTGAGTACGTTCCCGAGTGCAGTAAAATGTTGCGCGCGCATTGCTCTCGGTGCAGGAGTATACTCCCGGTGTGACGGAGAGCATGCTCTTGCTAACCTGCCGTTCGAGCGCTCAGGAGTATACTCGTGTTAACATGAGTAGCATGCTCGAACCTACCCCCTGAGTCATTTATTAATTTTTTTTTTTTTTTTTTTTTTTTTTTTTGACATTTTTTTTTTTTTGTGGACAATTTTTTAATTTTTTTTTTTTTTTTTGACAATTTTTTTAATTTTTTTTTTTTGACAATTTGTTTTGGGGATTCCTAGGGAGAGAGAGGTGGAGGGAGTGATTTCTAGTTTGCAGGGGACTTACTAAGCTGTGAGCCCTAAACCCTAAATTGCTACTCGCGAGTACCTGCTTCTACTCACGCCAGGACAAATAGTTAAAAACCCACGAGAAGAAGAACGAGTAGCATAAACTACTCGCAAGCAATCGAGTTACTCGCCCAGCGGTATTGGTCACTCAGTTATTGCAAATGCAGTTTTCAACTGTTCCTGTGTAATGATATACTGAGCACAAATGCAGAAAGTACCATTTATAATCTTTCATGTATTATATTTTCTTATTTTCTTGCTTTGTTTTTTTTGTCTCACCGCAGGCCCACGCAGACACGATGTCCAAGACAGGTTCGATGGCGAAGAGTCGGTACTCGGTATGATAGCAGGCCGGCATAGATAATACTTGTATAGCTTATAGTGATACATATAGAAAGGGGGAGATAAGAGCCTTGTGTTGGGCAGGGCTTGTACAGTGTGGACTGTATGCCATTAGAGGTGCTGTGATGTATGGGTAGGGGTGGGGGACGGGTAGGGGTGGGGGAGGGGTGGGGCAAATGGGTGGGGATAGGGAGGCGGGGGAGAGGTAATGCCATGTAATGGCGTTATAGTCGTTTTTTAAGCCATCTTGTAGATGCCACTATTTTGATTTGCAGTTGGCATCTTGTGTTGTGTTAGGATAAATTAAACCCCACAAAATTACTCCTGCAAAATTCATCGATTTCGAAGTGTCGCATTCTCTTAGTGTGCACTCAACAGTACCCAATTGTTCAGACAACCATGGTTTACTGTCGATAAATATCTGATGGTCCAACACAGCGAAAGTGACACTAGTAGGAGTTCCGGACGGCATAATTTTAGTTTTTAAATGTTTGAGCATTTGCAATTCTGTTCGAAAAAAGAGGCACCAACAAAACAGCTTAGTAACACATACCAAAGTTATAAGTCCAGAAATATCACTCTTTTTTTTTTCGTCAAGCCTCAATGCAGGCCTTTTCCTTGGAAGACTTTCGAGTGTAAAAAAAGAAAAAATCTCAAGAAATCTTTAAAAAAAAAATCAAATCCTGTTTTGGACAAAACAAAACAAGTATTTTTCTTTTTTCCAATTGTGTTGATTTTCTAAAGAAAAGTCAAAAGCCCCGAAATCAAAAGTTGAATTTGGGGGTCATGCTTAATAATACTTAAATTTTGCCAAGTTCAACAGAGTTAATGTTACAATAAGTCCGCCAAAGAAAAAGAGTCATTTAAAAGAATTGAACACGGAAAGACAACTTTATAACTGTTGACTGAATATATTCAATCTGATAGATTCATATGAAAATGCTCATTTGTATCGTTCTTGATCAAGGTTGTGTTTGAAATTCTTCAAAGCCCTCTTATTTTAAAGAACGATATATTAACAGTGACGAAACAGAGGGACAAAAATGTTAAAAGAGGAAATAAATAAAAAGGTAAAAAAAAATCTACTTTGATATCTATTGTAAATAATATTATCACACTTTATTGACATTGTCACAGGGATGTCTTTAATTGCATGGTTACATTTGCAGGTAGATTTAAGACAAGTAATCACGCTGTGAATAGATATTTCAGTTGTGTCAGTGTTTTGCTGGTAAGGGCTTACTATTTTATGTTTGGTCAGGGGGCGTCTTCTGAATTCTTAACTCATGGATTTTTTTTCCTTTCGGGAACAAGCACTGTTCTAAATTTACAGGGTGAGTAAAAAAAAACGAAACCCAAATGTCGGGACCATTGTTTTATTGAAGTTCTGCATGTAGCACTTTGAAAATCTAGGATATGAATGCCCAATTCACAAGCTTTCTTTTAGTACAAGAATCATTCGAATCAACCATGTGCTTTTCAAGTTACAGAATTTTAAACACAACTGCTGTTTTAAGGTTCAGTCCACGGATCACAAAAAAAGTTCAGTGTTCTTTCAGCAAAACGAAAACAAATCACATAAGGATGTGTGTGAATTGTTTTCGTTTTGCTGAAAGAACGCCCATCTTTTGGGTTTTAGGTTTTGTTTACTCACCCTGTACAATACTAGATATGTTTGCAGTATGTTCATTAGGAACATTTGGTGACCAAGGGAACACACAAAAAAGGAACACAAATGCAACTTCTGGAATTGACTATTTTCTTTTTTATTCCAGTTTTTCATTTACAAAAATCTCTTTTTTTTTTACTTATCATTTCCGTATCGCACAGTTGTATAAAAATTATATCGCATGTATTTCGTCCCCTTACAATTGTTAAATTGAGGGGCGTGTCACAGTGTCGCTAGATTTAGTATCGTCATATGTGACCCGCTCTGCAGAAATGAGTCTGATGTCGCATAGCTTGAATTCCAGCTTTCACCACTTTTAAATGGAAACAGTGAAAAGTTGCTCAAAATTTGGATTTTTGTTTTTGTTTTATTTTGATTGTTTAATAGTTTTAGTTCAGATATCTTACACAGAAATTTAAATATTGTAAGAAAAAGACTAACAAATTTATGATTTTTGGTGATTTTCTTGGTTAGTTACAGTGTATTTGTAATTTTTAAACCCTTTTTTCTTCATTGAGACATTTCTTGCTTTGCAAAAACTTGACAGAATTAAAAAAGGCACAACAGTGCAACCAAACGTCCTAGAGAGGCCCATGATATACCAAATGAAAGCTTATTTCATTCCCATTTTATTAATGCAGTTAACTCAAAATGTCAGTTTTGCCACAACAGACTCATTTTTGTGGAGCGGGTCACATATTATGATGAAGTAACGTTTTCTTTCGTGTCAGTAAGCCTATTTAGTAATCAGTATCATTTGCTTTCGCTGTATGTAATTATAAGCACAGCACCGCATGTGTATAGGCATGAAAGTGATACAAGAGATTACAAAAGTATTGAATGTAAAACTCTTTCAATTTGTATAGGTCTATGACCTTCATTTACTCATTTGTAATTTTCGTTCCAGGTTTACATGGATGTATGTTAGGCTTGTATTTAATTACTGTATCGTTCTTACATGTACATTGAAGAAACGTTGTTCAGTAACAAAAAGATGTAGAAATTGTAAACATTGTTACCAAGTAGCCTTTTTGCAATTTTTTCCTTTCTTGCAGAGCATAAATTAACTTAATTTTTTTTTTTTAAGTTGCGAGCACGTGGCTTAACATTGCTTGGAATTTCAGGCTGGAGCCCAGCGTTAGCATCAGTGATGTTTCAATTTTGGCTTTGCTGCGTTGAAATTTCCCGTTCTCGATAAATTTCAACGACTCGGCACATTTTACTAAAAACCCGGGGCACGTGATATTTTTAAGCTCTAATTTAGCTTTCTTACAGTGCCTATGCATCATTCTTGAACATCTGAACAGCCATTCTTGCATTATTTAAATGTTAGTGGAGATGGTGGCCACACAAGTCAGTAAACTTGTTCCTCTTCCCTTACTACAGCAAGTGACAGAAAACCACACGATTTTCCCCTTCTTTTTTCACTTAGCGACTTTAACATTTGTTTTGTTAAACAGCAGACATATCAGTGTTGCTATATGCTATTATAATATTACATTGACCAAAATGTGTTAAAAAAAAAAAATTCAAGGGGCAAGGATGTTAATGGCATATTTTGCTGTAACGGTTTTGTTATTTTGTTTCCCTATTTTTGTCCACTGTAAATAATCCAGATTTAGCTTTTTTTCATCTTAAAATCTATTTCTATGTTTTTCTTGGTTTTTGTCCTTTTAAGTTAACTGTACAAATGTAGTACAGGTCTAAAGATTGAAAAATGAATGTTGTAAACAAGAGCTTGTTGATTGCGCCGTAACAGAAGAATGTTATAAAACGCATTTTATATTATAGTAATTATTGCATTCTAATAAAAAAAACCAGAAGTTGGATCGATGATCATTTAATATTCCAGTTTGTTAGATTTCTGTGTCATTTTGTTTTATCGGCTTAATATTAGGTGATCCAGTGGAATAATATCTTTAGCTTTCCCGTTGACTTTTATAAGTGATACAAAGTGTTACAAATGTTCCAAGTGTGCTGCTACCTTGGTATTTTCCAATTTGCCGAATGCGAATGCATGCAGAATTTTTTTTTTTTTATCAAAATCGATCAACCATCACCCCACAGAATTTTGTTTTTAGCCATAACAAATCAGAGCAAAACAAAATATATTTAATATAATATATAAGAAGAACATCAATCGACATTCAAAAACCAAATATATTGAAGATTTTGGGCAAAAATCACCAATTTATTGAGACAAAAATGAATAATTTTTACTAATTTTGACCACAATTTTCGACGCAATCTTTCTTTTAAATGCCCAATCTGTCCGAAATTCCAGTTCGAATGTGCTTTACGGACCTTCAGGCATCTTCCCTGCAAGTTTGAAGCAATTTCATTTTTCGGCCAAAATTGAAAAAATTACAAGGGGTTAGCCTTACATTTTTGATCAAATTTGGCCAAAAATTGACTTTTCTCCAACCAACTTAGAAATGTCTTTGGATGCAAGAGGAACATCAATTGACCTTCAAACGCTAAATATATTGAAGATTTGGGCAAAAATCACCGACTTATTGAGACAAAAATTAATAATTTTCACTAATTTTGACTCAAATTATCGAAGCAATTTTTCTTTTAAATGCCCAATTTGTCCGAAATTCCAGTTCGAATGTGCTCTACGGACCATCAGGCATCTTCCCTGCAAGTTTGAAGCAATTTCATTTTTCGGCCAAAAATTGAAAAAAAATGCAAGGGGTTAGCCTTACATTTTTGATCAAATTTGGCCAAAAATTGACTTTTCTCCAAACAACTTAGAAATGTCTTTGGATGCAAGAGGAACATCAATCGACCTTCAAACGCTAAATATATTGAAGATTTGGGCAAAAATCACCGACTTATTGAGAAAAAAATTAATAATTTTCACTAATTTTGACTCAAATTATCAAAGCAATCTTTCTTTTAAATGCCCAATCTGTCCGAAATTCCAGTTCGAATGTGCTCTACGGACCATCAGGCATCTTCCCTGCAAGTTTGAAGCAATTTCATTTTTCGGCCAAAAATTGAAAAAAAATGCAAGGGGTTAGCCTTACATTTTTGATCAAATTTGGCCAAAAATTGACTTTTCTCCAAACAACTTAGAAACGTTTTTGGATGCAAGAGGAACATCAATCGACCTTCAAACGCTAAATATATTGAAGATTTGGGCAAAAATCACCGATTTATTGAGACAAAAATTAATAATTTTCACTAATTTTGACTCAAATTATCGAAGCAATCTTTCTTTTAAATGCCCAATCTGTGCGAAATTCCAGTTCGAATGTGCTCTACGGACCTTCAGGCATCTTCCCTGCAAGTTTCAAGCAATTTCATTTTTCGGCCAAAATTGAAAAAAATGCAAGGGGTTAGCCTTACTTTTTTGATCAAATTTGGTCAAAAATTGACTTTTCTCCAAACAACTTAGAAATGTCTTTGGATGCAAGAGGAACATCAATCGACCTTCAAACACTAAACATATTGTAGATTTGGGCAAAAAAATCATGGACTTATTGAGACAAACATTAATAATTTTCACTAATTTTGACTCAAAATATCGAAGCAATCTTTCTTTTAAATGCCAAATCTATCCGAAATTCCAGTTCAAATGTGCTCTACGGACCCTCAGGCATCTTCCCTGCAAGTTTGAAGCAATTTCATTTTTTGGCCAAAATTGAAAAAAAATGCAAGGGGTTAGCCTTACATTTTTGATCAAATTTGGCCAAAAAGTTACTTTTCTCCAAACAACTTAGAAATGTCTTTGGATGCAAGAGGAACATCAATCGACCTTCAAACACTAAACATATTGTAGATTAGGGCAAAAATCACCGACGTATTGAGACAAACATTAATAATTTTCACTAACTTTGACTCAAAAAATCGAAGCAATCTTTCTTTTAAATGCCAAATCTATCCGAAATTCCAGTTCAAATGTGCTCTACGGACCTTCAGGCATCTTCCATGCAAGTTTGAAGCAATTTCATTTTTCGGCCAAAATTGAAAAAAATGCAAGGGGTTAGCCTTACATTTTTGATCAAATTTGGCCAAAAAGTTACTTTTCTCCAAACAACTTAGAAATGTCTTTGGATGCAAGAGGAACATCAATCGACCTTCAAACACTAAACATATTGAAGATTTGGGCAAAAAATCACGGACTTATTGAGACAAAAATTAATAATTGTCACTAATTTTGACTCAAAATATCGAAGCAATCTTTCTTTTAAATGCCAAATCTATCCGAAATTCCAGTTCAAATGTGCTCTACGGACCCTCAGGCATCTTCCCTGCAAGTTTGAAGCAATTTCATTTTTCGGCCAAAATTGAAAAAAAATGCAAGGGGTTAGCCTTACAATTTGGATCAAATTTGGTCAAAATTGATTTTCTCCAAAAAACTCAGAAACGTCTTTGGACGCAAGAGGAACATCAATCGACCTTCAAACACTAAACATATTGAAGATTTGGGCAAAAAATCACGGACGTATTGAGACAAACATTAATAATTTTCACTAATTTTGACTCAAAATATCGAAGCAATCTTTCTTTCAAATGCCCAATCTATCCGAAATTCCAGTTCGAATGTGCTCTTCGGACCGTCAGGTATCTTCCCTGCAAGTTTGAAGCAATTTCATTTTTCGGCAAAAATTGAAAAAATTGCAAGGGGTTAACCTTACATTTTTGATCAAATTTGGCCAAAAAGTTACTTTTCTCCAAACAACTTAAAAATGTCTTTGGGTGCAAGAGGAACATCAATCGACCTTCAAACACTAAACATATTGAAGCTTTGGGCAAAAATCACCGATTTATAGAGACAAAAATGAATCATTTTCACTTATTTTGACCCCAATTTTCGACGCAATCTTTCTTTTAAATGCCCAACCCCTGCAAATTTCAAGCAATTTCATTTTTCGGCCAAAATTTAAAAAAAAAAAAAGCAAGGGACTAGCCTTACATTTCTGATCAAATTTGGCGAAAAAATGACTTTTCTCCAAACAACCTTTTTTGACAGTAAAACGAAAAACGAGATGCATGATTGGAAGTTGGCCTAGTGTGGTTCCCAGACCTCAGATTTGTAAGTAAAATATACTCCGAATCTTTTTTTCTGGGAACCTGGCTAAAGTTTGCCTAACTCTTTTGAACGTTGAGGGGGTACTTCTGCATCCACGGAAAGTTTTACTAGTTTTTAGTTCTGAAGTTCAAGGTCCGGTCGCGCCCGCGCGCGCGAGCGCTAGCAATCGCAACGCTGCCCTCACAAGGAATTTTCTGCATGCATAGCAAGAGAAATTCAATACATCTTTTGTGGGGATAAAGTGGCTCAGAACTGACAACTTGAAAGCTCCCAAAAAATACATGAATATTATAATGATCTCAAGACCGTCTCAAATTCTGGTTTTCTTCTTTCTTTACCGAAATCATTCGGTATTTTACCATGTTTATTATCCGTCATCACAAAAATGAGCACGATAAAGTCAGATTCGATAAGAATTGAGATATTGTTATTTCTGGATTCTGAAGGTACCGAGTTAAACATATACTGCCAACTGAATTGAAGTTGTTTTTTGGGAAAATGTCATTAAAAATGTTGCTAGTGTATTGATGGCCTAGTAATACATCGTTTTAGCAAATGACCAGTCAACTAATAAAACGGACTGAAAATAGTTTTTAACGATGTTTAAGATCAAAAAAGAAGACTTGATTGCAAAACATCTACTTTAAAGCATTGTCTTCGGTATTCGCATGATTTTTAATTAAACAACAAATAAAGTTACTGCTCGACCGTAATGTCGGACAAAGTCATACAAATAAATTCATCCACAAAAAAATGGAAGGAAATAATCATAAACTACAGTACATGCAGGACGATTTGGGTTTTTTTCAGTTTTTCTTTTTACAAATAAAATGCCAAACAAGTATTAAGTTCATTCTTTATTTCTACATACCTTTCGCTAAAAGCCTCACAGTTTTAAAATATCAACAAATCCTATTATAATCATTAATTACATACATTTGCTAAGAAAATATAATTTGTATTTTTAATAACTTTGAATAACTTACAATTATCTGTCCAACATACATGTATATCTTTGGTTTTTGAGTTTATATTTTGTATTTAAACAAGTAGGTAAAACTGACCAGCAGTAAAACAAGTTGTAGCCTTCAAACCAGCCACTACAATTGGTTTCAATTGTGAATGTTTTTTTTATCTCAGATTAGTCTCATTTGCAGTTGTTTAAAAAAAATATGCTAAATATCAGCCAATTTATGCAGCAAAATGGAATGGAAATGAACAAAACATCTTGAAAAAAATAGCATTTAGGAGTCCAGATTTAAAGGGCTAAGACTTTAAATTTCTACATTTGTATTTCTATTACGTCCCTCTTACACTTTCACCGAAAAGTTGGAATGTAAAATTCATCTATCAAACATAAATTTGAAAAATCAAGAAATTTCAATGGCCATCGCCTTTATTTCCTGAGGTAACTTAACTTTAAATTTATATTCAACATTTAACACTTAAAGGTAATATACAACATTTGCTTTTGCTGCAATTTTCAAATTTGGATGGATTTGGGTTCAGTATTTTATAGCAAATATTGTTACACTGACTTGTTCAAAGTTTTGTGTTCTTAGATGCTGGAAAAACCACACAAAAATGCTGTTCTTGTAGTCTGGCCCTGACTGTACTTCAGATGAAATGGAGCAATTTATCTATAGACGTTGGGGAATTGTCAGGTCAGGGAACCAGACTCACTGGCCTGTACCCGTTCACGAATGGGTAACTGATGGCAAACAGAATGTGGACTAACTAAATTTGGTAAATTGGGGGCAGTATTTGCCAAAAAAAATCAGTTTTTTCCAATGATGGTCGGCTGACCATCATTGGAAATTTGATACAAGAATTCCACTTTTCTTGAAAATGACAGTACACCAGGCGCCATGATTTCACGGGATGCTTGAGACTATTATTCACTTACAAACAAGTTAGGTATTTCATAATAATTTGGTAGTTTCGTTTTTTCGATATTTGCGAATGTTGTATATTGCCTTTAACAAGTGATTAATTTAAGACTGAAATTCATAACACAAAAAAGCACAAAACTATTTAAACACAATATTCAAGTTGACTAAATATAGAATCACAACTTATACTTTATTAAATTTTGAAACAAAACAAATTCACTTAATAACTCACCAAATTACAGAATACAATTAGATAGATTGGGGTTTAAACACCATACACAATGTCCAGCCGAGAAGGAATACCACACAGAAGTTAACCAATTGTCCATAACGGGGTAAAATGTTTCACTCTAAAAAAAAAAAAAAAAAAAAAATTAAGTTGTCCAATCTAGTACTTTGACTTTGGAAAAAAACAGGAGTGATCTAACATTTCTCACTGCATCTGATTCAATATATTTATTTCATTTTTTTTTTTTTTTTTTTTTTTTGGTTTTATATAACAACTGTGTTTTATTTATTTTTTCAATGTAAAATATAAGGAGATTGAGCAATATTGTTTTCGTCATTCATTTCAGAATAGGAATTCAAAATATTATCAAGACAACACAATAGTACCGTTTGGGTTTTTTGAAACCACATCAATGGAATGTTAGCTATCGTTGCGAGAATATCATTAAAAAAACATCTATCAAGTTTTTAATCAACTTATACCGGTAGGTACTAAAACATACATTAACATATTTGCACCGATGCTTAACAATAGCACAAACCAAGACTCTAAACTGTGCAGAAATATATAAATATGACCTGCTTAATAGAAAACATATAAAATTGAAACAAACCATTTTTGTGCTAGCACGCAATTGGATTTGCGATAATCATATCACCATCATCCATGTTTGAACTCACCATCGGGAAACTCTCAACACTAGGGGGCGCTGTTGCGGTTCCATTACTCCCGTCCTTTCTGCTGGCGTTACCACCCTGCTCGTTGGCGTTTGTATCCATGGCGACGCTCGTGGCCGTATTTGAATATACCAGATCGCTCGTTATCCTATGCCTCTTTTCAGCAGAACTAGGGTTTTCTATTTCGGCGTTAAGCGAGACGGAGGTTTTCAAGTGACCGACTTCGATGGCGTGGTCGGGACGGGGAGAGTGCGCGACGGTAAACAGGTTCTGCTCGACGAAACCGCCGGGTTCTTGCTGGTATACGTTGGGTGTGGCGTGTTGTAGGGGGCGGGGACGGGCATCGACGCTTGCCGGGTGTGGAGGCAGGTCCTCTAGTGTATAGGGTTGCTGCTTGGCTCCAAGTGACTCTCCATTCTAAAAGTCAAGAAACACCACAATTTTCTTAGACGGTTGGACAAAATAGGCCTGAGACACTATGACTTTAACTTTACATGTGCACTTTCTGATAGGAGCTTGGTGGCTCTGGTCTGCACCTGGTTCCATAGGAAAGCACACAATGTAAACAAAAGGTGACAACATTCTCAGGCATGCAACTTTTCCTCAGATCCGCTGATTTCCTCGTTTTTTACTTCTCATGAATGCCATTTACAAATTGAAAAACACTGTACAAAATCTTGTGTGGTTGGGAATTTCCTTTTTTTTCAGTAAAGTCCCAGTTGCATGCCTACATTCTGACTGGATTGGATGTGAACCTGCAACCTCCATAATATCGTACCCAGGCATGCAACCTGGAAGAAACAAAAAAACGAGGAAACTCCAATCTTTACAAGACTTTGTACAGTGTTTTTCAATTTTTAGTGGCATATGTGTGAAGTGAAAAACGAGGAAATCAGCTGATCCGAGGAAAAGTTGCATGTCTGCGTACCACTGCTCTACCAATAGCATCATGACACATGGCTCACGATTAGCTTCCCATGACAAAAAAAAATTGAAAATTTGGGGAACCTCCAATATGGGGCTGAATGGCTCAGTTGATAGAGCGCTGGTACAGTATTCTGAAGGTTCCGGGTTCAAATCCTCAATTTATTTGTTCAGCTTACATATAAATTATATGCGCTTGAGTTGAAGAGTCCAGAAATCATCACTTTGACCATGATTTTCAATTTCTCACCGTGTTTGTGACCGTCGGGCCCTGAGGCAAATCGCTGAACGCCGGGTTTGTATAGAATGCACCCTCCCTGGGCTTGCGGCGACGACTGCCGAACGGTTTGCCAAAGGCTTTTCTGAAAAGAAAAGAGAAAAAAAAAACGTTCAATATTGAGTTTTGCCCTTCACCAACGTAATTTACAGCACCCTATGCATATTCCATCTTGTGAAATATGAACATCCAAAATCATTTTTTGGACCTACAACTGTCAAAAATCATCACACAAAAAAAATGCTGAGAATCATGATGATGAGCTGTGCTGCATATTTGGTGCACTAAGGCCCAGGGGGCAGACGGATTTTACTGAACCATTTATAAGTTATTGGACCTACAACTGTCAAAAATCATCAATCAAAAGAAACTGCCTATAACTATATGTTGATGAGCTGTGCTGCATATTTGGTGCACCGCAATAAGGCCCAGGGGTAGACGAATTCTACTGAACCATTTAGGAATAGAGGTTAACAGAAAAGGGCCTGTAGAACAGCTGAATCAGAATTTATTTACATTATGTCTGCTGGTCTGACACTGTGACAACTTTTGCTGTTTATTTTGCCAGAAGCTGAACATTTTTCAAAGCCATTCGCTCTGCATCACAGGCAACCAAGACTGGATGGAATGACCACATTTTGCACTTTCAAAGTGTTATTAAATTGGCCCAAATTCACGGCGCTGTTACCACACATTTCTGCCGACAGAGCCTCTGTCTGGTTCACAGGCAGCTAGCATGGCCATGTCTAAGAGCGTGCTAACTTCACAGGCAGAATTGCAAATAGTGATGCAACAATAGACATCTCCATGTGCATATTTTTGCTACATGTATTTCAAAAAAACTTTGAGATTAGCATTTTTTGGGGGGTAGAGAAAGCACAACTTTTTCTTCAATCTATGAATGCAGTACAATGACATACATATTTGTTCCAGGCCTCAACTTATATCTCCATGATTTAACCCTAACCCCCTAGGGTGTGTGAAAAAAAAAATAAAATTGGGAGGATTCAGGACTGGTTATCGGCTGGGGTTCCTGCAGATCCTGCCCCTTTAGGACAATAACATTCCCTGACTTTTTCAAAGATTTTGCCATGAGCAAATTATGAAAATCCATGACCTAGTTAATCAAAATGCAGATCAAAACTGCACACACACAAAAATTCAAGGGCTAAAACTTTTGAAATCAAAATGCTTGTAGCAGCCAAATTTGTCGCATTTTGTCAGGTTTTAAAAACAAATCAGATTTCCAATGCTTTGTCATTTTCAGAAATTTTCCTTACTTTTCCAGACCTGGAAATTGAAAACAAAATTCCATGACTTTTCCATGACTCTTTCAGATTTTTATAAATTTCCCTGACTTTTTCAGACTTGCAAATTGAAAACAAAATTCCATGACTTTTCCATGACTCCTGTCATTTTTACAAATTTCCATGACTTTTCCAGACCTGGGAATTGAAAACTAAATTCCATGACTTTTCCATGACTCTTTGTCATTTTTACAACTTTCCATGATTTTTCCAGACCTGGAAATTGAAAACAAAATTCCATGACTTTTCCATGACTCTTTCAGATTTTTGTAAATTTCCATGATTTTTCCAGACCTGGAAATTGAAAACGAAACTCCATGACTTTTCCATGACTCTTGTCATTCTTACAAATTTCCATGATTTTTCCAGACCTGGAAATTGAAAACAAAATTCCATGACTTTTCCATGACTTCTGTCATTTTTACAAATTTCCATGACTTTTCCAGACCTGGAAAATTGAAAACAAAATTCCATGACTTTTCCATGACTCCTGTCATTTTTGCAAATTTCCATGATTTTTCCCGACAAATTGAAAATAAAATTCCAGGACTTTTCCAGAGTGTATTCCCGGCCTCGGAGACCCTGCTTAAGGGAGCTGTACAACAGATGCATAGTCAATCAACAGAAAATCAAGGTGCCATTTTTGCAGGCGTCAGTCAGTCCCTAGGCTATACAAAGCATGACATTATTAACTGTCACCCCTTTTGCTAAACAAACCTTTTCTGTGCGTGACAAAATTGGGTGCACAATTATTCCCAACACTTGACTTGGTCATACGACTGCTAAATTATGAAAGAACACATCGTAAAAAACCACTGCTATAGAAAAAAAAAAAATCTAGCTAACACACTAGAAGCCCTATAAAAGAGGGATAAAAGTCCATTTTCCACAAGAAAAAAGGCTGACGTACTGCGTGATGGATGACAGGCTATAAATAGCAACATGTTATTGCCACAGCTGTTATTTGCTTTTGATGTATACATGCACAGAAAAGCACTTGTAAATCTTGAAAAGTAAGAGCGTACATGTACATGTACATATCCACACATAAACAGTTTCATGTATGTAACTTTAGGTTTCTCCATAAATGTAATGGGTATTTATAAAAGTGCACGAATTCACAATTATTGGTGCTCAAGGCGCTACATCATTATTAGGCCAAAAAAAAAAATATTCGGTCTCTGATCAGACCAAATTTCCAGAATTGACGCGGCCATGGGCTTTTTTTTTTTCTCTTCAAGCTTGGATTGTACAGACAAGGTGGGTACTATTTTGCTTTTTGTTGTCCTCATGTACATTGGTGTCCTCCATAATTTGCCTTGGTGCTTTCGATCATTTGCCTTGGTGCAATTTCCCATTCCTTGGTGCTCTTTGGTAAAAAAAAATTGAGGAGGTGCGGAAATAGAGGGCGCTGTTGGAGCTACCGCGGAACATTTTAGAGAAAAAAAAAGATCGACGCGCATGATTAAAATCGACGCGCGTGCTGACCAGAGACCGACTTATTTTTTTTTTTGGCTTTACCCTGCTCATTGGGCTAATGAAAAATTTCAAAGTCTATCTCAGTTCCCTGGGGAGTATACAGCTCGATGCTGCCATTTTGGCGCAAAGCAGCTTAAATCAACTACAATAACCATCTTTGCCCTCACAGGTACCCATTTACTCCTACAAAATGTAGGTGGGGAGAAGCAATGAGTGACAAAGTGCCTTGCATAAGGGCACACGCACCATAGCCGTAGGCTGGACTCGAACCCACAACCTGCAGAATTACCCGCAGACCACGAATTCAATGCTTCAGACCACGAGGCCACGGCACTCTAATTATAAATATTGTTTACAGGAATTCAGTGTTTTAGACTAAGAAGAACACACTAACCCAATTTCACGCACCAAAAATAGCACGCAGTTGATGGATTTTTTTATTTTTTTTATTTTGCTGCGTCTCGACCAGACAAGTTGGCACATTCAGTAGAAACCCAGACATTATAAAAACACGACAGAATGACTGGAAGGGATCGAGACAGTCAGTTCAGAAATGATTTCAAAAGATTTCTTCTCCTCTTACACAGACAGCCAAAGCCCAAACAATTACGCGGTCTCGGGCGTGTAATAAAATTTGCCATACAGTCAGACAGCACTTGAAATCTCCCCCAGCACTGGCTTAACTGTAGCATTTACAAATTCCATACATAAAATACTGTGTACTAGGCAGCCTGATGTTGTAGCGTGACATTTTGTATGCATTATCTGTTTACAATATGCAATAAAAATGGTACATATTTTTGCATAACACTTCACAGAAATGGCACACTGGAAAAGGTGGATACAATGAACAGGTGGATACAATGAATAGGTGGACACAATGAACAGGTGAATACAACGAACAGGTGGGTACAATGAACAGGAGGCGACATTAGGCACTGGGTAAACAGGCAGATACACTGAACAGGACACATTCAATAATCAGTTGATAACTAGTGAACAGGTGGATCAAAAATGAACAGGTTGATACACTGAATAATTATGTGAATACAATTGAACAGGTGGATGCAATGAACAGGTGGATACAATATGAACAGGTTGGTACAAGGACAGGTTGATATGATCGACTTGAGGCCACAATTGACAGTTGACCACAATAGACAGATGGCCACAATGGAAAGATGACCACAATCACAGGTGGCTACAATGAACAGGTGGACACAATGAACAAGTGGATACAATGAACAGGTGGACACAATGAACAGGTGGACACAATGAACAAGTGGATACAATGAACAGGTGAATACAATGAACAGGTGGATACCATGAACAGGACATTCATGATGACATGCTCTATATCTTTCTTTCTTTTTTAAATATGGTTTATACCTGAAGAATGCACAACTGATAAGAAGCACCACAATTCCTGCACAGGACAGCACACTGAGTACAATTCCTAAAGTTGGTACAGCGCTTGAATTTTTGGAACCACCTGAAAATATAAAAAATAAATAAATATAGCTGATGTCTTTCGCTTAATCAATGCGATTCATGGCAATAACAAGAAGACAAGTTAAGTCTAGTAAGGGCGGTTTCAGAGCGCCCATTGATTCAGAGGTCTGTTCATGGTCTACACATGGGCCATACTTAGCCCATTCATTGGCTTAGCTGGGTAATCCTATACAATAGCACTGCTCATTTCACAAGACATTGAGTCAGTCAGTCAGGTACCAAGAAGATTATAGGCTGGCCCTCTGTGACCAGGAAATATCTCGTTGAACTGAGTTGTCTCATGAAAAACACAACTGTCTTACTCTTACGTACCTTGAGAGTTCCTGTCTGTTCTCACAGCCTTGTCAATACTGTCAGTCATCTTGTGACCTCCTTTGCTCTCAGTTGACCTTTGCCCTACGACCTCTGAAGTAAAGTAATAATTAAACAAAGTACTGTTTGCTGGTTTCCTGCCCTCATCCTCCTCAGTTTTATTCTCTTTATTCGGATTGGACGTTGTGGTCGTCGGTTGCCTTGGTGATGGAGTAAAAAACAAAGTTTCCGATGTGGAGACGGAATTTGGCATACTTGAAGAGTTGGTAGATTTCATTTGTGAAGTTGCATCAAAAACTAAAGTTGCGTCCTCGTTTTGTTCACTCGTCGCTTGTGGGTAAGGAGTGTTTAATCCGACGCAAACACTCGAATCGGATGAATTTGGCATGGCCTCGCAGTCGATGCCATCCAGCAGGTCCGGGTAAAATCCAAACCAAAAACCGCAGTTTGAAACGGCGCCCTCGCACAGGGAGCGGCACGGCGGAAGCAGCCTTCCATCGGCGGTGCACTGCGGGAAGGCAGCCGCGCACAAGAAGAGCTGTGAGTTGTCATAGCAACCGATCCTTATCAATGTTTGGAAGGCGCTACCGAGATGTGGCGGGATTTGGTCGCGTGATGCGTGCCCGAGACTGTTGGGGAAACCGGTCTGGGAGTAGGGAAGGGCGGAACACACCTCAAGCGGAATCTCCTCGCATGTTGTACCTCGGGAAAAAAAAACATTGCGAAAGGAAGAATTTGTAAACTTATTGTTTAAATGGATAGCATCACATTTTAAGGGGATAGTTGGTGCATCTTGGTTTCCAATTACATGCATGACGGATATTTTTTTTCGTGACATCAGCACAAAGTTGAATACACTTTTGGGTGTGAGTTCCTTTTCTCTATAGTCTTCTCTGCACAAATGCCTATCATTTGATCAGCAGGACCAATTCCATGAAGAGAAAAGCATTTTTCCTAAAATCACTAACCTCGCGTTCTTTTTCAAGAAATTTGTGCAAGTAATTTGCTGTTTGTTCTTTGCTAGCTTTTTTTCTACGTGGATATATATATTTTGTCAAACACAGCAGAATTACAAATGTTGCTTGCACAATCCATCGAGGAAGAAAGACAAACATCCAACTTGATTCAAAATTTGTAAACGCCCATGTAGGCACATTTTTTTAATCCTAATTTAAAAAAATTGAAAATTTTAATATACACGTACAACTAGAAATATATTTTGTAATCAGCTCAGTTTATTTCTCCACAGAGCCATAAGCTCTAATTGCATTACAGTCATCGATTTCAAGGTTCAGAAAGTTCCATTCAACAAATTAGGATTTTTGTTTTTCCAATTCGGACAGGAAAAAGCGAAAGAGGCAACTAGGCCCTGTAGCCCCAGCCAATTTGGTTCCATAAATAAACGGTTGACCAACAGATTCAATAACTGGAGTCTTTTAAAGGTCACATACCAGTGACGAAATAACGTGTAAAGAAAAAACGGAAAGAAAATACTGAAAAGTAGCATACGACACGGGCACTATGCTTTCACTGTAGTTGATAGCTATTTTTATTGATGACCCTGATAGCTTTCCAATTGCACCCCATCCAATTCTTAATTTTTAACGGAATAAAATTTGTTTTAATTTGTCTGTTCATGTACATGTTTGTCTATTCTACAAATGACACAAAGAACCCCAGAGGCTAATTATTGAGGACATTTTCACAAATACTGCTATATTTTCATCCCTTTTTGGGTTATTGTTTATATCTCACTTTGTTTGCAGGTCCTTCGGTTAGCTTTGGGCATTAAATTAAATAATTATATTTGAGAAAAAATAATAAATAATAAATTTGATTCACGATAAAATAATGTGGCAGTGAACAGTTTGCTACATGGACACTGCCAATTGTAACATTTAAAAAAAAATTTAACAAACATTTTTCAAAATGAAATATACGTCCAATGTCACTTGAAAAAAAAATCACAGCCATAAAAATGCTGTGAATTAATCCTTCAAATAATCTTGTGGATCAACGTCACATTATAGCATAGTAGAGCATATAATTCTAAACGTTACACATGTATACATCTTACAATCCAATAATTATTGATGTTCAGTGCCTGTCCAAACAATCCAAGCGCATCTTTCCGTGAATTTCAGGAAAGACTGCAGGACACGTTCGTAATTTTTTTTCTCTCAAGGATTACTTATTTTCCAGTTGCAGATGAATTTTGATGACTACTGGTTGGGACGGAACGTGATCAGAGCGCGCTGGAAAGTAGAAGAGCGGAAGTTACAGCAAATCAATCAGGGGATAGACAGTGAAGGCCGCCTTATTAAATCCAAGTTCTTTACTGCAGAAATATATCCATGGCAGTCTTGACAGATATTGCATCATGACGCCAAGATTGTGGGCACTTCAGATTAAACTTAAAGGAGACATTTTGACCACAATATGCCCTTCTGGGCTCAAAAATACATGTTTTCTCCCGAAATAATAGTGCAATGTAAGATGAAAGAAGAATATGTTCACACTGGTAACCATACCTTCAAAAATATTTGTAAAGCTGGTAAACTAAAAACAAATTACTGATATTTTGTACAAAATTAAAAGAAGACATAGTCTGTTTGACCGGATTAAGGGTGTGGCAAAGGGGGGGGGGGGGGGCAATCCCCCCACCAGCCCCACCCAAACAAACCCCACCCCCACCCAGAAATTTTTTTTTAGAAGCAATCAGAAAAACATTAAAGTCGCCTCATCCAGCCGCGGCAATTACATTTAGTATTTTATAATTTACAAACAACCCCTTCGATGTTTTTGTAATGTAGGCCTATATCTCTTAGTCTTAAGAACACACAGTACTTGAATGTACAACAAGTACATGTATATAAAGTTAACCTTAAGTTATATTTTTAAGTTCAACATAATGATTGGCATTTAAATTTGTCTAACCCCGAAATCTCCATTCTTAAAAACTCAATAACAAACGGCTTCATTGACCAATGGAGGAATAATTGTTGACCTCGCACACTATTCATCAAACAACTCTCTTAATTTGATCATCCATATAGTTTACCCGAGCAACAAGTAGGCTACGACCGATTGAGTAGCACCCACCAGGATTACACGCTTGACAAAGCGCCGTTGAAAGCGTCTCAACCACCCACAAACCCCCTGCCGACAACACGCTCGAAAAATCACAAACTTACCCGTCGCAAGTGTCGCACATTCCGCGAGAATTACCACCACAACAATCCTCAATGCGACCTCCAGTCGTCTGCTTTTCATCTTGGCGAGGATGCAAAGCCAGTTGTGAATAAAACTACGAGCTGAATTTTGGGTGAAATCCGTCAAAACTCAGACCACTTTTGCTCATCGATGAACGGAACCTTACGGCTGCTGAGAATGAGCTGAGCATGTCGCATACGTGCGCCGCGGCGTAAATCTAGGGGGCGGTACACCGTACCAGGCCTCACAGATTATTTTCAGGTGCAGGCCCACCATAAATTATATGAGCCTCACTCAATACATATAGTTTTTATTCGATTATTCAAAATGTCATAATTTATCCCGGCATTGTTGACCTCATACTTCATCTTAAATGTAACTTTTTTTTAGGGAATGTACTATGCTGGCGTCATTTCCAGAGGTGGCTGGGGCATATGGGCATCCGATTGGGGGGGGGGGGGGGGGGGGGGGGGGAGGGATCATAATCGTTTGTCCCCCGCCCCTTCCCCTTTTTTTCGTCCCCGAATACAAATTGTAGCCTATACTTGATTCTATAGCTCAGAATAGCCGATTCAATTGCTCCAAACTCGAAAATGATGTTTATGAGCAAAATATTATGATTTTTTGTTCAATAAAATTTGGTTAACTTTTGGTCAGAAATTGCCTCAGATCGCACCACAGAGCATCTAGAATCCGTGGCCCTTTTAAGCGGGCCTCGAAAACCATGAGCGCACCATACGCTAACTATGGGCACACCATACCCTAACCATGGGCACATCAGGCCCCATAACTATCGGCCACCAGTTGCGGCGAGATGACAAACACAGCCACCAACCCTGCGATTAATTTGCCCAAAGGGTACAAAATGTATTAGCTTTATTGCCCATAATTATGGTTTAATGGAAGTCGATTTTGAAAAGTAAAATGCCCAAACTCGTGGAACAAAATTAACATGAAGAGCCACAAACACCTGCAATATGCCTTCACCTGTTTATTGTTAATCAAAATAATGCTAGGAGAAATATTTTAAATCACCAAACAAATACATATAAATTCATTACTCGTGAGATAAATTCATTGCGCGAGGAAAAAAAAAACAGCTCATATATGTAATTGCTTGTATTCTTTGCACAAATTAGTCTTGCTTAATTCAATTTTTAAAATGACTTAAAAAATTAGTTCTTTTAAGGATTTGTTTTTTTAATCCAAGTACAGATAAGCGTCATGAAAATAAAAACAATGAGACATTTTCATATGCAATTTGTTCTACGTATTTGTCAAAGTCTTGCTTTCTGCTTTTTAGTAATTGTTTTTTTTTTTTTACAAACATGATCAAACACTTGCTTTTAAGTTGCCATTTGCCAGCTTTGGCTGGGACGTTAGAAAACTAACTTGTGATGATATGATGAAAATTACACGTGTTCATTACTATAAATCTACAAATTTGCATAATTATTAAATATTCATGAACAGAGAGGCACTTCCTGATTGGTTGAATGACTGTTGATCAATGGTTTATCTCTGTTTCACTTAATACTCGATCTTGATTAAAAAAATATAGATAAAATCTGATTTTATTAAAAATTAAAAATAGACTGCCAATCACCTATGTAATTCTAAAAGTAAAACTAAAAAATACAAGGAAACCACTGTAAAAAGAAGAAAAGCATGTACATGTATTATCTGTTAATATAAAAAAAAGTCCTTACTTTTCCGAAATAAAGGAATGCTTTGTTTGTTCTTGTTATCTTAAATGTAAACAAAATACTATAGAGAAACAGAAAAAATGGAATGCTAAGTTTATGAATGTATCAAACGACTACTGTAGACGACCAACCAGTTGGAATAAATTCCAAGTATAAATTCTCAGCAAAATATTTGTAAAAATAAAGCCAATACCTTGTTTCTGCACTTTCAATTAGAAAAATGTTTGGGTAATAAATCATTATTTTTTTCTCTTTTACTCAATCTGTGATCTAGATCTAAGGCTGCATACAAATGTGGCATAAACAATACGGCATATGAAATGTATCTACCCTGGCTCTTATCTCAAGCCTTATGAGAAGAAGTTATTTTTATTTTTGACATTAATAGGAAGTATAATTCAAAGATGCAATTCCCGTGATATTTTGGAATTTCACCCGGGAAAATAGATTTGTTTTTCAATTGCTATTTTCTTGGTGATATAAAAGTTATTCATAAAAATGATTCACTAGTGACTGAATTATTTCTTTACAAAATTTAAAATGTTTGCGGCCTAAAATAAAATTCGGCTCTCGCTGGGTGGGTTCGTTGGTGCACTTTAATGAAAGCCCTTTTTCAGAGGGAGTGCAGATGCCATAAATCGAAGGTAAAAAAATAGTTTTCTTCTTCGAGTCCAAACATACAAATTGAAATTTCATTATGATGAAAAAAATTTTGTTTGAAGAGATGGGACATGCATCCTTAACACCACTGAAAGCAATTTCAACATTTTTAGGAAAATAAAAGCGAAAATGATATCACAGTACAAAAAAGGGACAACACAATTTACTGTTTAGTTGTCAAAGCCTATGCTTGCACCGACATGAGATATGACCACTACATAATCTACCTAACACATGCACGTTTTAAAACACTTCTTTACACATACTTCTAAAATTACTGCTGCACCTATCGAGTAAAAAACATTTATTCCCCGCTTGCAAATTGTTTCAAGTCCAAGAAGTCTTGAAGACGGGAATGACGAGTCCTGCCCACCTTATTGCATGAGTTGGTTAAATGCAGCGGCCTCCTTGCCCTCGCCATAAACGGTGATGGGGATGAGTGGGTGTTTGGTCTTCATCAAATAACTCTGCGGTCAGAAAAAAAAACAAAAACAAGCACAAGCCTAGTCAAGTAAAGCGCACAATATTCCATTGAATTGATTCAGAATGCCGGCTATTCACTGGAAGTCTTTTTCATGCATCTGGTCCGCACAATGGGTCAGATTTTCTAGCCACTTCATCGGTGTTATGGGGTAACCCTATACAATAGCACTGCCCAGGGGTAACCCTATACGATAGCACTGCCCAGCTCTCAGCTTGACCAGTTTACAACCAGTCTAAGTCGCAGGGGACAGTCAGTCAGTCGGTGAGTCAGAATAGGTTTTAGTTGTACCACTGTTCGTTGGTTGCATTTATAGGCCAACTGCAAAACTCCAGTTTTGTTTCAGCTTCGTCTCGGACTAGAAACCTTATTCAAGCAGAAGTACTCTAGGATTTGATGCCACGAAGCTGAATATGTTATGAGCTACGGTCTCCCAGGGATTAAAGTCTCGCAGAGCTAAAGCTGGAGGCAATGCCTTGGTTTCACAAACACCTCAAAGCGACAACGGACAGGACTTACGTGGGCATAGGGCAGGCCGTTCTTCTTCTCATCCGGACTGGCTCCCTTGCCTACCCAAACGAACAGTTCCTTTCCAGTATCCACCAAGAACACATCCTAAATACGGAGCAGAGAAACATAAATTTAAGCCAAAAAAACATAACCGTAAACAAAAACAAGAAAGAAGACGCGGAAGCAAGAATGGATACCTTAATGCACCCCTTTCAGATTTACGTTTTCAATCGAGAATCAGATCCCAGGGCCCGTTACCGTCACAAGAACAGTTTTTGTTTCTACAAAGAAAGTACCGTGGCGGCTCAACGAGGGGATTAAGGGGGTTAGCAACCCCCCCCCCCCCTTTTTTTTGGGCTAAACAAAAATAGGAAAAACATGCAGAAACATCCCCATCTTGGCAACTAAACCCCCTCTTGATCCCAAAAATGTTTTTTTTTTGGGGTGGACAGACTATTTTGACGTTGGTGGCACCATTTACAACCCTATTATACTACTCGAAAATAGGCCACATACATATCACCACGGTCAAATTGTGGGCCCAAAACTAGACTTGATGGCAAGTCGTTAGACTATAGTGGTTTATGTCCGTCATCAGCGCAAGAATCCGCATACCGGCCATGCCACCGCCGTTCACGCAACGTGAGCGCTACAACCAGTCATGCAAAAGTCATGTACAGTACATGTACGATGTACATACACGTACACCGCGCGGCATGGTCAGTCCGTGTCTAACGACTTGACTAACACGTTTTCAAGCGAATATTCATATATGCAGCCACTGCAATGCATATGCATGTATTTCCAATACTGGTCGTATTGGCAAAAATTACATTTGATGCAACGATTACACTTTTTGTTGAATTTTCCAATAGTTGCCACCATACCTTGGATTCCAAGAAGCTTCTGGCCAGCTTGCCCTCAGACACAAGGGTTGTCTCCAAGGAGCCAGTCTCGTCGGACACGCTTCATTTAGTGGGAGGAAAAAGAGGAATTAATTTAAGCCTGCAACTATTATTCCGTAATTCCACAGATCAACTGTTTCATTAATGACAAAAAACAAAATGTAGCCCTGGATGTAGTTGGGTCCATCACAGGTTTTAATACCGGAGTCTTGCAAAGTGTAATATCCACTGGGCTGAAACTTCAACAGGTTAGGTTTTGAACGTTCTTCTTTGGCTTTTGAGTGGTGTTATTATTGGAAACGAACATATGCCTTTACGGGCGTCGGTGGATCTGCAAGTATTGTTTAAAAAAAAAAAGTGCTGTATTTTTTTACCGGAAGATGGAAGGTGGGAAGCTTGAGTCTGTCTCCTCCTCTTTCTCGACTGGCTTGTCGGGCAGCTTTTCGTAGAAACGATGGTTGGTCGAAATGCCGCTCTCATCCAGCGATTCCACCTGGGGCTTCCCGCTACGCTCGGACTTCAATGCCTGCAGGTACTGAACTGCCTGTATACGCCAAGTTTACGTCCAAGATTATTAGTCCAAAGGGGGAGGAGAGGAGAGGTTGGGGGGGGGGGGGGCGGCAGGCACTTACATTGTAATTGATGCATGAAAAAGACCAAAGTTCTGAAGCAATGAATCAAGATAAGCAAAATGGACTGAAGACATTTTTCAGGGCTCTTAAGACAATTGGGGGGGGGGGGGGGTGGGGGGGGGTGTGGATTTAAGCTATCCCAACCACTCTCCTTGCGCATTTACATGTTCCTTACCAAATATTAACCTGAAACATAACGTCATGCTTTGTTTACTTTGTTTACTTGTTTGTGACATCGTTGTATAATTCAGGTCTGTACATGTGGTTGACAAAATCGATAGTTATTCTGCCACTGACAAGGTGGTTCTAATACGTAAAATACACGGTGACATTTTTTTTCGCATTTGGATAATCACGCTAACGTTCCGTGGCTGAACGGACCTTGAATTTCTCATCCTTGTTAGCAGAACTGCCATTCCACTGGAAAATTTCCAATCCCAGATCCAGGATAAAGACGTCAGAGGAATCAAGGGACTGCCTGGACAGAGCCACCTGATAATCAAACAAACAAATACACATTGAAATTATTAATATTGCTAAACGTAAGGCCAAGTAAATAAAATCAACCAGTTTTTCACCCCTGCTTACCGACTTCCTTTTATCTTTTTAATTTTTTTTTTTAATCAGACATTTGCAATACATTTTTGGGGTTTCTGTTGTTTCCAGTAAAATGTTAAGTATGTATCCAAGTTTGAAATCTGTTAGACAGTTCGACGGCTCCTTGGGACACAAAGGTGACGGCTCCTTTGGACATCAGCAAAAGAATCGAGAAGATGGAAAAAATCCATCCACTATCTTGAAAAATCACCCATCTTGGGAGGGGGAAAAAAGAGCGGTCTCCGTCCTGTTTAAAAAAAGCCAAACGAGAAACTAGTTTGTTTTATACTTGGCCTAATTCTGAGCCCATTAATATTGCTAAACGTAAGGCCAAGTAAATAAAATCAACCAGTTTTTCACCCCTGCTTACCGACTTCCTTTTATCTTTTTAATTTTTTTTTTAATCAGACATTTGCAATACATTTTTGGGGTTTCTGTTGTTTCCAGTAAAATGTTAAGTATGTATCCAAGTTTGAAATCTGTTAGACAGTTCGACGGCTCCTTGGGACACAAAGGTGACGGCTCCTTTGGACATCAGCAAAAGAATCGAGAAGATGGAAAAAATCCATCCACTATCTTGAAAAATCACCCATCTTGGGAGGGGGAAAAAAGAGCGGTCTCCGTCCTGTTTAAAAAAAGCCAAACGAGAAACTAGTTTGTTTTATACTTGGCCTAATTCTGAGCCCATTTGGAACGTAATGGTCCAATGGTTACAGTGTCTGGCTTGTGTACAATGGTGGCTAGTTTTAGCTTGGTATTTGTGTTCTTGGGCAAGACACTTTACTGCAATAGCCTCTTTCCAACCTGGAGTACTAATGGGAACTTGTAAGACTGCAATATTGTTTTAATAAATGGTATCAGGGCCTGATGAACAGTGGTAATAATAAATTGTGCTGTGCTTTAAGAGCACTCAATATTAACCACGTAACGTTTTTTTTGAAAAGTATTTTGAATATTTGTTTTTTTATAGCTTACTTCTTTCACTTGAATGTTCTTCCTCGTCCCGTGGAAATGGAGCAGACGTGGTTGGTACTCTGTCGGCTTGACTTTGCGGAAACCGGTGTCCGCACCTCCCTCCAATAGGCTGGAAATCACACAAAGACGTATTTCAAAATGGTTTACCCATTGATTTATTTACTGATTCATTGTGGAGCTGTTGCAATGCGGAAACTCAATAACGAATACGTCATGTCCGTCTATATACCCCAAAAATGGCATCATGACGGCGCCCGGCCCTCACTCACCTCAAGCTGGGGAAGTAGCTCTTGAACAGGTCTGACTCGTGATCCATGACCTCACGGTGCTGAATCGGCTTATCGTCAAGAAGCGTGTCCAACTCGACGGTCTTGTAAGCGGCCGTTCCATATTCATCCTGAAAAGACAATCATAAATGCTATACAAGGGCAGATCCACGGGGAGGGGGCGGAGAGAGAGGGGGATAGCTGGGGAGGGGGGAACTGGGGTGGCTAACAACCCCAACCACCCTTTCCCCGATTCATCTGCATGTCTCTTTTTCGTAACTGACTCCAGGGACTGAAATCTGTCACAATTTTACAAAGCCCTGGGAAGATGGACATTTGAACATGGCACCGGACTAAACTGTGCACTGAATCCATGCCTGCATGAAGTCCGGCGTAATGTAAGCAAGTCTCTGGTTGGATCACATTGGGTGTTCAATCCATGCCTGAAGTCTCAAGTAATGTAAGCAAGTCTCTGATTGGATCCAATTGGGAACTGAATCCATGCCTGAAGTCTCCAGTAATGTAAGCAAGTCTCTGATTGGATCCAATTGGGAACTGAATCCATGCCTGAAGTCTCAAGTAATGTAAGTAAGTCTCTGATTGGATCCAATTGGGAACTGAATCCATGCCTGAAGTTCTAAGCGAGTCTTTGATTGGATCAAAGTGGGCACTGATGAATCCATGCCTGAAGTCCCAAGTAAAATGTAAGCAAGTCTCTGATTGGACCAAATTGGGTGTTGAATCCATGCCTGAAGTCTCCAGTAATGCAAGCAAGTCTCTGATTGGTACAAAGCGGCTTACCTGGGTGGAGTACTGACCAATCCAGAAGTGAACATCATAGTTAAGTTCTTCACTGTCTTCTTCCTTCTGCATGTTTAACAAAACAAAAAAACATAAGCCTGTCAATTGTAAACAGACTACTTAAAAAAAAAAATAACCAGGTCATGAAGGTTTTCAATATTTACTTTAACATTAATTAATCAAATGGTTAATTATAGCAAGTTGGAGGGGGAGGAGGGATTTGAGGGCGAAGTCAAACTGGGAGTTGAGGGGCAAGGAAAAATTTGAAGTTTTTTTTTTCAATTCTAAAGGAGGTACTGCTTGTTTTTAGACTTGTGCTCCTAAGTAAAACTGTTGAGATATATAAAAGAATTTCCGCTCTATTCGGTACATTTGTTAATTGGGACCTTCTCTCACGAAACCCGGACAAAATTCCTGAGAACCTCGGGAATTTGAAAATGCCAAACTGGAGAGAAAAGAAAAAGTCAACTTTGTCTGGGGGTTTTTTTTGGGGGGGGGGAGGGGTTAAGGAGTCCCCACCCACCCTCTAGATCTGTCACTACATGTGATTGAAACTTACGTAGGTGTTGAGAAGGATGTAGGAGTCTCCATTGTAGAACTTTCCGTAATCCTCCTTAGGCCAAGCTTTCACCTTGAACTTCACAATGCGCCAAATCTGAAAGCAGAAATATCACAAGTCAAATCACAAGTTCATTTCGAATAGCACATGTATTTCACTGGACAAATTCTTTCACGAGTCTAGTCCCAAGCAACAGGGGATGAACAGTAACAAAAAAAAATGCCTTTTTTTAACAGTTCATTTGAACAGCTTGGTGACTTGACTCAAGACTGAAGGACTAGTGATGGACATGTGATGGACTTGTGACGGGCATGTGATGGACATGGACTTGTGATGGACTTGTGTGGACTTGTGACGGACTTGTGATGGATTGTGATGGACTTGTGATGGACTTGCTGTGACGGACATGTGACGGACTTGTGACGGACATGTGATGGACTTGTGATGGACATGTGATGGACATGTGATAGACTTGTGATGCATGGTGAGGAGTCGTGAATGACTCGTGATGGACATGTGATGGACTTGTTTTAGACTTGTGATATGGACTTGTGATGGACATGTGATGGGCATGTGACGGACTTGTGATCGAGAACTTTTGGGGACAGTAACAGTTTTAAAAAGCTAATGTATTCAAGATTTTTGTTTAAAGTCTTACTATACAGTACGGCTGCCTCAGAAAATCCTGTTGCTTTAAGAAAAAAAAAAAAAAAAAAAAAAAAGTAAGAGAAATACCCATGTTAGAATAAGTACCTGCATGCCAACTTTCTCGCCAGCTCCTTTCCAGGCAGCCTCCGTCTCAGCCGAAGCCTTCTTGACCGACTTCTCTGTATCCGAGCCGAAGAGGGCCAGGTTCGAATCCTTCCAGTCGTACTTCTTGGCTTTGACCATTCCGCTCATCTTGATGCTTTAGAGAGCAAGTCTCGGAATTAAAAAATCTGCAAAGTTGAAAAGGCAAATTAGAAAGAAATTAATTTCAGTGTCAAAAAATGGAACGCAAAATATGAACATGCATTTGGGTAAATTGTTTTGTATTTACTCAAATTTACACTTTAAACGAAAAAGCACTCCTAGCTTTGTGCCCATATATCAAAAAAGGCTATATATAGGCACGTTCTCCTCCACCCACCTCTTCATTCAATTGCCCACACAAGCGGGACTAATGAAAAACACATTGCAGTCTCATGAAATTGAAACTATGTTATGATCGGCATGTTTATGTTTGGCCAAAAAAAAATAAAAAATTACTTCTGCTTCCGTTTCCCCTTCCTGCCCCGACCCTATTTTTATTTTGAGAAAAATAAGGGAAAAAACACCCAAAATCAACAATTATACCTTCTACCCTAGACTACACGCAGATGCCTCAATATGATCGTACACAAATAAAAAAAATTGCCAAAACAAAGAAAGAAATTCCCTACCTACCTATCCTATTTTCGAATGCCATGTAATCGGAAGCAGAATATTGTTTTTTTGGCCTTATAGGATGTGCTGCCTATGCTTTAACAGTGAACAGAAACTACAGCTTATCAAGAAAAAAAACACTGTTGAGTGACAATCATTACAGCTTGGTAATACTAAACTCAAAATGCGGTTTGAAAGCAAATGTTTCAGTTTCAAAAATATTTTGCACTTTAAAAAAGTGTATATATATACACCCACTGCTGAGTCTATACAGATATTTCCTGATGCAGCCTGAATCTTCATGCAATACTGCTGAGCTGAATCGTCAAATGCATGAATGCTCCCACACAAAAGGCTTAGAACTTCACTACTAAATTTGGACTTCCGTGAAGTTAGAATAACAACACACAGTCTTTTTGTTCAGTGAAAAAAAACCCAGTTATTGCAAACAGGCCCTTGATGGTCCCTTGAAACAATTTCTTTTCAGATATTCGTGGCCCTGTGATCCATTATTGTACAGATTTTTTGTTCAAAGCTTTTTTGCCAAAAGTGAATGTCCATAGTGCAAGTCCAAATCAACCAAGTTGCCATCACCTGCTGTGTGCACAAATAACACAGTACATGTACATGTAGTAGTACTTTTTGTTTGTTAGTGTGGGGCTTTTCCTTTAATCTATTACATGTGCACTGAAAATTCATCATAGAGTAAACACAGCTATCTCCTTTCAACCCATATGCAATAAGTTATCTAAACAATGTCCTAATAAAGGACTGTAAGCTAGGATGTGTGTACATTTGTATTTTCCTCAGAGTACAACGTTCATGTGCCAGCAACAATTGCCGTGGTCCTCTTGAACCTTGTCCCAAGTAGTTTCCTCGTGTCGACTTTGCCTGTCAATCACTAGTACATGCACATTATGTATGTAACACATGGAATAGGTCCGATCTACTTCAGGTTTGATTAAAAAACTATTTGTGCAGTAGGGTTGTACTGAATATTCCGAACATTTGATCATCCAGGGAATGATATCTCAAGAAGATGAAAATTAGCATCTTTTAAAACTTTCAATTATTAGCTAGTCAGCTATTCCCCCCCCCCCCCAAAAAAAATTGATTAGATACATGATGTTCTTAATATTTTATTATTATATCTCATCATCAATTTTGAACAAACGCAAACAAATCCCAATCAGCGGCCCATGCATTGAATTCCCGACCAGCTTAAGCTGGCGAATTGTAAAACTTGATCAGTGCGTTTCAAAATCAACTTTGAATAATTACAAAATTATTCAAACAAATGCACAGCTTTTTTGCACAGATATTTTCATAAATTGTACGATAGGTGCCATTATGACTATCAACCCTTTTCAAGTTTAAGTCCAAAGTACCATTTGGATTCTGTTAAGCCAATCTGTGTCCTGAATTTTTGTTCAAGCGTGGACTTTTGTGGGGCTGTGAAAAGGATACTCTCTATCGGCTCTTTTAGCACTAACAGGATAACAATATTTGAGTGCTGAATATTATTGGACTCAAGCAAAATTGATATTAGCACAAATGAAGAACACATCTATACTGACCATCAGGCAAAATACGTAAATTTTTAGTGCCATTAATGAAGACTATAATAAAAGTTTGCATAAAGAAATTTTATGAGGAATATTTATTATTTTCCATAAATTTATAACCTTTTTGATGACTTATAACCAAATGCCACGTACATGTAACCGTATCATGCATTTATGAATAAAATATCTTTTACTGCACTAGTTATTGTTACTGGTAGCTTGCTCGATCAGATTCGACACAAGTTTGAAGAAATTTTGATTTAGATTCTGTGTAACCTTAGACGTAAACTACATGTTCTATTGTAAAATTTGGGTAAAACTCAAAACTTTCATTGTATTGTTCTTTATCAAAATTCATTATGAATGTAACAATTTTTTGAATGCATTGTGCAATAAAGGGATAGATATATCACTGAAATGGAATACTAATTATTTCACTTTTGAATTTCAAAAAATATGTTTTGCATCCATTTTATTTTAACAGTAAACATTACTCATACATCTTCGTGGGCCACTGTGGAGGTGTTTATAAGTGTTTATACATGTATGTTTATAATGTTTATAAATGTTAATAAAGAACGCACAAAAGGTTTGGTCATGCTTATTGAAGTGAAATAAAAGGCAGTGTAGGCATGAAAGTGGGAAGTCACAAATAAATAAACTGCAAGCTTTCAAACTTTGTGCAGTATTTTTCCATTTTCAATGACGCACACAGGAAGTGAAAAATGAGGAAATCAGCTGAACCCAGGAAAAGTTGCCTTCCTTCCTCAGATGAAGGAATTCAATCAAACCACCAAGAAAAGACAATGAATATTTTTGGTCAGTTTTTTTCCAGCTCCATGGTCTCCGTGAAGAATATTCATGAAAAACATCTGGCCATAAAAACTGGAATATTAATATTCCTTTTCCGTCTTATCTGGAGAGATTTATCAATGGACTTGATACTGATAGCGATGTATTTTGACCTTTGGAATGTGAAGCATGTAGTTGCCTGGCAATGGATGGGGGCTTAATACTGGCAAAATTGATAAATGTTTAATACTGTACAGTAGCGCTGACAAGGAAGTCGGCCATTTTTCATTTGAAAAATCACTAAATGACACAATGTAAGAAAAAGATTGCAAAAAAAAAACATAACTACATGTATGCACACTGCACTAAATGTGGAAATGGGTGAACTTTTCTTAGACAGTTAGTCATTTGATTATAAAACAAAAATTCAATAAAATTTTTACAGTTTTGCTTTAAAACCCCAAGAATCCTCCAAAGTCCCGATGGCACATTTTTTTTGTACAGCAAGTATGACAACTAAAGCAGTGTTCATCAGACCAGTTACCACTGCAAAAATTTCTGAACAAAAGATTCATGGTTCATGGCACACGTTGAACAGATATAAAATCCAGCCGCAGTGTTTAATGCCTGCTTGACTAAAATTTAAACTTAATGTACCGTATATCCTGGAAAATATTAATCTTTATCATTGCTATAAACATTGCACTCAAAACAATGCAAAAAAACGGCTGTGCCATGCACTAAATTCTGAGTTTCATTGAATTGGTAGGGGAAAATTAATTATAAAACTGGAACAACTTTCCATCAAATTAGGTCTAAACAATTGACACACGTATCGCAACAACACACGGGCAATTTTGCACAATGGCAACAAACAGTGCACTCTGTGGAACAGGCCAGGGAAAAGAGGCTTTTTTTGCTCTCTTCCCACAATACTTTGACTTGTCATGCATTGTGCAAATTCACTCAAGCAGAATTTGGATGGGAAAGAAAACTTGCAGCCTGACGCTTCTTTGGCGGTTGTGTACAAAGTCAATGGAGAGTCAAGAATTGTTTTGTTCTTTTAATGTCCTTTAATGTTCTCCCTGTTTGTGACAGTTCCTACGTTGGAGAAACAGGGAGAACATTAAAGGAGAGATTGAAAGAACACGAACGAGCTCTTAGACTGAACAATCCATCTCTTTCAGCAGTTGCAGAACACGCCCTTAATACTGGACACAGCATTGGATGGGACAATGCCCACACTATCGACTTTGAAACACATTTCTGGCCAAGAAAGGTGAAAGAATCCATCTGGATCAAAATGATTAATCCCTCACTGAATAGGGACTCTGGTTACTCATTATCACCTATCTACGCTCCAGTGATCTCGGGACAACAGACAGCAAGAAACTGAGTACACAATCACTTGGCTTGAGAAAGTCCACAGGAGTGGATGAAAGCTTGCCCACTATTCACTAATTTTTAGGTTGGTACTTGGTAGAAAGCTTAGTTAAACTACATGTACATGTTATGATCACCCCAACCAATGAAAGTTTTCTGTATTAAAACTGGAAATGTTTCTCAGTCCCAGATTAATGTCTTATCATCATTTTTTGCAATGACTGACCTTCATTGAGATGATACATGAAGAAAAAAATCAGCACCAGGTTGTAACATTCTGGTGTAGGCCCCCTACATGAACTTGAGGAAATCACAAACTTTTTATAACTAGTCAGTTGTGTCGGTCCCCCCAAAAAGCAAAACTTTTTGTTAAAACAATCTGAAGAAAGTCCCATCATGGCTATTGTTTATTCGCAGTGGCTATTGTTACGGCAGCCGTAACGCATTTCCCATTTTCTATCGTTACGGTAGACTGCAACCTGGCAACTTTTATAAAAAAAACATGACAAGAAAATATAAAATTAGAAGGAAAAAAGTGAATTTGAACTTTATGAAATTCGGACTTTATTTCCCTTTTAAAAAAAATCCTCCAAAGCCTCAGGTTAGAAAAGGAAAAAAATTCGAGTGCAAAACTGAGATTCGAACCCGCAACCTCGCGGTGCAAAATCCTACCCTCTATCGGCTGAGCTGGCGCACTGCTCGATAAAACGTGGAGAAACAAATAATTATATACCCGCGTGCGTATCAAAAAAATATCGTAGAGGGCGCTAAACAACGAGTGCCGTAACGATAGCCACTTCGTTGTTTATTCGCCTTTAAAAAAAAATAGAAAGCTCAAAAACAGGCCTAGGCTAACAAGTAACAGTATTACAATACGTATCATGGATTGTATGTGGTAAAATACAATGCGTGATATCGGTAGTTCAATTCCGAATTCCATGCACATCCACTGCAGGTGGCGTATCCGCTCTACAAAAATCATTGTGCACCAAAAACGTTTGGCAGATGACTGGCCAAAACTTGCAAAAAGGTCAAGCCCAAACCGACATAAATACCCAAACCAGGTCAATACTAGTTGTCGCAAAGAAAAGTTTCAGTCGTTTCACTGAGCTCGCTTACCTGTTGAAGAGTGAAGAACAGCAACAAGTTTACGACTTGAGAATTCGGCAGGAACTTATCAGCAGAAATACCAGACGGCGAGAATGCTGCTTGTCAAGTGATCCGTGCCGTACGTGCATGCAACAACCACTGCACTAGCACTGCACTGCACGCTGAACGTCCTTTTTTTGTACTGTGCACTTCCGTATTAAATCCCAGATGTGACCTTTCACCTGTAGACTTGACTCAAGGCAAAACAGATTCAACGGAACAGGATATCGTGCGTTTGAACATGACCATTTCGTCTCATTTCGGGCGCAAAGCGTTCGATCGCATTGAAAAAAGACTAATGAGTGTTTACACACGTCTACCGCGCATAGCAAATAAGCCGGCCAACGCCCCACACTTTTTTTTGTCCCGTTGGAAAAAACGCGTCACGATACGCAAGGGTGCATGTATTAATGTACATGTTTTGAACAGTGCAACAAATAACATAAACAACGAAAATATTGACAATAAAACTCACTACACCAGAAATCAATCACCAGCCGACAAAGTTTTTGATCAATGCTAATCAAGAGATTTTTTTGTACTGCACTCGGCTACAAATGTTTGGGGATAGAAAATTGTTTTATTTTGTCAAAAAACGTTACCGAAATGTTGACATTTGTGACTGGTAATTTCAATATTTTTATCACATGGAACTTAAGTGGGAAACAGTGCTATATGACTCGAAACTTTTCAAATTTCGAGCCTTATGTAGAAGGTGCAAATAATATACATGACACAAAAAATTGTGTTTGGAGAGTCGTACAACTTTATCCGTCACCGTTTGAAGGTTTAATTCCAGATTTACAAATTAAAGGAACTGTGTGTACATACTGCAATGCTGTAGATAGCTTCGCGTGAGAGTTAATATTTAGCATGTTAAACATGCATCTTTCGGATATCTTTATTTTGCGATTAGCCGAGTCGTAAAAGAACTGTGCTTACAGAGGACAATCACATTACTGTCTTAATTTTTGGTTAAACAAAGAACGGAAACTGAATGGTGCCGCACATTACGACATTCACAAATCGGGAAAGCAATAGTTTTCAAGTCAGTTTTCTTTGTTTAACCAAAAATAAATATGGGAAAAAATATTAAAGTTTTATAAGAAATGTCAAAGACGGGAAATCTGAATTTCAGTTTTAAAAGAAAATGTGGCATTCAATTTGTACACATGATTAAATATGATAAATTGGACACATCTAACCAGGAAAACAGGTCACATTTGGACAGTTTTATCAACTTTTCAAAATATCATTGGGTATAATTTCTCAGAAAGTTTCTTTCATTTTGCCATTTCTTGTTAACGAGTGTCCTATTATTTAAATGTCTCCCTTTTAAAAAAAAAAATCTCAAAATGTTTGAGAATATGCGTCTCATTTTCTTTGACCAAATCACCTCCAACCTCATCCCCACAGCAAGATTCAAAGCTATTTCCTTGGGAACAGTTTTATTCATACTGGGAACAAGGTTGGTACAAAGTTGAAGCTTACAATAAAGAGCAAATATTAAAAAAAAAATTATACACAGGCCTTTGCAAAACATCACTTCATAATTACATATCATATAACATTGGAGGTTTACACTTTTAACAGTTTTTGTTAACTTTAAAATGATGATGTAGTAGCTAAATGAAAACTAAAGACTAGGATACCGTGAAGTTGTTGATGAAAACAAACTTGACATTCTAAAAGCACCATATCCAAATCATTTAGCAGATTCTCTTTACTTAAGAATGAAGCTTTACTTCAGAAAAAAAATTGGTCACTCTATACAATTTTCTCAGGGAAAACCAACAACTGGAAGATTTTCTGTTTACTGCAACAAAAATAAAATCAGTTATGTTCTATGTATGTTGATAGTTATTTCTTAATTTTTACAAGCCGTTGCTACGGGAATGCAAATAATGGAATGACCCAAATCACATGGAATGATAAGGAATGTGAAAAAATGGAAAGAACAAAGTCTGGTACCTAGTGTTAACCCAACTGTATCCAATGTAATTAGGGTCCTAACCAAGCTGACAACTGAAGAAAGAGGTCATGTCCGACTCAACTGGCTGCGGCTGGGAGTAATAACACGCATGTCTTTTGGAAGTGGCTGTAGCCACAAGCCAATGGCTTCCATAGGGGCACATGCTATTCCCAGCCGCAGCCACAACTTTCAGACACCGCCTGAGTTAGCAGTGAAGTCAATCACACAAGTCAAACCACAAGTTACGTCAAACAGGGGATGGACAATGACAAAGGAATGCCACTGTCACAATTCCTCAAAATGGCTCGTCACTCGATTGAGATTCTGAATTTCTGGATTGACTTACGATTTCTAGAAACAACGTTGCAGAAAAGACTTTATTATGCCTGGCAACAGTTTTAAAAAATAAAATCCATGACTACTTTAAACTTTTCTTGATTTGTATCGTGTTTGTGAACAAGATTAGAAAGTAAAATTATGCTACTTGACAGTTACATACGACAGCCCCTGCAACAGCATGAACGTTGGGACAAAACAGTGCAACAAGGAATTTAATAAACATATAACTACATGTAACTACCAAATTATATAAATCAATGAAAGAATAGTATCATTGTGGAAAGACCAATCAACTACTCTCTTTACTTTCAAAAAAACCTACACACAAACTCAAAAAAAATGTCTAGCTACGTTATTTAAGAACGATCGAAAGCCGAAGAAGTCCAAATGCAAAAACTTAAAAATTAATATATTCTTTGCACTTTTACAATATATATGAGTGTGTGTGTATATATGCAAGCAAATTCAATTCGGATTTCGTATTTACAAGAAAGATTTTTAATCCATGGAAACGATATGGAAAACATTATTTTCATTAATAAAAGACACATTTTTGATACTGTTAACAGCTACCACCATTTGTTCTGAAAATTTGCAGGTTTTTTTTTTTTTGTCAGTTAAAAATATGATACTGGCAATTTTAAAGTCATGTTACCAAAAAATCCCCCGAATATAATTCTAACACCATTTCATTATCAATCTTATCGTTTACAATTGCATAAAGAAATCATTATAAGAAATATCATTACTAGTTAATTCATTACCAATTTACATGATTCTGTCTTAGATTTTTTTAATTTTTTTTGCATAATTAGTTCAGCACGTCTTTTACTGTCAAAGACCTCAGCTGATTGCGTTAAAACGGGACATTTGTGGAAAATTGTGAAAAAATTATTTCTCAGAGCACATTCATTGGCATTTTGTTTTACTGGTAATCTATTAACTTCAGGTACTAGTTACTGGTCACTAGTTAGGCTAGTTAAATCTAATAGGTGGGAACAAAATGCATACGGTACTGTATTCTTACTTTACACTCATGCATTTGGAAAAAGGGGAATTTTTCAGACCCGTCCTGCTGCAGCCATCTTTGTATGGTTCCCTGAAGTCCTGGCATTGCTCACTTCAACAACTGCAGCACCAGCACCATACTATTCTGATCACGTCACCTTTCCACCAATTACCATTCCGCGTATCAGAGATGTTTTCATATTATACATGTGAACAGCATTTCAGATTGAAAGTTTTTCAGGAAATGCGCAACAAAATTGTCTGTTCTCAGGAGCTATGATCAGTTGTCCCCCCCCCCCCTAAAAAATTTACATGGAACATTTTTCATGAACAATTTCAAAAACATGACTTTTTCGATGTAAATGTTCCACAAAAAATGGAAATGTCTATGTCAGAAACACTTTCGACTTGGAGACGTCTAGTTCCCGGACTCCTTGTACAAACTTGGAGGCAGTGAACAAAAAGTAAAACGTGACTTAGTTACAAACAGACTGGTGCCAAAACCCAATTAAGTGACCCCGTGAATTAACTGACTGCTCGGTTTGATAATTCTTACTCATAATCATTTTATGCTTGGAACAGGGAACTAGACTTTGAACAAAAACATTTGAACCAATAAAATAAAAGTGCCAAACAGCACAGGGTGGAAAAATGAATGTGTATCCAGTAGCAATATTCGAGCAATTGGGGATAAACAGTAAGGTAGGGATTTATGAAACAAGTTATCATTTGGACTACTTCAAAATCTTCTGAAGTGGTGGGACAAAATTTATCCTTTTGAAAACAAACCACCGTGGTTATTTGTTAAACAAATTCTTTGAAGGGAACGTGCAATGCTCTGGGCCAGCGAGCTCAGTGTTAAACGCAAAGCGGGGCTTTACGCGTGTCGCGAAAGATGAAAATCACTGGTGTGGCGAAAGCTGCTCGTTTAGGCAACCGTGGCGGCAGCGAACGATCGGGATTCCTTGCCTTGCTTGACGATGGTCACCGACAAAAGAGGGTGGCTCGTGTTACTGAGATAGTTCTGGAACGGAGAAAATACAATATTGCTGAGGAATTTCTGTTCTGATTAGTCATTATTTGAGCGAGAGGTGCTCAGTAGTTATCGAGTTAGACAAAAAAATATTGGAAGGGGAGGCTTTCTTATTTGGTTGAGTGTAGTTCACCTTTGTGAGCATGATGAACTATCTGCTCTTTTGTTCGCAAAAATTAACTTTGAAACTTGACATTTTGCTTGCAAATTTCTGAGATTTGTGTTTGTGGTTACTGAACACTTTCATGGATTCTGCCTCTTCAACTTTTTTTTTCATATCTGAGAAATCGAGGAAGGAACTAGGAGTTAACTATATAATGATAATAATGTGGTGATTATGTTGCGCTTTATACCAAAGGTCTCAAAGGGCTGCACAATTATTACCCATGTTCATCAGGCCATGAGACCAGTTTCTGCAGCAGCTCAAGATCGGCGCATTCAGGTCTCTACCTTCACAGGTACCTATTTATACTCCTGGGTGGAGAGAGGCAATTGCAGTAAAGTGTCTTGCCCAAGAACACAAGCACCATGTTCAGGGTTGGAACCCACGTACCAAGGCACGTGAGTCGAGCACTGTAACCATTGGACCGCAGCGCTGCACTTATTCAAGGTAAGCTTGCGAAACACAGGGCTGAAATTTGTTTGAAAAAGCAAAAATACTCACATGTGCATAACTCATGCCATTCTGCTTCTCGGCATCACTGGCTCCCGACCCGATCCAGACAAAGCATTCTTTTGTCGTGTCAAGAATGAAGACATCCTTGGGACAAAAAAAAGGAAAATACAACAAAATTGTGAGAAAAAAAATAGAAAGACAGGAGTTTTGGGTAACAGCATCAGAACGTTCTAAAATGGCAGGGGGGAGGGTTGACCAGTTCACGCCGGGATTATTTGTACAAGAACGGAACGAGGCGCGGGATTACTTTTCACTCGACCTCAAGCCAGGCGGGTTGAAGCCATCACCCTCGGGCAGCACACTCATATTTCTGGCCTCGCTTGCTGCAAGTGGGTTGCTGACAGATATTTTCCGGTCTCGCTCCCTGCGTGTTTATCCGTCATCTGTTCCGAATACTGCAAAATCTTTGCGGGTATACACGTCATCCGGCACAAATTGGTTAAAGTAAACATGTCCCTGTCTTTGTTGCAGGGGATCCAAGCCGGCAGAGAAGGAAAAAGAGGTAATGTTTTAAAAAATTGGAGGGGGGAAAACTAATCTCCTGCTTTTGTCACTTTTGTCCTGGAACACATTCCAGTGCAAAGCCTTATAATAAAATAATCTCCAATCCAGGCCCACAGTTGCTGTAAACTCACAGTGGTGGCCAGTAATCGCAGAAGCATTGCGGTAGCTTATTATTTAGAGTAACTGCCATGGCGTGGTCTGAACCTATGGGCTCCGTGCACAAGTACCCCCTCGCTGGCAAGAAAGGGAGAGTAGGGGGAGACCATCGTGTGAGACATTTGAACGCTCTCGGCCGACGCCTGACGCTCACGCGAAGACGTTATGGGTTTTGTGCACATGCCAAATAAATTCCTGGCGTCTATGAACACAAAATTTTAAACAGGTCAGTAAAACAATATTTGCTATAAACTACCAACCCCCAAATCCATCCATTTCTGAAAATTACAGCAAAAGCAAATGTTGCATATCACCTTTACTTGTGAGAGACAGTAAGATGTAAACTAGGAAACGGCAACAAATTTCCACTTTTTTTTTTTAAATTATCGCGTGAAAATATAACGATGCTAGATTTAGAGCACTCACTTCAGGTGACAGGTTGCTTCTGCTAAGGCCGCCCTCGCTTGAAATTGCAGTGAACTCCAACTCACCAGATTTATCCGACAGCCTGACGTTGAAAAATACAAACACAAAAAATGAGCATAAAGATACTTTATCAAACTCTGTCAAGCGGACAACAATGCACAGTACAGGATTTGCAGCTCCTTTGCTGTGCAGGCTTGTGACCTACACTGCCATTGCCACACTTGCGGTATTCGTGGTTTCGTTACCCGAAATGAACATACGAATAAGCAAGTACAAAAATAAAGATCATAATAACTAATCCTTCTTCTTACTTGAACATGGCCGGTTCGCTGTTGTCTGGTTCGTCATCGGCTTCGTCTTCATCCTCAGGAGACTCGGCGAAATCGGAGAAGCAGCCATGCCCGAGGCTCTCCACGACTTCACTGGTCGCCCTGCCGCGAGTACTCTTGATCTTCTGAATTTCCTCCGATCCCTGAAAGAGAACAAAACACGAACAAATTGGCTTACTTTTTTTTTTTTAAGAATCCAACTCGTACCGTTAATTTGAAATCGGAATACTCCACAGGTTTTTTTTTGAAGACATCTACAGAAGTTGTTCTTGACCGCAAAATATTTTGATTTTTTTTTAGTTGAACCAAGAAATTGACTAGAGCGGGGTTTGTATCTGCGACCTCTGGACTGCCGTTCCGGTGCTCTACCAACTGAGCTATCCTGCCCTATGTTGGAGGTTCCCCAATTAGTCAATGTCTTCGTTCAAGGGGCGCTAGTCAAAAGCCCTAAACTCGTACACGCCATGTAGCCAGGGGTCAGGCCAAAAGTCACGATGCTAGCAACACCAGCAAGAATTGACGTTGGGGGTAGTGTGAACATTCCAGTGTGTTTACTAGTCCGGTGCCGTCAATGTATAACAGACATACGACGTATGGCACCAGACTAGTGAACATGCTCGAAGGCTCCGTCATCATGTTCAACCGTCGATTCTGCACATCGAAAAAAAAGGACATACTTTCTCCTTATTGTTTGTACACTTAATTTTTAAAGAATGCATACAGAAAAGACGACTGTAGGAGACAGTAACAACATGTGAAACAGCCCCGAAGAAAACAAATCCCTACTTGGCAAAGTTTTTGAGAGACTGAATTAAGTCCAATAATGTGACCATAGAGAGGGAGGGGGGGGGCTGATGCTTAGCAGGGAGGCGGGCAGAAGGGCTCTCGCAAGTGCAAAATGGCATTATTTGAGAAAAGTTCAGTCACTGCCAGGGGGGGGGGGGGGCCACCCCCCACGATCCACCATTTGCCTGTATAGCTGCCTATGCATGCAAGGCTTAAATTCTGACCTTATGTTTCTCCATCATGTTTGAAGAGGGGCCGACGTACAAGTACAGCTTGTTGCCCTTGTCAATGATGTACACGTCATCTTCCGTGACGTTGGACTTGCAGTAAGCCACCTATATAAACAAACACAGGTTTAAAAACAAATAAACAAACACAGGCAAAAAAAAATAAACCAAAAAAAAATCGGATAAAATGCAGGTTAACGGTAATTGCTGACTTGGAATATGCAGTGTTAAAGTTGTCCAGAAATAAACATGTTGAAAGATTATGCCCAAGACTATCAGGCCGGGTATGCAAAAAATAATTGTGTTCCGAAAATTTCTGTTCTGAATTGAGGCTAGCAAACAGCAAATCAGTGGTTTCGTGGAAGAAAAAAAATAAATGCATTATGATCTACAGGGGACTGACAATAAGTGTTATTAAAGTTGTGTCAGAAAAAATATTAAGGTTCCTTTTGGGGGAGGGGGGGCTGTGCAGAGTTGATTTTTCAATTTCCTCAAAATGTGTGAAACTCAAGCTTGTTGTTCAGCTTGCCATCACAAGTCCATCACAAGTCCCCACGAATAGGTCTCTCTCTCAAATGACGTCATTTCCTACAGACCAGCCACGTGCATCGGCATTCTCAGCGTCAACTTGCATGACGCGCATCGGCTGCGTCGTATTTCGAACACATTTCGAGCAAAAAGCGGGCGTGTTTGGAACATTTTCAACACTGCGTAATGCGTGCTTTAACTGCGTAAACTACGCAGTTGCAGTTCTCCTACAGAGAGATGGCCGTCTGAGAGACACTGAATCAAACACTATTTGTCATCTTCACCTGCGTGACCCGGATGTTTTTCTTCTCCCCGGAGATCTTCAACAAGCGAGGTTTGTACTCCTCTGGTGTGACCTTTCGGAAGCCAGAGTCAGCCCCACCTTCCATAGTTCTGCCGAACAAAAAGAGGAAAAAATAAATATATAACTGATTTGTAGTTTGTTGTTGGATAACTGAACGATCGGGTATTTTGAAGTCGGCAAATTTTGGCTTCATGCGATGAAACTTCCACTCCGTTGTGTGCCTGGGCAAAACCCAATCCACAAGTTGTCCCTCGGCAAGATTTAAAGCCGGGCAGGATTTGAACCCGGGCAGGATTCGAACCCGGAGAGGATTCAGCAATGGCATGTCCACTCACGTGAAGCTCTTGAAGTACGTCTTGAACAAAGGCGACTCATGCTTCTCCACCTCGCGGTGCTGTATGGGCTTGTCATCTAACAAGGTGTCCAGCTCTACCGTTTTGTAAGCTGCAGTTCCGTACTCGTCCTGCGTGACAAAGATTTATGACAAAAATTACACAAAATAGCCAGAGACTTAACCCTCCTATGCAAACATACATTCTGTGCCAAGAAATCCTTTCAGTCAAAATCAATCAAGTGAATGTTGTCAACAGTTAAGAGCTCCCAGCCTACATAACGCAGGACTGACTGGCTGTGACGGTTTATGTTACTTGATACAGCTATGCTTTGACTGTAGGTGATTGATAAGCCAGCTGTGCCTACCACTTGCCTGATTTTGTCTGTTGACTGAATTTGACTAGTCACAGTGCTTGCTTAAAATATGATCTGACTGTTGGTGACTAGCCTGTGTTAAAGGCACGGCAGGAAAAGAGGATTTTTTTTATTTTTTTTTTTTATTTTTTTTTTTATTGATGTTGTGAAAACCCGACCCAAAACTGAAGCCGACCAGACCCCTCCCCCCCCCAGCCAAACCTGGATCCGCCCCTGTGCATACCTGGGTTGACGCGGAGCCTATCCAGAAGTGTAGGTCATAATTCAGCTCATTACCGTCTTTCTCTTTCTGCAAAGACACAAAAGAATCACACCGAAAATTAATACCGTAAAGAGTAAGGCCGAATATCCATGTGTCCGTTTATGTGCGTATTGCGCTGTGCGTTTATCAGTTGCCCATCCGTGATGCGTACTCTGAAAATCCTTGCATATGTATTTCTCTGCACACTGACGGACGCAAAGGTTCGAACAGAGAACATGCAGAAGTTTGTCTTTGACCTTGACCTCAAAAGATTTTAAAGACCCCGATGTTTTGGGACGCTTGACCAAAACAGTTCCATTTTCTGCTTCAGGCAAATCAAATTCTACAACATAACCTAACTCCAAACTGTCTTTTACTACGTACTGGACCAAATCCGCCAAAATCCATCAAACACACTGCTTCCAATGCATGCTTTGCTTTTAGGCCCCCAGGCCCAATTCCATCATACTCCATCAAGATTAAGTCAAACTCGGCCTGCAGGACCAAGTCTCCCAACATCCACCAAAATGGGGGATGGATTTTGATGGAGCTGGGGAGGTTAGGGTTAAGGCGGTGCTGTAGTCAAGTTTATCACAAATCCAGCCATACAAAAAATTATAATTACTCTGGAAAGTCTAGTCTAAAGCAACAAGGGGACGGACAATGACAAAGTCTTTAGCACTGCTCTTAATTGAACAGTTTGTGAATAGACTTGGGACTGGATGGCTTGTGACGGACTCAAATACGACACTTGTGAACACTGTCGTGAACACTTGTGAACACTGTCGTGAACACTTGTGAACACTGTCGTGAACACTTGTGAACACTGTCGTGAACACTTGTGAACACTGTCGTGAACACTTGTGAACACTGTCGTGAACACTTGTGAACACTGTCGTGAACACTTGTGAACACTGTCGTGAACACTTGTGAACACTGTCGTGAACACTTGTGAACACTGTCGTGAACACTTGTGAACACTGTCGTGAACACTTGTGAACACTGTCGTGAACACTTGTGAACACTGTCGTGAACACTTGTGAACACTGTCGTGAACACTTGTGAACACTGTCGTGAACACTTGTGAACACTGTCGTGAACACTGTTGTGAACACTGTCCTGAACACTTGTGAACACTGTCGTGAACACTTGTGAACACTGTCGTGAACATACGTAGGTGTTGAGGATGATGTACGAATCGCCGTTGAAGAACTTCCCGTACTCCTCCTTGGGCCAGTGCTCCACTTTGAATTTGTTGATGCGCCAGATCTGGAGGCCCGGTTCTTGCCCCGCCCCGTTCCAGGCAGGCTCCGTCTCGGCCGACTCCTTCTTGACCGACTTCTCTGTGTCCGAGCCGAAGAGGGCCAGATTGGAATCCTTCCAGTCGTACTTCTTGGCTTTGACTAGACCGCCCGGCATCTTGATGGTTCAAGTGAGTTTCAGATGAAAACAGAATCTGTGGGTTGGGGGGAAAAAAAGAAGAAAACAACTCATATACCGGTACCTCAAAATTGGGTAATTTATCCTCACATGAAACTTCATCAGCAGTGTATGCTCAGTGCTGTCTTCAGGAGGGCTGAGAAAAAAAAACACTCAAACTTACTCGGGTGGGACTCGAACCACGACCTTCTGCTTACTAGGGCAGACGTCTTACCACTCGCTGGCTGGTTTGAATCCGATGTAGCAGTTGATACTGACACAAGTAAATCATTATTTCGTATGATGGAATTATCCGTTGGGCATATCCCTTAAACAATTCCTTATTTTTTCTTGTCTAATATCACAGCTGTGCAGTGACCCCATTACACCAGGAAAAGGATCATTCCATATTTGCACGGAGTATACAGGGCTACATATGAAAATGTATGTTGCACAGGGAAAAACCTTATATTGAATAAAAATTTATAAATTAGATTTTCTGTGTACACTGAAACTACTAAATCACATGAAAGTACAGTTGGCTGAGAGCTAATGTGCTAAACCTCTTAACTCTAACCTTCCCAAATCCTATCCTCTTTGCAAATTGGAGCATTTTGCAGGATTGAGGCTATATGGGAAAAATGTGTGGCTGATTTTGGAGGATGCACTGTGTCAAGGTCTCAGGCCAGACCTTGTGTTGTTTATATGCTCAGCCATGAATATAGGCCGGGGTTATACTTGAAATCCTCTGCACTGCTCCAGGATGTCCACTGGCTCTGCCTCAACATATTGACAGTGATTGCTGGAGGATTTTGCAGGATTGAGGCAGTGGTCACCCCTCCAAGGACCACATTCAAGAAATAACGGATCATTTTGTAGGATTGAGGCTGCAAAACCCTAACCTTCCCAAATCCTCCCAAATCCTCTTTGCAAAATGGAGAATTTTGCAGGATTGAGGCTACATATGGCAAAAAGGTGTGGCTGATTTTGGAGGATGCACTGAGTCAAGGTTGCAAGCTGGACCTCGTGTTGTTTATGCTCAGCTGTGCATAATTTAGGCCTAGGTTATGTATGTCCTCAGCACTGCTCCATGATGTCACTGGCGCTGCCTGGAGGATTGAGGCTGTATGCAATTTTTACATAGAGACAGTTGGAGGATTCTGAGGACTGAGGTTGCATCCCAGCAAAACTGCCTAGGGATCGAGTTAGGATTCATCTGAGCCAGACATCAGTACATTCACATGAAATCTTGCCAAAAAAGATATACTTGATAATGTACATGTGTTGTCAATTTCTCGCAGTGTCACTCTTCACAACTTCCTCTTCACTTAGGTAATCAAATCCCAATACGTCTTCAAGAATCAAGATGCAAGAAGTGTGAAGAAAAGTGACCACAAGAGACTCCTCAATTTCAAAGGGAAAAAAATACTACCTCGCTTCTGTGTTTGTTGTTTGCACCTAAACAACAGCTATTCACAATCTCTCTCTCGGGGGAAAAAAACAAAAACATAAATTTCATTTAGGGGTCACAGCTGCTCTCCAGAGAACCAATTATGAAAATGAAATGAAATCTCATCACTATCGCCGCGGTACAGGATCTATATATCATTAATATCATGACAGCATCACACCATGACAACAGTATCATTTTCTTTTTCTGGTGGTTTTTTTTTTTTAGTTAATTTTTTTTCTCATCAAATTAGCCCTCAGTGTGTGGATGGAAATACCAAATGCATTCCCCCATTCATCCGCTGTAAAAGGGCCCATGTAATGTAATTTTATTGAATGCAATCCTTGAAAATACACCTGTGTCTTATTTAACCTTATTTTGCATTTTTCACTTGGCCATTTTCAAGGGTATTTTGGTGCCTTTTTAGTTTTTTATGCTTATGTCACTTTCCATATTCATGAGCAAAAGTGTGATGACATTTCAGGCAGAAACCTCTAATATTACAGCTACATTTGTATTTCAGCACCGCAACCAAAATGATAGAATTTTCAGATATTTTTTGCTGTCATAAATTTTCTTTTCTTTGGTGATTTCTTGTTGTGTCAGTACATGGCAGTAAGCCAATGAGCATTTTTTTTCTCACAGATGTTTCAAACGAGCAAATGTTTTGGGTTCACAATTTGAACAGAAACCCACAAACTGAAATGACATCTTTTGTCCCGGAAAAGCATGAACATTTGTTTAATGTTCTTAACAATTGCATTTTTCAATAAGATTAACCAACACAGTCATAACAGTGATTCAAATTAGTTTTCATACATATTTAAGAGGAGTAGAAAGTTGCACAGAATATGTTTCAAAGAAAAATTCATGTCGTGAACCCTTCAAATTATCCTGAACATGTAAATCTGTGATGCTGGTTTTTTTTTCTGGGCTTAAAGAAAATAGAGAAAAACAACTGGGCCTCAAAGAAAGGAAATATTGTAATGATCCTGACCCTGAACTGCAAAGCAGCTTGACTTTCCGCAATCAAATGTTATTCACTGTAACATGAAACGACATGAGCTGAAGTACCAGCAGCAGACAGGAAGGAAATCTAGACTTGATTCTGAAATCTGTGCTTAAGGTTGCAGGGAAATGTTGATGCAAACTTCAAGGGAGGTCATTTAAAAAAACATTTATTTCCTTTCGGGGCTGGTGTAGTCTTTAACAAGTTTGTATTTCACCATTTTGAAATTCTGTGCTCCCGTTTTGTTTTTAATATTATGGTTCGAACAGGCACGCTTCTCCGCTGACGTGGGGGGACATGCTCCAGTGGAAAACCTTATTTCCTGTCCTCAACCTAGGGCATTGAAAGAACTAGAGGTCAGAAACGGTTCAAGGAAAACTAAATTTTGAAGGAGGAAGATGGATTTAGTGTTGAAAAGGAGGGAAAACAAAGAATATGAGTCACCGAGGCGATGAGTACAAAGGCCAAGTTTGGTTCAAGCTATTTTTGTTTTTTAAGAAAGATGCACAGTACACATTAAGGAGTTAATCTGCATGTCTGGGACGAGTATACAATGTCGTCAGACCGATGACGAAAAGTTGAGTCATCCCAGAGTATTGCATTTGTTGCCAAGGCAACAAGAATACATGTACAGTGTACATCCCTGTAGAATTATGCTGCAATTGAAGCAATCTTTTTTTTTGGTTTTCCTCTAGATTGTTAAAGAGGAGGGGTGTTGGAAATGACAGAAGTGGCTTGAAATGGCGGTCATCTACAACAGGAAATAAATTAATTTAATTCATTTGTGACTGCTATTAGAGAGTGCGTTATACTTTCTGGAGGCCACAGATTTCAGTTTTGCTTCGGTAGTTTCTCTTTGTACAGCAAATTAAGTGATTAATAAGTGTGTGCACGTGTACAGGCACTCAGGTTGTGGTTTTTAGTTGTTGACAATTACCAAGTAAATAATGTGTGGGTTGATATGATTGGAATTTGCCAATTTTCTTGTTTTGACTTAAGTGAAAATTGAATACAAAAACCAAGAATGGAGGGTCAGGGTACACAAATCCAGATTTGTGATGCTTGACTGCCGAACAGAGAGAGGCACACGCCCCCTATACAGACACCCACTAGGATATTACTCATTTCTGTATGCAGCTGGTGCCCGTGGGTTTGTACCCTACACCCATTCGAAACCCAAAATGAGTCATTGTGGTGCTGTGTACGTATCCCATTTTTATCCCAGTGCCAACAGGGCGACACCCATTATTTTTGCAACTCTGTACATGTACACTTAGGAACTGAAAGGGAAAGTTTTTTAAAAGGCAGTCACTTGTATCCAGTGACGGAAATGAGGCAAACCACAATTGGAAAATGATAATGCACATGTGTAGGTTTACACGACATGTCCATATATGGGCTTTAAATATATGCCTCTCGACACTGTTTTTCAATATTTGACCTGGTTGCATTAATTACATATCTGTGGATAAAAAGTACAATACGGTTGGTTATTTTGTACACTTTGTACAAGCACACGCATACTGTATTTGTGTATGTACCTGGGTACATGTATTATGTACACGAATTCAACCTCGTTCCCCTTGGGTATGATCATGTTGGTTCCCGCCGCGCCTTGAGCGATCTTAACCCCTGGAATTGTGTAATTGCCACATTTAAATTAGGACTGCAGTCGATGTGTTTAACATGTGATGCAGAGCTTAAAATGTTGACAGTATTTTTTTTGTATCAATCCTTTCAAAGAGCTCCCATCTATTTTTTCTTTAATATTACAGCTCTGGAGTGTTTTTGTAAAGGCCCAGTGGTCATTGAATCCTGCAAACTATACCAAGTCATTGGGAGGGCATGTCTTGTGGCACCTCACTTGCCACTTTTAGAGAGCTGAATGAGAACATCCGGTGGAATCAGATAACTGTTATTCGGTTTGAAAAAAGTTAGGATAACCGGATTTTGAAATATCCGATTTCTCCCACCACTAGTAGAATAAAGCAAAGCTAATATTAGACCTGCTCCTACAAATCCCAGACAAAGTTCACAAATTTTGATAGGTTTTGGCGTTTTCAAAATCCCACTGTTCTCAGGAGTTTGAAAATGCCGAAACCTAACAAACAAATTTGGTAACTTTGTCTTGGTTTTGTGGGACCATTTTTTTATAAAGAAACATAGCCTACCTTACAAATATGATGCTTTACAAATCCAGTTAATGTTGTTATCGCCACAATATCAAGCAGGACAATCAAGCAAACACCAGGGCATACACCGCAAGAGTGCAACTTGGGTAAATGAACGCCCCCTGACACACACAAAAAATGCTTGATTGTTGCCGGGACTGAGACCCTGATAAGAGACCCACTCATCCGCCCACGGGCATGGCACTCTCAACCTTCACCTTTTCAGGGCAGGTATTTTAAACCCAATTTGAGGACGCCGACTGCTGGCACGTTGCCATGGAGACAGGAAATCCAACCAATGTCTAACATGCTCCCTGATTTCCTGCTTCGTGGTCTGCGTGTGTCACAGACTAGACTACAAGTTTTTATTCTGGTTGTGCGCGAGGCCAATGTCAGTCAGTGAAACG